GATGTTCTTCTACAGACTTGTCATCAAATACAATCTGTAAAACAATGGACATACTAATTATAGTTGTTTAGTCAACTTAAACAATTTTGAAGAGGCTTTGGTAATTATTAATTATGTTTACCTCAGAGCATCCTTGTAGTAAATCTATTGGGTCCTGGTCTGGATTCAAAAACTGTGAAAGCATTACTTTATGATGCGTAGTATAATCATTTTCCAGGTAGCCTTCAGCTTTAGCCTTCTTCTGCTTCTCGGGGTGTAAGATATTCATATGCTGTTTCTTCACTATGTCTAAATCTTCAAAAACATGTTTGGGATCCAAAAATTTAGGGTCAATAGTGTCTGGTGCTATGTACCCCTGACATACTACGAAGATCTCAGATGATTCATTACGAGAGGCCTGAGGCTTAGTAGCATGAACTTTTTTAAAGAACTGTTTCAGCACCCATAGAAGTGCATGATAGTCTTTTGATCTGAAAACTTTTGTAACAAACCATCCTCCTTCTCTTAAGAAATTTGTTGCCAACTTCAAGGCACTCAGAGTAAGACAAGCTTGCTGATATGCATCATGGATCCAGTTTAAACCGACGTTTGGAGCTCCATCATGTAGGACCACATCAGCTTTCCATGTTTTAATTTCTTTCTTTATAGCCGATTTACATTTTTCTGTAGTAATATCTTCAGTGAGACCGATGCAGCCAGGTACCGGTTTGATAGGAAACAAATCCACTCCTATGACCACACTGGATACAGGCATGTTCTGATGCGCCACCTGCATCCACCCACCAGGGGCAGCACATAAATCGATACATACTCGCGACTTTTGTAAAAATCCAAACTTTCTGTTTAACTGTATTAATTTGAAAGCAGCTCGGGAACGATAACCTAAAATCACACATGTAAAAAGTTATTATTACGAATAATTACAAGCAAGGTGATGAAAACATTTTATGTTATTTTGTTTTCATAATATTACCAGTTTCTTTTGCAAGTTGATAGTATTTATCCTTCCGCTGTTTTCCTACTTTGGTCTTCTTTCCCATTTTTCTGTATTTATCACATCAATATAAATAATACAATTACAACGTGTTTACTGCTGCTTTTACTGCAGTTTGAGGTTAGTTTAATGTCAACGTCAACATCAATTTATAACCGTCAAAGTCAAAATTGTTTCTGTCAAATTGATTTTTTTTTTTTTTTGGAGTTTATGGCCTGGATACGAGTCCTTTAAGCCAAAACCTCTGTCAAATTGAACGAAAAACGTAGACTTGCCCATAAGAAAAATAAATATCGTGGGTTCTTTTCATTGGTTCAGAAAAACTTCTTTAGATTACGTATTAATCAATTCATGTTTCCTTAACCGTTAAATGTAAGTTTTATCTAAAAATGTAAATAACTCCTTTCAGTTTTCTCAGCATTATATTTTATGAGTATTAGCATTAGCATTATATTATGAGTTTATGAGTTAGAGACATTCTTTCTGTAACCCTGTGACTGTGACGTCATTCAATTCTAAATTTTTGTTAATGGCAATTGGAATTTCATCAAAATCACCATTGTTTCGTATTGAAGAGTTCGTGGTTTGTGCGCATTCTAAAAATAATCAGTACTTTTTCTAGCATCGTGCAATTCACTGTAATAAATACTAAGGTTTTTTTCTGAAGTTTCTGTGATTTTACTTCAAGGGATTATTTTGATATCAGATTAACTGCTCCCATCATCATGACTCCCAATCTTCAGACATTCGTCAACAGTTTTCAAAATCGACTGTAAGTATTAAAATTTTCTTTAGACTGTTTGAAAATACATTTTTCGTTTGTATTTAGTGATTCCACACAGTAAGACACATTACGTTAAAGAAGTTAATTTTAATTAATGACTGCATCGTTCTAGAACATTGTCGTTCAAGGTACGTTCTGTGACACACATACAAATATTTGTTTTCATTTACGATACTGTGTTACAATAACAAGATTTTAATAATATCTTCATTTCATTTTGTTATGATGACAATGTACTAGTGACTAGAGTTTAGTTGCAAGTGATGTAATGACTGTCCACGAAGGATGTTTACAATTTAGATTAGCGCCTTAATTGACCTATGTATCCTGATAAATTACAGGGAACCTCCAGTCCGCCAGCATTTGAAAAATGTCTATGGAACCTTGATGATGACTTGTGGTGCAGCTTTAGGTGGAGTGTTTGTTGATATGTACACCTGGTTCCAAGCTGGTATCTTGTCTGCCATTGCCGGAGCTGGTCTCATGCTAATGTTGATTGCTACTCCTGACAATGGAAAGAACACAAACTTGCGTCTTGGATACCTCTTGGGTTTCGGCCTTACTTCAGGTAAAAGCAGTTTTATGTTTAAAGTTATTGATTTACCTACATGTCTACTATATGAATCAGTGTAAGGTTATGAATAAACAAGGAAAAATGAAACAACTTTTCCATTTCAGGAATGAGCTTGGGCCCACTCCTGGAGTATGTCAGCTTTGTTGACCCCTCTATTATAGTGACAGCTCTTATGGGCAGTACATTGGTGTTTGTCTGCTTCTCTATTGCTGCAATGTTGGCTGATCGTGGCAGCTGGCTGTTCTTAGGAGGAACACTCATGACTCTCCTTACTTCTATGTCTCTTATGACCTTGGTCAACATCTTCATGCAATCTCACTTCTTGTATCAAGTAAGTATGGAAAGTCAAGAATATTTCCTAAATATTCTCAAAGAATGTAACCTTAATCAGCTTCTAGATATGTCCATTGTTATTATATAAAAACATACATACATTTCATTATACGGTTCTAGAACTCATTAATAAATAAATATGTCCTTGAAACAAACACAAGTCACTGTTCAAAGTACAGTTTTTCTTTGGTTTAATTGTCATGAATATTGTTTTACTATTAAACTAGAGGTCAAGGTCAGTTTGTGTACTGAATATTGGCTGCATGAATTCTTATATAGTCAAAGCATAAGAAATGCCTTATATGTTGAGTGGTTGCTAATGTTTAACCAATTAGCCTAGAGTTCAATTCATGAGAAATTATGAAGATTTTCATGTAAAAAAAAATAGTTATGAATTTGGGATATAGCAATTTCCAAGAAACAAAATACATTTTCCCAAAAGTCAATTGCCTCAATTTCAATTTTTATAAGAAATAGCATTGCATATGTTGTGAAATCCTTCATTTTTAGTCAAATATCATTACTCATATCTCTTGAATTGTCTAAAAAATATGAATATTAAGTATTTCGTCGATTTTATGAATAAAGGTGCGAACTTGGAATATTTTGTTTCTGACTGAGGAATCTACCCAATTGTATTGGCTGCATGAAAGTTATCTACCAATTTTTACCCTAATTGTTTTTTTACCTATTTTACAGGCTCACCTTTACCTTGGACTCATGCTGATGTGTGGCTTTGTGCTGTTTGATACTCAGCTCATCATTGAGAAGCGCAGAATGGGCAGCAAGGACTTTGTCCAACATGCCCTGGAACTGTTCATTGATTTCATTGGAATGTTCAGAAGACTGCTCATTATTCTGTCACAGAAGGTTTGCATTGCTGTTTTTGATTTGATTATGAATGGCTAATTTTTATTATATTAATGTTTCACTCATGCAACTGATAGGAATGCTACGGTATCCATTTCTATAACTAGATTTTCAAAAGTCACAAATCATTTATTCCAATTAGACCTTCACATGCACTTTTGAACGTCAAACAAAATTTTGAAGATAATATAGTGTCAGTCTGTTGGTCAGTCCTCTTAGTGAAGCTATTTGCTCGTTCCAAAGTGTAGATACCGATGGAGAAGAACAAGCAAGAAACTCCATGGTTACTCTTTTTAAATCAGTTTCACATACAGATTCCTTTTACAAACAGTTTGTTCAATTATGTGATTTCGAAGTATTCGTTCTATAATAATACAATACAATGGAGACTTACAAAGTTTCCATTTTGTCAGTTAATTTGAGTGTACAAGTACATCACCACTGCCTACTACTCCGAGGATTACGGTTGTGACATTATTCTTGATGCTTTATTTAACCTTATTTTTAATATAAATATATAAGGCAACTTATAACCATAAATATCGTTTTTCAGGAAGAACAGAATCGCCGCCGCAAACGTGAATAAATAGCGATTTTACAAAATCCTTATTTACGCAAGACTTAACCAATGTTACAATACATTGACGTACGTACCTACACAGATACGTGTAAGTTGCTCAAATGAGTCACCATCGAGCTGATGCAACTAGCAAGTTAAGTTTCGCGAAGGCAAGGACCATCTGCTCATCATTTTGGGAAGGATCCTTCAAATATTATTTTATTTATGATTTGTTAACTATATGATATTTAAGAAATTTACAAGTTTATTAAAGGATTAAAATAAATTGGAACCGATTGAAAAGAATTGTTTTATTTACATAGTTTGAATAATCCGCGTAGCTATTGAATTCTTGGTCCCTCTCCACGTCGCACCATTTATGTCATTTTGTAAACAATTTCAATGTTTATTATGAACTATTCAAGTATGAACCTGTGTAAATAAAACTCGAAATCATAATAACTATTTAATAACAATAAAATATGTTGTCAGAAATGCCTCATTTACTTATACAATAAAAAATATTGTTTCATAGTGACACAATCGAATGCCTTACACATAGGCTATCGCTATCACAAACTGTGTTTACGTATTTAAATAGAAAGATTTATGTATTATAAACAGACTTGTGAGATAAATATGGCTGACGAGATTAAAGATTGAATTGCCAACTGATTTTCATATCGGTCTTTATTCTTTGTTGAAAGTTGACCTAAGTATTTTACGGCCATAAATCGTAAGATTTTGCAAATGAAATGACCAAGTAGGTACCTACAATAAATTTTGCTAGGAAAAAAGTGAAAGCGTTTAGGTAAGTGCTTATCAATAAAACTACCTTCGCTGAATGACTTAACAAACAATTGAAGGAGTGCATCTAAAAAGTACACACCAAGATATAAAGTATGCTAGCTACTACTACTTGCTTCGTGTGGGTGTATTTTGTTCTTATCATATAAAAACATTTTCCTTGCTTTATCTAATTCATTATTAATTAGTATACTAATGAAGTTTATAACGTGTGCTTCCCCGTTTTGTATATCTGCGGTACGAGAAACTTCTAATTTATTCCCCACTGTACCATCATCAGTGTTATTAGTTCGAGCGGGCCGTTTCGGTTGTCTTATAGTATACAAGTGTTTGGACACATTATTCCACCTGTAACATTTACAACCCCGTAGACACTTGTATGACGGAGTCATTGAATCCCCACTTCTCACTACATATTCATAAGTTGTAACTCCTAACAACGATATATAAATATGGAAACAGCACAAATGCAATAAGGCACATCCGATAGCCAATGCCATTACACAGAATAAAATCAAAAATATAAGAAAAGATATAGAAGTTCTACAAAACCTTGGGATCACTATCGTTCTGCTGTATGAAGTGCTACAATTGATAAAGTTTTGTGCTTCAATGCTAAAATATTTGGGATTTGTAAAAAATATCACAATGTCTGCTACACATAAGGATGTGGTTAATATGGATATCATGAGAGCTGTGGTGACGCACGCAACAAACGCCAGGTAGTTCCTTCGGCCAACGCAGTTGTTAAGCCACTTGCAGTGGTGGTCGAAGTTGTCCACGCACTTATTGCAAATACTGCAATGTTTGGTTCTTCTGCTGCTTGTGTGTATGTTGCACAGATGACATCTTCCATTTTCAATAACGTGGGCATGAACTGCTCGATCAAACTCGGGAACATTATGCACTGCCAATTTTCTTAATTCCTTTTCACTCGGATCTAATAACGAAGCCGTTAGATTCGATGAAATGTGAGATATATACAGCACAGTGAATATTACCAATGATATTGTCCTCAATTCGTTAAATTGTATGTCTATCAATATTAGAAAATTTAACGCCCCAGTCGCAATAAACACGAGCCAGCTTGCGACTTGTTGGAAGTTCAGTGGCAATTGCAGTCCATTTATTCTTCTTTGTGGTCTTGGTGATTGATGAGAAGAACAGCAATTGTCCATCGGTAGGGTAGATGTTGATTATTATAGTTCATAGGTACCTATAGTTAGGTAATATTTATAAATCTATAGTCACGTTATATTCAGTATCCATTTTACACTATCCTAAGGCACTGTTCAGTATAAAACTGTATCACGAGTTATACCATTTTAAAAACAAAAAGTTCAATACAGAAGAAAGCTCAGTCTAACCTTGTATTGTTACTTAATTGATGGTCAAACCCACATAATGCGCGCGCATCTGTTCGATTTCACTTAATTAATTAAGTTTTTATTATTCCTAGTATGACATCATCCCAAACTGGGAGGATACCAACTAATAGCATCAATTACTTTGTGTACTTGTTAACGCAATTTTAGGAGTTATATGCTGTATGTATACAGCTTGTTACTATGGAAACGACTGAACTATTCTAAAAAAAGAAACTTTTTGCAAGGTACCTTGAAAGAGAGCTTTTTGAAAGTTCAGCATTTAATTTTACAGATAAAAGAGTAAACTACTTACAGTTCCAATAATTATGTATATTTAATATTTGCACTTAAAAAATACATACATTTTTACATATATTTACAGTGTTTACGTGTTTGTAATTTCCTCAGGTTGTTGCCATGGTCCTGTTAAATTAGTTTGGAGCAGCTTCTGTGTTACACTCAACATTTTTTGCAAACTTTCTAGCCATTTCACGCCTAGTATGAACAAGTATTCCGTGACCTTTACAGTCTAACTCTTCTTCATAGCATTTGTTTCTGCAACATTTTTTGCATAGCTGGTATAAACATTTTCCACCCTGAAAAAGAAATATTATAAAATAATACTAGCTCTATAACTTTTTGAAACTAAAAAGCTAAGTATTAAATGTAATATACTGACGAGAGGATTGGGGCAATCTTCACTAAAACAGATTTGACCACTTCTACCATTCTGTTGCGAATCTGCCTTTTCTGGTCTTCTGCTTATTCGCCTCAACTTTTTCATTTTCTTTCTTGATAGGATTGTACCATCATTGTCTTCACTTTTCCTTTTTTCAGCAGAATTTTTCTACAAACAACAGCTAATATAATTCATTAAAGGTAACTTAATGATAAATTAGTAAATAATGTTTATTAATTACTTTATACCTGAATAATATTTAATTTCTCAATTTTCAGTGTGTGTTCTTCTGGTGACATTCTGACGTAGGGTTGGCATATCCATGGAGGAAGTATTAAATTGAACCCAATCCTAGTTATGTTTTCATCATTCTCAATATTAATTTTACCTTCATGATAAGGTAGATACTTGTCTCTCACATTGATACACACTCTCTTAAAGTCATCTAAATTTTGTGCTGTGGCCAAAATTTGTCTATCTTCATTGTTTTCTTCCAGTGAAAATCTAAAATCATTCCATCATAAGATAAGTATATTGTTATGTTTATTAATGATTAAATATAATATTAATTTATTGTTGAAATTATTTTCACTTACATTTTATGAAATATTTTAAATAAATGGCCCCTGATATAAGATGTTGGACAAGGATACTGTTCTACCAAGTCTAAATACTCATTAGCAATCTCCCATGACACAGGATTTATTCCTTCAAATATGGCTGGATTTGTTAGATTACCTTCTGCACTCATAATCCCATCGACTTTGGTGTATTCTAAACATCTGTAGACATCTTGTAAACATTGAATGTTTCCATTAGCTAACATAGGTATTGATATTGCTTCCCTGGAGATAAAAATTTGATTGTTTTTAATTGATATAGCTGATGTTATGTATGCAAATGATATCAGTCTTAGAATGAAGTATTATGATAATGTATGTTATCAATAATAATGCATGGCTTTTAATAAGAAGAAGACAACGTGACATTATAAAAGAAACCAATTTGATATTATTACTATAGAAAAAAGTATCAGGTTTAAAATTTGAAAAATTCGCAAAATATTACCTAACTGCTTTTATATGTTCCCAACTAGCAACACCAGTCAATGGTCCCTTTTGTTCTCTTGTTCTACCATGCACAGTGAGCATTTTACATCCAGCATTTTGTAACATAAGAGCATACTCCACTGATTTCTCTATACTCTCAAAAATCCTTACTTTGCAAGTTATTGGTACAGAGACTGCTTCAGACATTGTTTGTACTGTAAAAAGATATTATTTTGTTAATTTAACACTTAAGAAATATATATATCGGAATACAACCATTTACATTGATTTTAAATTTTGTTCTTACTTTCTTTTCTTTCTATTTCAAGGATGCAAGGCTTCCCCACAATACCACCGAGCAACTCTATGAGATCCAATATGCATATGAGATATAGAAAAGCAATAACATCTATGATTTCATGATTGATTTATATTATATCTTTTTAATAAAATAAAGCTTGTGATCTGCTATCACACATGAAAAAACAAGTATAAATTTAATCTTAATTTTTTGGTTTTCTTATCAAGAGAACAATAATATAGAATTATTTTACCAATTTTCTTCAGTAAGTCCCAGTCATCTTGGAGGAAGGATCCATACCTGCCTCTTTTAGCTATGGATTGTGGACAGCCAAGGTTTATATCAATGGCATCACATTGGCCCTCAACAAGTTTAGCAGCTGATGCCATTATTTCAGGATTATTTCCACAGAACTGAAATCATTAATAACATAGTAAGCTGTTCATATTCTAGCTAAGTAATGAATAGAACTCAAGAACTTATCAATCTATTGATATCAATATCTATCTTTTTATTGTTTCAAAGCTTTGTTAAATACTAACCTGCACAATTAGAGGACGGTCCTCCTCGCATGTAACCATGTTGTCTTTCCTATACTTAGGGTCTTTATTAAAAACATTACTGTGAAACATTGGAGTATAGCATAATGTTGCTCCATGTCGCCGGCATAAAAGGCGCCAAGCTAGCTCACTGGCATCCACCATAGGAGCAACCACAAATCGTGGCCGTCCTATAGACTCAAACCAGTCGTAAGTCATCTTTCTTTGGAATATAATTGATTTGCCTCAGTATTAAATCCCAAGTTTACTCAAACTATAAATCCAATCGATAAATTTTAATTTATAACACAAAGACCAACGTATTATTGTCAGTATTGGAATATTGAGTCGTATATTTCTGTACAAGAAGCTATTAAACTAGATAAATATCTAAAACACTTAAAAATCTTGTTGAAATCGTGTAAGGCATTGACTACAATAAAAATACACGTGAAATCTTAATCTTATCAGTCACAATATGACAATTGGCATTTTGGCAATGACAATTATTATGACATGTTCACATCTATTTAAAAAAAAGCAAATCTAAAACTGCCCATACATTGTCCAACAATATATAACCTTGCACAAAATCTGCCATTTAGCCGGTTACTGGTCTAATTTGTTTTATTTTCTTTTTCTTTAAAAATTTAGATTTTTCTTAATTTCGAACGCGTCGTTATTCACATTTAAAATTGTCACTGTCACAGCATTTTCGTTAAGTAATGTCAAATTGTTAGAGTTCTCGTCTCGTTTTGCTTTTGCTTTGCTATGGTTATGGTTAATGGATAACCCGGTTAGCCGTTGTAATTTTACAATTTTATTTTAACAATCCTCTTATTCTTCAAAACGTTAAATACATTTCTGTATATTAGCCAAGTTCTCCACAATTCAAGATAACAAAATAAATTCTGAAATTTAGGGCAAACAAATTGTTGTGATTACATTTGAATTAGACATAAGGCATATAAGTTATTAGTTATTTGGCAAATCAAAAATACCAAAACAACTGTAGCCATGGCACACGATATAATGGTAAGTATTAGAAGGATTTATCACATTTTTTCTCTATCCATTGTATTCTGTTACCTAAGTTTGTTTATTTTGTTTTCAGAGTCAATTTTATACTTGTTTGAATTTGCCGTTACAAGAAAAAGTAGACGAGTTGACTAGAATAATAGACCAATCTACTCCGAGCAAAGATCTTCAGACATTGTTTCCTCAATTAATCAGTAACATATTCTCAAACACTTTTAATAATGGCTGGGGATTGCGGACAGTTACATGTGATGCTAAAAAGCATGAATTTGTAGCTCTCATTGCGTTTTTTGAACCACTTGGCCCTATGTTACGGTTGTGCTATAAACTTTTGTCAGACCCACAGTTAAAATATAACTTACCATTAAATGTTCTACCAGTAAGTATTGCTCAGTGTAAACATACTTTAATTTGTTTTTGTTTTATAATGCAAGTCATATATCTAACCTACTTTTTGTTTTGTTACAAATAACCTTTTTTATACATACTAACTATTTGTTTATGCATATTATCTATGTGACTTATCATATGTGTAAAACTAAAATCTACTTATTTTATTTTCAGTTGGACTTGCAGATGACTTTAGAAAGGGGAAGATGTCCACAGTTTTACTCTGACATGCTTGTTACTGACCCACAAACACTCAATGTTGTGGCTTTAGCACTCAGTATCCTTTAATATTAAAACAATTTTGTTATATTCCTTATTATGTTATAAAAATTATCATATTTTACCCTAATCAATTGTTTAAAAGTTAAAAAGCTTTTATAAAAGATTAACCTGCCTAGTTGACTTTGTAGTCACAAGCTGAGTGACTTGAAATATTCTGTTGTTATACAGAATCTGGATTATAATGTATACAATTGAACAACCATGTAATTTACTTAGTCCATAACTGTGTCAATTATGATGAAAATATTCATAAATAATTAAAAGCAACCTTTTGTCTAAGTTGATCAATATATTTTCCTATAGGACTATGTATCAGATCCGTTTGACTATTACATCTTCAATTTTGCGCTACACCTTGTTAGTAACAGCCAACAGACAAGTTCTTGGGAGAACTGGAGCAGTGCTTACTTTGCATTGGCATGTGACTATCTCATGCACTTCTTACCTGCTGACCCAAATGTGTCAGTACTGCCACATATACCCAACTACACAGGCAAAGTACCCATGGCTGCACCATTGCAAACAGCTAACAGGCAAGTATTTTTTACTATATCTTCCACAATTATATCAGAAAGGGAAATATATTTTCTCTCGGATTTGTAAATATATGTAAGACACACATATTAGCTGCATTTACAAACACATTTACAATATCTTTGTGAAAAAAAAAGAAATGGCTCCCCAATGCATCAATCATGCAGACAAATGAAGCAGTTCATTAATGTATATTTTAATCTCCATTACAGACCCTTGTATTCTCCATCACTATTGCTGATACCTGATCTGTCTGGCTCTAGCATGAGCAATCAACATACAACAACACAGAACCAGTCACGGAATGAAGTTTGGCGATCTGAAACAGTATTGCAAGTCTTCATCGATATTTGGATGAGTGTAGAACAATTCAGTGCTAGAAATGTTGAAGTAAGACACCATGAACATATTTCAATTTTTATAATTATTTTCTTTTATAGTTATACCTTCTTGTTGTGGATACATTAGCAAACACGCAATCACTCAAATCTAGAACAATAATTGGTGGATCACAGCAGTAGATCCATGTGGGAAACATTGAGTCTGCAACACATAGTCACAGCCACTTTCCACTGATCAGAAGTACATGAACCAACTCAACATAGAATACAACATAATAATATATTATTAAATTGGTTCAAACACTTGTATGAATTTTGAAGATATAATGTAATTTATACCAAATTGTTTTTATGCCATTCAGATGTTCCAGAGAAATTATACTACAATATCTTCAAGTCCAGAGCGTGTGAGAACTGTGCGCGTTCTAGTAAAGCATTTACACTCCTTTTCGGCTAAACATATGTCCGATCCAGCGGTCAGATCATCAGCACTTAGGAAATATGCTCGCCAGCTAATGTGTGTTCGTGCATACCATTACGTAAAGCATTTAGTTACAACATGGCCGCTCGACGCGTCGTTCAGACTCGTCATGGAATTGTGGCTAAGTCTTATTCAGCCTTGGAGATATGTTAACAACAATATTTCTGAAGACAGGTAATAAATCCTTCATTCTTCTTCAATTTTAGTTTTATAATAGCGAAAGTTTGTAAGTATGGATGAATGTTTGTTACTATTTCATGTAAAAACTACTGAATGGATCTGAATTTAATTTACCAAAGAGAGTTTCAAGTCTGGAGTATGACAGGACTTCTAATTTAGTTGCCTTGATCTTTCTAGATTTGCTCACCACAACAACAATACAGAAGAAAAAAAAGCAAACAAACTGGACTTAAGTTTTACTCAGTTCATAGCTGAAAACTATCCATCATACACTTGTATCTTCCAACTGGTATTGCCAAGGTTTATGAGGTTGGACCTCAGTGCTTACAAGAATGCCATTATGTTGTTCAGATTAGGAAAGGTAAGCTTCTTTTAATTTTATAAATCTTTTTTAAATTCAAATCATTTATTTTTATCAATCTTTGAGTTGAATTGTTAGTATGTATACAATATGATTTATGTGTCCTGTGAGTGTTAACTAGCCGATTTTTTAAAATGTATATCATCTATATGTTAGCAAATAATAACAATGTGTGGAACACACAATTGTGCCTCCGGTAACGTCGCCTTATTCTTAATATTGTTAATTCTGCCACAGGTCTTCACACAACAACACCTCTGCCCAATTTTATGGAATTTAGAAAAAGCCATTACTGACAGTGGCACTGGTTTGAGTCTTAGTCCAGATACGAGTTACAATAATTCTGGAATGGAACAAAGGTAATTTTTGTGTTACAATTAATCATTTCTAAGACACATTACTAAATTATATTTTACGGTTAACTCACATAGTTACGCTAAGTATGCATATACGATTCATGATTTAGTCGCGTTTGCGCTGCGTCGACATCGCGCTGAGGCGACGTTGACGGCGCGTCGTCCCGTGCCAAGGATCCACAGAACGCGACGTCAATGTCGCGCCTGCGAAATATTAACGTCGCATTTGTTGGTAACAGTTACAATCATGCCGTCCTGCTCTATCAAATGTAGTCTTTTGTATAAACTTGTAGCCACCAAAGGCGACTTTAACGTTGCTTGCTACGCGACGACGCGGTGTTAACGTTACGTCAGTGCGGCGTCGATGCTGAGCAAACGCGACGTTGACGTCAGCGCTATTAAAACACCTAGTGGGATAGCGGCCTTAGTGTCTTTGGTGTAGCTTTATACATAAACTTTATAACATAGGCTTCATGCACTTTATAATTTGTTACAGTTACACATACAATGGTATTTCGTTACATAAGTGGGTGACAATAGCTAAGCAATCTTTGTCAGAGTTCAACCTATCAGCCAATTTCGAATACCAACCGATTTGGGGCGAAAATATGCGATCATTTGCATCTCACCTATTGCAAAGAATTGTATCAGCCAGGACAACTGCGGAAAATAATATCGAAGAGTTTAATAAAATATTAAATCAAAAGAACAAAGGTATTTTTATATTATAACTTTTGTAAAACACTTATGTCTTGCTATCGTTAACTTTTTGAAGTTATCCGTCTATTTTCGAGTAAACCGAGGCTCATAATAATGAACCATGTGCGGGACAAGAGTATCGACGTCATTTAGTCGCGCTACCTACTTGCCTAAATCTTACGAGTCTCACATTGATTTATAACAGATCAAGCATCCTGAATAATCCTGATATAGTATACTATTTCTTATGTAAGCAAGACTATAATTTTTAAAAGCGTTATTGGCAAAATTAATGTGTTATAATTCTTATCGTCTTTATGTCATATGTTTTAGGAATATGGGGTTCAATCAAGTTATTTTTAATGATAGAAGATGAGGGAGAGGACGCCGCTTTGTTAGAAGAAAACAAGAAAGTGCCAAATTACTTAACAACCAGTTTCCATTACTTCTCATACATATTTGGGGTAATCATATTCTACACTTAATTTACTCTAGTATAGATAGGTAATTTATACCCATCTTAAAAATTTAAAATTGTTTATTCTATCTGTTAGTAATAATGTCTACTTTGAACAGATTTTTAATTCATTTTGTAATATAATTTTCAGTTGAACGCACCCGTCGCAATTCCGCCAGAACCGGTCATAGAAGAAAATTCTTTGGATAGCTCATTGCATGACAATTCCTTAAGTTTTCCACTGTCGATTACGAATAAGGTAATTTTCACGATTACGAGTTTTTGCACAAGAATCACGCTAAGAACGTTGGAAATAATTTTGTAATTTGCATGGTTGCAGTTGCGCAGTAAACCTACCAAAGTACACTATATGGGAGACCCGGACCTCATGCCGATAACTACCTATGAGAGCACAATATTAGTGCGAATGTTGTACCAAATAGCGTCTAGACTAAATGAAATGGTGAGTATTATAACCATAAAAACAAAGTTTTTTTCCAATTATTATGGTTTTTTGTTCTTTTTTTCTTTGTACATAGTCGTGCAACACAAATATGAGGCATCCCCGTTATGTTATACAATACTTGTGGTGGGGCTGCCTCGCCTTACCCTTAGCGTCTAAGATAGATACTTTTTTGTAAGATTTGCGATCGTTGATGGTGGTCAATGTCGATCGATGACAACGAATTATTTGTTAATTCAAGAATAGTATTTAATAAAAACCGTGAGACAGTCTAGATCACTGATGTAGTCCCACAGGGCCGATGTTACGAGGTTACGGGGCAAGTGCGAAAGGTACCGCGGCTCGGCCTAGAGCTGGAGAAGTAACGGGTTATAGTCAGTAAAAGGCTGATACTCTCTCTCCTCCCTCTTGCCTCGCCCTGGGCGAGAGAAGTCATTTGATTATTAAGACAGGTCCAGGTGCCGAAGACAATTTCTTTTCTATAACAATGTTCAAAATGTACCCCTGAAGATAGAGTAATGCTAGCGTTGACCTATATTTGAAAAACGAGGTGTCTTTATTATTATTTACAGTACGGAGCTCAGTTCGAAAGTCTATGGAATCGAAATGATTTGTGTGGGTTTATGGCTCGGGAAGTGCTACAATCACCTTGTACGATTCAGACGTATGTAAAGGATGTAACAAATCACCAGAACATTGTCAGTCAGCAACTTCCTGCACGACTTTCCCTGCGACGTCTCGGAACACACGCATTCGTTGTCTGGATCTCCATCGGCTACATCATATTCAAAATGTTATCCTACAGCGGATTATTCTACGCGTTTGTTTTAATCATTATGTGGTTAATGTTCGTTTTCACAAAAGCTAGTTGTAAAATGTTAAGAACTATTTAAAATCAAGTTATTTATAATTAAATTTTTATAATACCTTATTCTTGCATCGAATAAAATTATTTTTGTATGAATCTGGGTTTTATTGTTGCAAATGATGTCGACTACTAGATTTGTGTTACCTACTCTAATACGACACTCATTAACACTTTTGTGTGTCACACATGTAATAATAATAATAATAAATCCGCAAAGCAGCTTGTGGCGAGCTGTTGGGCAGTGGCGACCCCACGGACCTGACTCCCGGGAGGTGTCTTGTTCTTCTCTCTCCGGTTAGTCCTCCTGACAAGCTGGAGTGAACACTGATAAAGAACAAGCCCTCCTACCTCATTCTTGCCTTAATTGGCTGGCTTGAGTGGAGATTCGCAAGAGTAGGAGTTGAAGGAGACTCGGGGGAAGGATGTATCTCAGTAAGGTGCTGGTAGGGGTCTTGACCGTACTTCCGGGATTGCTCTGATAGCCGTGGGATGCCTTTCCTTCCCCAAGCAGCTCAACGTATGTTGCCCCCGTGTCGCTACATGCAAGCGGCCGTTTCCGGGGGCCCATTAATTGAGTTTGCCAGTCACCCCCTGCCTGTCTATCCGTATGTATCAATATTGGTCAGGGGCAGGGGCCATAGTATTGTTACGTGCCTGACGTCACGTTCCTGACTATGCGGGCTTGGGTTACGGGATTGGATGAAATGAAACACTAATACCGGTTTTCAGACTTTCTATTGCACTTAAGTTACAGCGTCCACGGAGTTAAGTTATCGGCGTTCCTCTCCAGCAGAGTCCGGCCGACTGACACAACTTTGCCGTTCACGCTGACTTAACTCACTTAACTGACTGCACTTCACTATTTCACTGCACTTCACTATTTCACTCACTTTTCTTCTTTCTCACTTCTTCCTTTTCTTCCGAATCGCTTTAGACTTAGAACTCAACTGCCAGCGGTGAGCCGCAGTTCCGCTTATATACCCCCGGTCAGGTTCTAGAACATTCAATTTCGTTATTCTTTTTGATCGTCATGCCTCCAGAATCTTCCAATAATTTCGTTATTCATTTTTATTTATTCTTCTTCTCGCTCCTTAATTTTTCATCACTTTCACTCAAATATTCCAGAAAGTTCGACAAAACTTCCATCAACTAAAAAACTTCATGTTTACGGCGGGACTCGAACTCGGGGTCTCTGTGGTGTAATCCACACGCCTTACCGATTACACCAACTCGTGTTGACAATTCACGACGAAATTTACAATCTCTAGGCAACGTTTGACAACCATCCATTGACGTCATGATGTCAAAGAGTTTTCTGTCACACTGCCCCCCTCTTAGATTCGCTCGTCCCGAGCATCGTTGCTGCCGTAATACCTCGCCAACCTGTCTATATGGACAACTTTCAAAGGGCTCCTTGAAGACTTCCGAATTCTGTAAGTAATGTCATTGATCTTCGTGACTATCTCGTAAGGACCTTCCCAACTCGGTTGCAGCTTTGGAGATTTTCCCTTCCTTCTGACTGGATTATGAAGCCAGACCAATGACCCCTCTTCAAACCCAACAGAATTGGCTCGTCGATCATAGCGCGTCTTTGCGCGATCACTAGCTTGAAGACCGGCCTCCCTGATCTGCTCATAAATGTCCAACATTTTTGCCCTTAACTCGCTTATGTAATCGCTAAACTCGGTGCGAGAATCACCAGGTGGACAGCCCGATACAAGATCTGCCGGTAATCTCAATTCCCTTCCAAAATTTGCAAATGCAGGCGTCTTTGCGGTACTTTCATGTACAGCAGTCCGATAGGCAAGCAAGAAGAGAGGTATGTAAGTGTCCCAATCTCTCTGATGGCTGTCAACCACCTTTGCTAAGTGTCGCTCCAATGTTTGGTTGAAGCGTTCGACCATTCCATCTGACTGTGGATGATAAGGGGTCGTTCGAGTCTTATGGATTCCCAAAAGTTTACAAGTTTCCTGGAAAACTTGGGATTCAAAGTTCCGTCCTTGATCACTGTGCATCTCCAAGGGCACTCCGAATCGGGTGAATACCTCGTTTACCAACTTCGTGGCTACAGTTACTGCCTCTTGATTCGGTATGGCAAAGACCTCCGGCCATTTTGTAAAATAATCCATAACCACTAAAACGTAGCGATTGCCCGAATCAGTGATTGGAAATGGTCCAGCGATGTCTAAGGCTATTCTCTCCCAAGGCATACCAACATTGTAGATTTTCATCGCCCCTCTGCTTCTTGTTTGTGGACCCTTGACAGCTGCACAACTAGTGCATTTCCGGCACCAATCTTCGACGTCATATTTGCAATGCAACCAATAAAACCTCTCCTTGATCTTCACCAAAGTCCTCCTAATTCCCAAATGTCCTCCAGAAGATCCATCATGGAACGCTTTTAATACATCCCTTATTTTTGAACGAGGCACCACCAATTGCAAATGCTCGTCCTTGCCGTTTGTTGATTCCCATTTCCTGCACAGAAGTCCGTTATGCAGCGTGAGGCTTTTCCACTGTGCCCATAAACCTTTCGTTACCGCGCTATATTGGGCGACGTCACTCCAACTTGGCTTGTTACCACTTCGTAGCCACTCCAGTATTGGTTTGATATCTGCATCTCTTTCCTGTTCTAATTTCATCGCATCATCTCCCCATGCCTCGTCAACAGTATCAGTCCTTATCACCTTAAGAAAAGCAGTTTCCTTCTTGGCACAATGCTTGCAATCTTCCACGCATGGGCGTCTCGATAATGCATCTGCGTTGCCATGAATTCTTCCGCCGCGATGTTCGATTTCAAAGTCAAATTCCTGAAGTTGTTCCAACCATCTGGCTACTTGGCCTTCGGGATCCTTAAACTGAAGCAGCCATTTCAAAGCAGCGTGATCAGTTCTGATCAAAAATTTCCGTCCCAGTAAATACTTCTTGAAATGGTGCAGAGTTTTGACTACGGCCAGCAATTCCCTCCTGGTCACGCAATAATTCTTCTCCGGCTTGGATAGTGACTTGCTGAAGTAAGCAATAACCTTCTCCTGCTCACCATCGCGTTGTGAAAGGACACCTCCTATTCCAATATTGCTGGCATCCGTATCAACTACGAATATTCCTTTCGCGCTGGGGTATCCGAGAATTGGTGTGTTACAAAGCCGTTCTTTTAGTTCTCGAAAGGCTTGCTCACAATCCTCGTCCCAGATAAAGGCACGTTTCTCCTCTGTCAATCGATGCAAAGGCTTGGCAATGTCCGAGAATCCTTTCACAAACCGCCGATAATACGAGCACAATCCAAGAAATGCCCGAACTTGCGTTTTGTCTTTAGGTGTTGGCCATTCCTTAACAGCGGCAGTCTTGGCTGGATCAGTCTCAATTCCTCTCTCAGAAATAACATGTCCTAGATAATTCACTTCGCGCTTGAAGAAAGAGCATTTCTTTGGACTCAACTTTAAATTTGCTCCACGCAGCTTATCGAGTACCTTTTCCAATTTCCTTAGATGATCGTCAAAATCCCGTCCAACAATGATGATGTCATCGAGGTAAACTAGGCAGGTTTCGCCCAGCAGTCCCGCCAGCACCTGTTCCATCAAACGCTCAAAGGTTGCCGGTGCATTGCATAATCCAAATGGCATCACCTTAAATTGCCAGAGTCCCTTCCCAGTTGAGAATGCGGTCTTTTCCTTGTCCTTGGGATCCAAATCCACCTGCCAATAGCCGCTTTTCAGATCGAGCGTTGAAAACCATTTCATGCCACTCAGTGTGTCAAGTGTGTCATCGATTCTTGGTAACGGGTAGCTATCCTTCTTGGTTACATCATTCAATCGTCGATAGTCTACGCAAAACCTCGTTGAACCATCTTTCTTCTTGACAAGCACGACAGGTGAACACCAAGGGCTAGAAGAGGGCTCTATCACGTCATTTTTCCTCATATCGTCAATCATTTCTTCAACCTCTTTCTCACGAGCGAATGGTATGCGTCTGGGCCTTTGACGAATTGGCATTGTATCACCTGTGTTTATTTTATGCTTCACTAAACCAGTTCGGCCAATATCACCATCGCTTCTTGAAAACACATCAGAGAATCGAAGAAGTAAATTTCTAGCTTTCATAGTCTCCACTTTTGTCAGACTTTTGTTTTCGTCTAAGATTTTCGTTACAAAGTCTATTCCCGTACTGTCCTTCTTCACAAGATTCTCCGAGCATTTTCTTATCCAGGCCACTTCTTCCAATACGCCCACAGGCTCTCCTTCTTCAATCGTAATTTTTGAATCACTGAAGTTGAATACCGGAATGCGGTTGACATCAGATGACCCCACGACAGTTCTCGCCGGTAGCCATGAGTTTACGTGTTCCGATTTATCAATCACAGCGCACCTTAGAGGTAAACTTCCTTCCCTCCTCCTAGGTAATGCGATTGGTACGAGAGTCTGTGATTTTGGTTCAAGAACAGTTCTTCTTAAACAGCAAACTTTTCCCAGGGTTCCACCCTTCATCGGAATTTCTTCAGTTCCACATAGTAATACTCCAGATTTTAAGTCGATGTTACACTGGTGCCCTTGCAGGAAGTCAAGTCCCAGGATGCAGTCATCCAGAATTTTGGCCACAATAACCTCATGTCGATAAACACGTTCCCCAATTTTGATTGTTACATGCAGTTTTCCACTTATCGGTATGCACTGGCCGGTGGCTGATTTCATTCGTAGGCCAACAATTGGTTTAACGTGTTTCCTGATGTTTTGCCCGAGCAGCCGAACATTTATCACCGTCCTTGAAGCTCCAGTATCTAATGCTAGCTGACTGTTTTTCCCATTTACTTGACCGTCTATCACCAGAGTATTTCCATCGCTAGTTTGCTTGATGTAGATTGTTGGGGTTATTCCACTACCGGCCAGCGCCCACCCCGCAGCCCTGGCTGGATTTAGTTTCCCTGCTGGTCAGAAGTTGAGACCGCCGCGTCCTGGCGGTTCACCTTCTTCGGGCAGTCGCTCCGCATGTGCCCACGCTCTCCGCATCCATAGCACATGAAGTTCCGACGGCGTGGAGGTACCTGCTCCGTTGTCGTCATTTCCCGCAGACGTAAGGTACGGGAGTTACTACGCACGGCTTCCACTTCCAATGCATGGGCCAGAGCTTCTTTCATGTTCTTGTGATGGCCCAGATGAACAGCAGCTCGTACTTCGGGGTCCCGAACACCGTCAATGAATGCTTGGAGAAGCGTGCCTTCAATCATTGATGGAGTCGACCGAAAAGCTCGACGCACAAGTTTCTCGATTTCCACGGACCATTGCTGTAGACTCTCATTAGCACGCTGAGTACGCTCTTTTAATTGCGCTCTGTACACGTGCTCGAGGTGGCTGTCTCCAAAACGTGCCTCAAGTGCGTCGAGGAGGGTACTAAAGCTGAGATCCCCACTTGCGCCGATAGCTTCCAGCACTGAGAGCGCTTGATCACGGAGGGCCAGGGTGAGGGCTGACTGTGCTTCCTTCTGAGTCCAACCATAAGCCTCCATAAGTGTCTCAAACTGTAGCTTGAACGCGGTCCAGGATGTTGTTCCGTCGTAATGGGGAATCTTGAGCCCTTTCGTTGCGCTTGAGGCCGCATTTGGGGCGTCAAAAACGGCTGCAAGACGGCTTCGGCTCTTCAAAGGGCTTGGGCTTGTCATTTCCTGCTTGATTTTGGAGATCTCTTCTTCCACTCTCTCCTCTATGGCCATGACGCGATGTTCCAACTTGCCTAACCCTTCCTCCACTTCCTGTACCCGTTCGACAGCCTTTTGCAGTCCCTTCGTGAAATCCTTATGCATCTCTTTCAGCTCCCGTAGCTGCTCCGCCTGACAGTGTGCTTGCTCCCGTAGCTGTTCTGCCTGACAGCGTGCTTGCTCCTCTTGGCGGCGCGCTTGCTCTTCTTGGCGGCGCGCTAGCTCTTCTTTCATTTGCTGCAGCTGTAGCAGAAGATCCACCTGCACAGGCTTGGCTTCTGCATCGCTGGTTTGAGCTGCAGCACCCTCTTCCCTCACACGCTGCGCTTCTGACATTGAACGGGTACTCACTCCTCTTACGTCCTGCGGCACTAGCGGCATTTTTCTCCAATCCCACTTCTGACACCAAATGTTACGTGCCTGACGTCACGTTCCTGACTATGCGGGCTTGGGTTACGGGATTGGATGAAATGAAACACTAATACCGGTTTTCAGACTTTCTATTGCACTTAAGTTACAGCGTCCACGGAGTTAAGTTATCGGCGTTCCTCTCCAGCAGAGTCCGGCCGACTGACACAACTTTGCCGTTCACGCTGACTTAACTCACTTAACTGACTGCACTTCACTATTTCACTGCACTTCACTATTTCACTCACTTTTCTTCTTTCTCACTTCTTCCTTTTCTTCCGAATCGCTTTAGACTTAGAACTCAACTGCCAGCGGTGAGCCGCAGTTCCGCTTATATACCCCCGGTCAGGTTCTAGAACATTCAATTTCGTTATTCTTTTTGATCGTCATGCCTCCAGAATCTTCCAATAATTTCGTTATTCATTTTTATTTATTCTTCTTCTCGCTCCTTAATTTTTCATCACTTTCACTCAAATATTCCAGAAAGTTCGACAAAACTTCCATCAACTAAAAAACTTCATGTTTACGGCGGGACTCGAACTCGGGGTCTCTGTGGTGTAATCCACACGCCTTACCGATTACACCAACTCGTGTTGACAATTCACGACGAAATTTACAATCTCTAGGCAACGTTTGACAACCATCCATTGACGTCATGATGTCAAAGAGTTTTCTGTCACAGTATTTCCCTAGTTTTCATCCATTAGTGCATAGCAACCCATACCCATAACCCTATCAATTGTTACCAAATTTTATAATAGTCCTGCATCAACCGGGGATTATCCTTGGGTGCACTTTTATAGTGCATACAGGGATAATTGCCGGCTGATGTCCCATCACATTTAGATTAAAATTGTTCAACGGGCCTCTGCGAGTTGGCTTCGGCTCCTCGTATGCCTTCCAAAGGTCCGGGACCCTGTGGTCCCGTGAAAGGAAAGAACAAACAAAATAATAATAATAAAATTTTACCACATTTCACAATAGTCCTGCATCAACCGGGGGTTGTCCTTGGGTGCACTTTTATACTTAGAGCATACAGGGATAATTGCCGGCTGATGTCCCATCACATTTAGATTAAAACTGTTCAACGGGCCTCTGCGAGTTGGCTTCGGCTCCTCGTACGCCTTCCAAAGGTCCGGGACCCTGTGGTCCCGTGAAAGGAAAGAACAAACAAATAATAGCCTTTATTTCCGAACTATTACAACAGTTTAACATATAGAAAAATATATAGAAATTTAATTGGTTCACAAAAAGTCTCTTGGTTCGGTGTGCCTTTCGGCATAGGCCTCCTCCAACTCTCTCCAATGCATTCTGTCTGTGGCCACTCTCATCCAGAGAGGTCCAACAGTAATTTTCAGGTCGTCCTCCCATCTTTTCATTTTCCGACCGCGACTTCTATTTCCATCCCGTGGGCACCAAACTGTCATTAGCTTACTCCATTTCTCCTTCTTACACCGTATCATATGTCCACTCCATCTCCACTTGAGTTGGTCGATACGTGTCAGGATATCAGTGACCTTTGTTTTATGCCTGATGTCGTCGCTCCTGACCTTGTCTTTTAGTTTGAGACCTAGCATACTTCGTTCCATGCTCCTCTGACATCTGGCAAGTTTGTCTCTGTGGCGACTTGTCAAAGCCCAGGTTTCACAGCCATATGTAATGGTGGGTAAGATACAGGTATCAAACGTCTTTAGCCTAGCCTAGCTCCTTTCTTTTCATGATTTATTTTAAGGCCCAGTACGTTTTCCACCCTGTCGCAATTCTTTTGTCTATTTGTTTCGACATTTGGTCATTAGGTGATATGATCTGGCCCAAATATACCTACATATTTTTTAACGTATTCAAGTTTTTCCTTGTTAACGTATATGTCTCTAGATATTAAATTTGTCATTAATTTGGTTTTGCTGGAGTTCATTTCTAAACCTAACTCTCTACTTCTATCTGCAAGGCTTTGTATCATGAATTCCAATTGTTTTGGGTCCTCTGCTAGTAGGACCAGATCATCCGCAAATCTTAGATGGTTCAATATAAATCCGTTTATTTTCAGACCAACATGGTCACACATGTACCACTACGATTTTCATCATGATATCTCGGATGCCGCTTACATTTCTCAAACATTTTATTTGAACTCGCTGGGCGAGTACACGGCGCTAGAATAAAATTTACGTGGCCTCTAGGCGAGTCGGTGGCACTGAATATGTTAAGAAATTGAAAGACATGATTATTATATTCATTTTTTTTATTAAGTGGGCCTTACATATCTTTGATAGTATTAAACAAATAACAATCGCACAGGTAAAGCTAAGTAAACTAACAATATTTCTTGAGAGTAAGCTTAGGCACAATATTCATGGAGGCTAGCTCTTGGAAGAGAAGCTTGCAGGCATAGGGCATTTCGACGCTGGAGACTGCGGCCGAGGAGTGACAGGCGTGGCACCAGGCACGACTGGCCAGACGGCCACACGCACCGCATATATCCGCGCTGAACGCGTCCGACGCCAGCATCAGACGTTCCATCAGCAACATACTGAAGATAGTAAATATTACGGTTTAGTTTAAGTGAAGCGTTATTATACCTAGATGTAGAAAAAAATTACCAATTCTAGAATATCTACAATACCCATAGAAACATGGGTATTGTACAATTATAAATAACTAGCTCTTACCCGCGGCGTCGCTCCCGTCATTTGACTACTTACCCTACTCTACCTACCCTACCTACGCTACTTTATCTACCCTACTCTACCTACCCTACTTTATCTACCCTACTCTACCTACCCTACTCTAGCTACCCTACTCTAGCTACCCTACTCTAGCTACCCTACTCTTCCTACCCTACTCTACATACCCTACTCTACATACCCTACTCTACCTACCCTACTCTACCTACCCTACTCTACCTACCCTACTCTACCTACCCTACTCTACCTACCCTACTCTACCTACCCTACTCTTCCCTACTCTACATACCCTACTCTACCTACCCTACTCTACTCTACCTAACTTACTCTACTCTACCTAACCTACTCTACCCACCCTACTCTACCTACCTAACCTACTCTATCTAACCTATCCTATCCTATGTCCTTTTCCCGGCTCTAAACTACCTCTCTGCCAATTTTCAGCTAAATCGGTTCAGCCGTTCTTGAGTTATAAGTGGTGTAACTAACACGACTTTCTTTTATATATATAGATAGTATCTTTGAACAAGTGAACACCACTTTGGAAACGCTTGGAATCCGCTAATATGATAATGATAATTGTGAGCTTCGACAAAAAGACGAAAAGTTGCTGATCTGTATAATGTTACTTGACACTCATTCTGAACTGTCATTATCTCCACAAGATATGGCAATGCTAACCTTGCACCATAGCCAATGAGGCAATCACGTTCCATTTCCCCAAGACGCAGACCACCGTCTCGAGATCGTCCTTCCGTTGGCTGACGTGTGAGAACTGCACGTGGACCGCGGGCTCTGGCGTGCATTTTATCTTGCACCATATGTTTCAGCTTTTGATAGTACACCTAAATGTAAAAAATATGTATTACAATACTATTCAGTAAAAAAATAAAACAGCTTAACAGTGTCTTCTCTGAGTGAGAAAACATAATACACTTTGATACTTACAGGACCCGAATAAATATAAGCCTCCAATGTTTCTCCCGTGACTCCAGAATAAAATATATCTTTGCCATGATAGTTATAGCCATGTTTCTCAAGTTCCTGGCAAACATCACGAACCTTTGAACCACCAAACGCCGTTCCTGGAGGAGAGATTAAAAACTTATTTGACAAACGCGCAAATAATACTTACTGATATGTAAAAAAAATATGTTAAAGTATTCTTACCGTAATGAAATTTCCCTTCCATCAACCCAGCTTTACCCGCCAACAATTCGATAGTTTTTCCTACTGTCATTCTAGATGGAAAACCATGAGGGTTCATGATCATATCGGGACAAATGCCTCTGTCGTTAAAGGGCATATCTTCTTGCTGTACAATTAAACCCGTCACACCTTTCTGACCGTGACGGGAACTAAATTTGTCTCCTATTTCCGGAACACGTGTCTGACGGAGCAATATTTTAATAAGAAAAGCATCCTCCGAGTTTGAAGACACCATTACTTTTTCTATGTAGGATTCGACAGGTCCCTTATATGTGATAGGCACATCCTTGTAGTCCACTTGCTGAGGCTGGCCTTGGGTCACAGGGTTCAATGTCGCTGGCGGCATCTGCTTGTTTATTAACACTTGTCTATTTTCCACCATTTCGCCAGGTGCAGCTATACCATCTGTGTCAAGAACTTCATGTGCTCTAATAACTTTTCCTGTAGTCGCATCTCTAGATGGCCCCAAAATTCTATCAGAGGTTTGATTGCTATACCTCTTCATTGTAGTTTTGGCACTTTTATAAATAAGACACCGGCCATACCCGCGGTCTATAGACGCTCTGTTGAGTATCAACGCGTCCTCAATATCGTATCCACTGTAGCTCATGACCGCGACAGTGGCGTTCTGTCCAGCTGGTAGTTTATCAAAATTAGTCAACTCTATTGTTCTTGTCTTAACCATTGGACATTGCGGATACACCAAATTATACATTAATGTGTCTATACGATTTTTCTGATTATAACCAATTGTGCCTGAAATATAAAAAGTAAATAAATAAATATCGCAACTTTTCTAAAGGAAAACATTTATATTACTATACTTATATATGGTGTGTACTTACCCATTGCTTGTTTACCCATAGCACATTGGTATGTATTCCTAGGACTCTGATTGTGATGCGGGTACGGGACTAGACCGGCACAGACACCAAGAATAGTAAATGGCTCGATTTCTAAATGTGTGGTGACATATGGATCTATGTCTTGTTCCACTGCCGCTATATGACTGTCGTTCTCTTCATTCACATCTAAGTACTCAATAAGACCGTCATTCAAAAAGTCTTGGAATTTTCTGATTCCCCTATTTAGTTCATTTATATGAGATTGCTGTACTAGCGGGTTTCCTTTTTCAACAATGATATACGGTCTACAAAGTCTACCACCATCACTGCATATGTAGACAGTTCTTTGATTGTGATTAGGGTAAATTGAAACGAATGCCGATATCAGTCCGCGTCTTCGGAACATTCTAAAAACTTTAATGAGCCTTTTGTACTGTCTTGAAACACCTAATATGTTACCTGGAAATGAAACATAATTTGTATAAAAGAATACAATTACAAATAATTTGAAATAAAGAAATTTTAATTAAAGTAATACTAACCATTAAGAAACACCATATAGACAGCTGGATGATTGATTTCCTCGCCTCCTAACAGTCTAACGTCCTCAACGCCGGCATTACGGGCTAACCTAGCTATGGGTTCTTCGGAACACTCCGTTGTGATATGCGTCATCAGCGCTAAGTTCTTCACTAAACCGCAGGCTTCACCTTCAGGCGTGTCAGATGGACACAACATACCCCACTGTGACGGCTGCAAGGAACGAGGACCCGAAACTTTTCTAGTCTTTTCAAACTGAGAGTTCACCCTGGTCATCATACCCAACGCTGATATGTAACTAAGACGACTCAAAACTTGAGTGACGCCATGCCTCTCCATTTTAAATCTTTTGATTGTCCAGTTACCCTGAAAAAAATATAATAAGTAATTGACGAGAATTGACGAAAAAGTGTAAATATGTTATTTGTAGATAAATTAAGAAAGGTTTATAAAACTTCTAAACTTACAGAAGAAATAGCAGCGAACAATCCATTTGCAATCAAATCAGGTCTCATATGCTTAACAACATCAAATGGTGCTGCTTTGACTTTAGGTATTATTTTATCTGCTATTGATTTTAATTCCCAGTTGAATCTTTTGAACAAGTCTTCAAACATTAAAGCAAGTAAGGAACCGGCTAACTCAAGTCTTTTGTTTCCATAATAGTCAGGATCATCTATAGCAGCTTTGTTTGTCTCAGCTTCAATGACTCTTTTCACCATTATAGCGAGGTATATAGCTTTAACGTAGAAATTATAGTTTTCTACAGTAACATGAGCTAAAATTGTCGTAGCTAATAAATCCCGAGCCTCGTCCACAGGAGTACGAGCTTTAGCAGATCCTGATTGAAACCTGTGATAATAGAAAAACTTATAATAATAATATTATCTTTGCAATGTAAAAGATATTACAAGTATTTTATTACATTACAATGGTGTTCTTGTACCTTTTAACTTTAAGTTTGCCCCCAATATAAGAAAGAGCTTGATTTTGAGTAAATATTTTTAAATTATGACATTCCATTATACAAGGTGCCATCTTTTTCAATGACGTGTCGTCAGTGCCAATCAGTTGCATAATTTCTTGGTCACTGCAGATGCCCATTGCTTTGAATGCCACTGCAATGGGGATATCCTGAAAAGTTTTATTAATTATATTAGAAAAAAACACATGTTTGACAAACATTGTTAGAAAATACCTTAGTTCAGCACTGATTACAATCAGGTATAGTAAATTATTTGGAATACAACAGTCCACCATTAATCACTACCTATAATAACTAACATAATACATCACAACTTACATCAGACAAGGCATTGTGTCTCAACACATATTTTCCATTTTTTACAATAACGTTAGTTCTAGTTTTCTTTTCATGTGTTGAACTAGTAACTTGACATTGAATTGCTCCTTTGAACTCATCAACAATCATACGGTTCCTGGACAGCTGTTCTTGAATTAAAATCACTTTCTCTTGACCTGCAATATAAGAAAAGAAATACAAATGGTAGCTAGAAATATTTTATTGCTAATATATAGACCAAAAAATAAATGCTAAATTGATGTTGATGAAACAGATCAAGAAAAAATATACTGATCAATAAAAAACAAAGTGTATTTGTCTTGTTTTTGTACATATTACAGTTCATCATTTTTTTAAAAGCGTAAATATTTATTTTACCTCTAATGATAAAATAACCACCAGGATCATGTGGACACTCATTAAGTTGTGCTAATTCAAAATCGGATTTATTAGTAAGCACACAATTTGAAGATCTCAACATCAATGGCATCCTGAAAACAACAGAACATACATACATCAATTAATTTCACTTGTTAAAAACCATATAGACCACACACACTAGCAGAGGATTTGCCCTCAGAGGTTAACTGTCAGTCTTAAATAAATATAGCCCATTATAGCATGTTACTTTGCCTTGAACTTTTGTAAAAATTCAGCTATGTATGATAAATTTGTTTTTTTTTTTTTTTTTTTTTATTTAATGGCTCGGCAAACGAGCAGGCGGATTACCTGATGGTAAGCAATCAGCGCCGCCCATGGACACTCGCAACGGAGGAGTTACAAGTGCGTTGCCGACCTTTTAGGGTTTAGGGATTTGGAGATTTAGGGATTGAGGAGGGATTGGGGAAGGAGAAGGATTAGGCCTCCTCATTTGTGTTTAAAACAAAATTGGTCCTAAATTTTAAGTCATGCCAGAAACAAACTTTAGGTTCACATTTATAATATTCCTTTTACGACGTATATACAAGAAGGTTGAAATAAAGATCCACAATTTTAGTGTAGTTCTGTAAAATATACCTCTCATAAAGAGGATAATTGCTAAGATTAAAAGTAAATAAAAGCACATACAATTTTGTCAGAGAGAGCTTCAAGCTATAAATAAAATCATGGTTATAAAAGATAAAATCTCCGCTCTCCTTAAGGTGACTGGCGATATTCGTACGGGCCTTGAGAACACCAAAGCCACAGTTCTGGTTTTGGTGGATTTCTCGAACGCCTTCAATATGGTCAGTCACGACATTCTTTTGGCCATCCTATCCTATCTTCGATCTCTGACAAATCACTGAACTGGTTTTCATCTTATCTTCAGGAGCGTCAGCAGTTGGTCAAGCTTGATGATGTTTCATCAAATTGGCATGATTTGAAGGCTGGCGTTCCTCAAGGCGGAATACTATCTCCTCTTTTATTTTCTATCTTCATTAATATGATTACTTCCGAACTTCAGTGTGCGTACCATCTATACGCTGATGATCTGCAACTTTATTGTCAGGCTAGTGTTGACGGGCTATCTGATGCGATCTTGAAGATGAACGGTGATCTGGCAGCCATTGGAAACTGGTCCGCGAGGTTCGGTATAGCAGTGAACCCTGCCAAATGTCAGGCCATTATTATAAGAAGTTCTCGTACGCTGAGTGGGATTGACAGAGCATCCCTACCGGCTGTGATGTTTGACGGTGCAGTTATCCCATTCAGTAATGATGTTAAAAATCTTGGCCTGATATTATTGATAACAGTTTAAAGTGGCGTGCTCAGGTCACCAGTGTTTCTAGCAAGGTTACTGGATCCTTGCGGGCCTTGTATAGCGCGAAAAATTTGCTTCCACCTGCCACGAAGGCTATGTTGGTGCAGGCCTTGGTTTTCCCTATTATTGATTATGCTGATGTTTGCTACTACGACCTGAATGCAGATCCAAGGCTCGGAACCGGTTTAAAAAATACCGGTTAATACCGGTTTATTTCGGTTTATCTCCGAACTTTTCTTAAGAACGTAAACGTTTTAAGAACTTTATTTTAATCTAAATAAACCGGTTTATAGACGTGCGACGTCGCTAAACGCGTTGCAACTTGTACGAATACCGCGCTGCCGCGCATAGCGGCGAGGTATGAAGACGTAGGTACTAGCGATATTTCTTTTCATTCGAAATATTTTGTTTACCGATTAGTTTGGTCATTATCAGCTTAACTTCACGAAACAAAATTAGATACTTACTCATTTTTTAATGTTTTTGCTGCGGAGCTTATTGATGCAATGACACAAACGTCCGATCCGAAACAAAAAAATCTTACTATTGAATAAAATCTAAACAGTACGCGGCATTTCTTTATAGTGCGTCCATATTAACCGGTTTTTATTGCTCTTAACCGTTTAATTCGAAAAAACCTTTATATTAATGCTCTTCCAAATAACGGTTTAAAAAAACCGGTATATAAGAACGAAACCAAAATGTAAAGGTTTTGCGTCAAGTACATAATAACGGTTAGAAAATTTAACCGGTATCCGAGCCTTGTGCAGATCTTCTCAATAAACTTGATCGACTTCTTAATAACTGCATTCGATTCGTTTTCAACCTGCGTAAATACGATCATGTTTCTGCATATCGGCTGCAATTAAAGTGGTTGCCCATACGCCAGCGCAGGGAGCAAAGGGCGCTTACCACTCTATTTTCTTTTCTTCATTCACCTTCTTCGCCGAGTTATCTATCCCCTTACTTTCAGTATATATGCGCAAACCACAATAAAAATTTACGTTCTTCTCATAACCGACTTCTTCAATGTCCTACTCACCGCACTGATTTCTTTCATTCTTCCTTCTTCGTTCAAGCTATCTTCCTGTGGAATGCGATCCCCCTGGATGTCAGGATGGTGTTAGGTCGTTTGACTTTCAAGCAGAAAGTTCGGGAGCAATTATTGAAGAAATTGGCTGAATCATCACAATAAGTAAATATAAGTATATCTATATATATATAATAATATATATATATAAGTATGTAGTATCTATTTATTTATATTAGTGTTTCTATATTTATTTATACATAATTTGTATGTATTATTAGTTTATGTAAGATTATATTGTTATTGAATTTGTTTAAATTCATACATTATTATATTGAGTCTTTGTTTTAGACTATAAAAATTTTGCTGCTTGCGCTCACCGTTTTTACTCATCTCTGCATCACCCAAAGGTCAGACTGGTAGATAATGCCTACGGCATTAAGTCCGCCTATGTACAGAAATTTGTGTGCATAAAGCTTAATAAATAAATAAAATTGAACAATACAAACATACCTTCCAATTAACTGTTTATTCTTTATGACCCTCTGATTGCCTCTTATGTATTCTATGTCCACTGTGATTGGTGCAGAGTATGTCATGTCCCGGAGTCTGCACTCATGTGGAGTAGTTGGTTTAGTGACATTGTACCCTTCTTCTAAATCCGGTGTCCCAACATAAGCATTCAAGTATTTTATGTAAAATAATGGGTCAGCATCACAAAATACTTTTTCATTAGCTTGGACAATTTTCTTTATTTCTACATTAATAAAATAATTAAATGAATCAATATGCTGTTTTACTAATCCTTTCACTTGTAAAAAGGATGGTACTAATTTCCACTTGTCCTGAAAATATATATAAAATATATATACATTTTTCAGTTATAAACATACCTGTTTTTTAAGACATGAAACACAAAGTATAAATTGTATGGATATCCACACAGTAAACAAAAAACAAATAGTTAGAATACTGATTGATGGACAAAAAAAATAAGTTATTTACAATAAATATCATCAAATCGTTTTAAACTGTTTAATTATTTGGGTCCATTAAAATCAAATTATTCTTAAAATATTACTAAAAGTTATAAGATTGTAATAAATTACCACATGGGGTTTAACGCATGCCAGGTACCACAAAATATGGTCTAGTCAGTGGATAGTCTTTATACATTAAAGAATTGAATAATCTTATTCAATTTATGCTAATATTGATGCAAAACACGAAACTCGTGGAAAAATCAAATGTCAACTAACCTCCAGCGTTTTTATCGGATCACGAGAAACTTTTGCCGAATCCCAATCATTTTGCCTCTTGTTTATCTCACCCATGATTTAGTATTTTCATCAGTGCTCATACGATACTAAAATTATGTGTACAATTTAAACACGGCATGCTAATCTCAGCCTCCACCGCATCATTGATATTGACAGTAATTGACACAGCTACCGGTGACAGCACAATGTTGACAATGAGGAACAGCTGTCAATATACAGCATGTTGATTTTTTTTACTATCCATGGACTGTACTCGTACAGCAGTGATTTTTGTCAAAGACAAAAACTAGCCATTCTCAAATCTTAAAGATATGATGATGATAAAGCATATACTTACGCATGTATGCATTTGTGTAAAAACCTAATTAAAGGATCTAAATAAAAACTTGATACTGTGTTAAAATTCATTAAATATACTTGATTTGAATACAATGAGCCTACCATTTTTCTACATTCGACAACTCACAAGAATCTATTCCAGATTTCATAATCTGTGGATATGAATGAGTGAGTAGTCGAGATGGAATGAAAAAGAAGTGCAGGAAATAAAACTGACAGCGGCCGACTGATTCTGTAACTTGTTAAAAATAAAATTATGATCATTACCTTCCAGTTCGAAATTCCGTTTGTCGTTGTTGTGCAAAACAATTTCAAAACAATAAATTAGCCACTCTCGACTCTATTGCAGAAAAATGCCTCTATACGTAATATAACAATTTTTTCGTATACATCAAGATGGTTTACGAGTCCGTTCCTCGTACAGTTAGAATACTCCTATTAGGCGAACCTGGAGTCGGAAAAACGTCGCTGATACTTTCTCTGGTAACCGAAGAGTTTACTGAACATGTACCACCTAAAGCCGAAGAGATAACAATTCCTGCAGATGTGACCCCGGAACAAGTACCGACCAACATTATCGACATTTGTCGTATGTATAAAAGATTGTTGTAATATTTATTTACTACATAAACCTTCGATTTATACTTTATTAATCACCGCATCAAGATTTCTATATTAAGTATATTAAGATCCCGGTTAATGTTTGAAAGTACTATTAATTTGTTTTGCAATAAGTAATTTGGGTAACTCCAAAAAGTATATGCTTCGGAAAAAATAGTTCAATAACAATGAAATGGAGTTTTTTTGTAAATAAAATAAAAGATGTGATGTGGCTTTCACATGTTTGTTTTACCACAAGTAGCATTTTCTCACAAACAAGACATCTTGAATTCTTGGAATAAATGTAAACAATTGGTTGACTTGATTGTTCATGTAAAGATGTTCTATTATTATTATTATTATTTGCAGTTGCTGAGCAAACACTAGAACAAGTGGGAGAAGAAATAGAAAGAGCTCATGTAATATGCATAGTTTTCTCAGTAGACAGACAGGAGACATTAAACAAAATAGCCTCATATTGGCTGCCTTTTGTAAGAGAAAACTGTCCTGATGATTACAGAAAGCCAGTTATTCTTGTTGGAAACAAAATTGATTTAATTGATTACTCCATTATTGATGTAAGTTTACTTAAATTAATATTGGACATATAACATTGACAACATTTGATTACAATTACACTTTTTATATGGATAGACTCTGAAGATGATATTTATTCAACATGACCATGTCTTGGCAATGTAGACTAACTATTTATCAGCAAATTAATACTAAAAAAGAGTTTAGCAGACAATGCCTCATTCCTGTTTGTTACTTTGATTCAATTAATTACAGAACATTTAATAATTTTCAGAATATATGGGATATAGCAGAGGAATACCCAGAGGTAGACAGATGTATAGAATGCTCAGCAAAATCTCTTATAAATGTATCTGAGATGTTCTATAATGCACAAAAAGCTGTCCTGCACCCCATTAATCCCATATACAATATTGAAGAACAAGAGGTAATTACATGTACTTAAATGAAAGAACAATGGCACTATTAATCTTGACAGCACTATGTACTTTCTGTTTTTAGTGTAAAATAAATAATTTTGTACTATGTAATTTGTTTGAGTTATAGTTATAGTATAGAATTTTCTTCTAAAGCCATTGTATCAAGGAAGCTAATTAACACTGGACATGATTTCTGATATTAATTATTATTTATTGTTTTAACTAGTTGACAGAAAAATGCAAAAGGGCTTTAACAAGGATATTCAAGATCTGTGATTTAGATGGAGATGGCCTTTTAGATGACTATGAAGTGACAATGTTTCAAAGAAAATGTTTTGACTCACCTCTGCAATTGCAGGTAACATTATTCACTTACATTCCAGTTCTTCTAAGTCATATTCAATGCCCATTATGTATGAGGTAAACAACTAGGCTGTTAAAGATGGATTATGCATTTTATGCCTGTCTTTATGTAACAAAACTTACATCATAAGTGTTGTTTCAGGTTTTAGATGAGGTAAAATCAGTAATTGCTCAAAACATAGCTGGTGGTATAGAAAATGATTGTATAACAATAAAAGGTTTTATTTTCTTACATTGTTTATTTATTCAAAGAGGAAGAAATGAAACAACATGGACAGTACTTCGTAAATTTGGCTATGAGGAGAGCCTGGAATTGACTCACAGTTATTTATATGCTAAGTATGTATTGCTTATTAACACATGTTTTAAATGGACTATTATAATCTATACTAATATTATAAAGAGGTAAAATTTGTAAGTTAGTATGTTTGTATGTAGAGGGTAATCTTTGGAACCGCTGGTCGGATTGACAAAATTCTTTCATTGATAGATAGCTACAATATTCCTGAGTGCTATAGGCTATATAACATCACGCTACGATTAAATGGCGCCGAGCAGCGGGTGAAACCGCGCGAGAGTAGCTAGTTATTTATAATTTAATACATTATTTTTCATAATAAAATTGTTATATCTTTATAGCATTAAGGTTCCTGTAGGCTGCACAACTGAACTTTCATACAAAGGACAACAATTTTTAACACAGTTGTTTGAAAAATATGACTCGGACAAAGATGGCATGCTTAATCCTACTGAACTGAAAAATGTGTTTTCCTGCTGTCCAAGAATACCATGGCATAATTTGCGGTACACTGTGCCTACAAATGATAAGGTATTTTTTATAACCCCATAACCTTCTACAGGCACAGCAGAACTTATCATGAGACTGGTAATAGAAATGGTTTATGGCTTATTATTTTTCTTGCAGGGATATTTAACTTTACAAGGTTGGATGTGTCGGTGGACCTTAATGACCTTGATGGACTTGCAAAATACTAGTGCCTATCTAGCTTACTTGGGCTTCAATTTTCTAGAAAATGAAACACAAAAATCTGCAATACACAGTAAGTTCTACCAAAAATACTGATACTCGTTAATATCTAAATGTGAAACTTTAACTCATTTGCAAACTTTTTACAGTAACACGTGAAAAAAAAGTAGATATTGCCAAGAAACAATCGAGTCGAAATGTTTACCAGTGCCATATCATTGGTCCAAGGTCATGTGGAAAGACATCTATTTGTAGAAGCTTTCTTGGTATAGCACATAAGGTTTGTATCAAATAATATGATTTACAATGTGATTAAAGTTCTTATTCTATAGACTTCATGATCTTTTCAGAAAATAAAACCGCACGCCAATGAACGAGGTGACAGCAATACATACAGTGAGAATTGTTGTATAAATACTGTATTGGTGTATGGTCAAGAAAAATACTTAGTGTTAAAAGAAATACCGATAACACGCGTCTCGGATCCTCTACAACCCCATGAAGTCAATTGTGATGTTGCTTGTCTTGTATATGATGTCGCTGCAAGTCGGTCATTCGAATATATCGCTAGGATATATATCGTAAGTATTGTGTTTTATATGTATATAAATGACATTGAGGATCAAAAGCGTCATATTTGTTAAATAATGTTAAATTCCATTTTTTTACAGAAATACTTTGCCGAGAGTCATATTCCTGTGTTAATAGTGGGAACTAAGGGTGATGCGCTGATTGCAAGACAAGAGTATATCCTCCAACCAGATGTATTTTGCAATAAATATCAACTACTACCACCACAGTTGTTCAATATTAGAGAAAATAAACATGATGTTTTCGTCAAACTCGCCACCATGGCCGCATTTCCGTAAGTAAACACTTATTTTTAGTGAGCACTGCTTTGAAGTTTAGTTTTCGTCACAAGTAAATTAATCCTTATATATGCCTATACTAATTATTTTAATGGGTCAATAAATTTTGAAATCAATTATTTGTCCCCGAAATGGCTGAAATTACGAAATTGTTATTTTAATTGTCTTTGTCAGTCAATTTCAAGCAGCTTGGATTTTATTCAGCAAGCACAGGTTCGTGGTTAAATTGATTTTTATTAATTAACATTGTCTTGTTGACCCTTTCTGATTTAATTTATTATATTTCAGACACTTGAAGCATTTTGCCAGCTTGTCAGGCGATAATTCGTCATGGTGGAAGGCGGGCATTGGAGTTGCTGCCGCTACAGTCGTGGGACTCGTACTCATTAAGATATTCAGCTTCCAGAAACGTTAGATTAGAGTATATGCTGCAGCTTTTATTTATTGTACATAAATATTGTTATGTATTAAAAATAGTATTGAATTTAAATGCTTGAAAAATTATTTATTTTAGACCAAAGAGAAACCTTGAATAGGACAAATAATATATTTTGTTTCAGTTGTAAATAAAAATTTTTGATTGCGGAACGCGCTTTCATTGTAAAAATATAATGCCGTAAAACGGGGCGAATAAATACTCAAAAGGGGTGATTACATGTTGGCGAATTTTCCTAGTATCTAATCACCAAGCTTCTGCGTCTATTCACCCTGTTTCACCGTTACCTAAATTATCTGGTGCCTAGTCGACAAATATTTTACTGCTACAAGTTTTAGTCTTACCTGACCAAGTTATATATATCGCCGCTAAGGCGAAAAAATATCAGTACTTACCTACTTATTCCAAATTGTTAACACTGGTTTAGGTACATTTCGCCTAGATTCTCAACTTCCTAGATTTCCTATTATGAATGCTCTTATCAAAGAATAAAAAAATAACAGAAATTGGGAAATAGCAACCCTTTTGGTGCTCTGGCGGTTTTAACTTCCTAACGAGACTGAGACCGAGGTAGGTAGTTTGATATCGGTGAGAAGTAGGGGCGGTGCGCTTGTATATAGGTAATAAACTAGCTTCCACCCGCGTGTTATGTTGATAAAAAGTAGCCTATGTCCTATTCCGGAGTGTACCTACCTATCCTATACCTGCGCCAAATTTCATCCAGTCGTTTTGGCGTGATTGAGCAACAAACATCCAATCATCGTAACTTTCGTATTTATAATATTAGTAAGATTATTAAACCTATCACCCCTAGCATGGTGTGTAGGTGCTTCGAACGTAGGTAGGTATCAAACAAAACGCTTACACAGGAAAATGGCATGGAGGAGCATTTGAATTGTTCCGTCGAGCGCTAGAAGCGAATAACACGTCTACAAGCATCATTTTTGTTATCTGCATTAGGTCAGCAATACACATTTGAGTGTCGTGTTGCAAGCGTCCATGGGGCAACGCCGATTCTTACCATTATGGGAATCGTTTGCTCGATTTCCGACCTATGTCATGAAAATAAAAAGCATTGTGCCAACTTACTGAAGAAATATGACTACTTATTAGGTATCCTTGTGGTATCTTTAGATAGGTACCTATAATAATAGCATGTTCTGCCCAGTGGTTAGGCAGGTAACATTTATTCATATTTATTCTATTGTTTTTCATATACGAACCAGTTACAGTATAATAATTATGGTCATATGTAGAGCAATGTATGATTAAAAAATCATTTTTTTAACTAGTGCAGCCGACTAATTAATACTATCCCATCACGTACACACCACTGCGGTATGTTTTAACTACCCTGTAGTTGCATAAGTATTCATGCATTCATGGGTAGCGCAGGTTGTTTATCAAGTATCCATCTACTAGTTTGGTAGCTAACCCATAAAAAAATTAGATTTTAAGATAAATTATTTGAAGAAGAAGGGCGACAAATAAAAACAATATCTATTCAAAACTATTTTATGAATGCATACAAAGTTTTAAATACATAATACTATTCATCCTTTCAATGGGTAATAAACAAAAACTTGCAAATGCAAAAATATATACTGTGTGTATTGATTAGAAACTAAACATGAAGTGAATGTTTCCTATAGTTAACTTGTTTTTTACTCAATAACTAACTCAATCAAATTCAATGGAGTGGACAAAACTGTGAAAGCTACATTTAAAGTCATAACTATTATTGACCTACTTACCTAATCGTTTATTTCTAATGGATGCTATTCTATTTTATTCCAGATTCAGTTAAGGTCTCATGTTTTGCAACTGTTAAAATATTATGAATAGAGTTAAAATTGGAATATAATAAGAAATGCTACATTCTTAAAATGTATTTGTAAAATTAAGTTTCATTTACACATGAAATCCAACATCAGTCACAATGACTTTCATAAAGAGGTAATTATTAACAAAATTTCCTACTTTTTTGGAACTGAGGTTAAAAAAAAGAACTCCAGTTTATCAGCAAGCATGGTGGTTAATGAATTAACTTTCTCTTGCAGGTTGAGGCTTCTGCTCAGCAGTGGAAACTTTTAGGTTGACAATGAGATGTGAATTACAGTTTTACAAATATATGCTAGCTTTTATCTTCAGTATTATTTTCAATAGATGCGACTATTAAAGTTATTGTATTATGAACTTTCACACTTAAATGGTATCAATACCTTAATAGATAGATGATTTTATACACGAAAGAACATTGCGTTTAGTCAATTCGTAATTACAAAAAACTTATTAAACTAAATAAAGGTATAACTAATTAATCAATATGGTCTTTGGCGGTCCCGGCCTCTGTAAAAAAAAATTGGATAGTTTCAGTTTTACTTTTAACTATGGAAGAAGTGTTAATGTATATTATTGATCTAAATAGCGATGTTGTTAACAATTAAATATGGATTTTAAAATCAAATAATTAGTTGATGATGATAGTTACCCGCCGTCACTCCTCATGGCGCCACCGCCACTGCCACGGTCACCGCCGCCGCCGCCGCCGCCGCCACTGCCGTAACTGCGGCGGTCGCCACCACGGTCACCTCCTCGATCTCCGCGTCCGCCGCCGCCCCAACCACCGCCGCCTCGTCCACCACCGCCGCGCCCTCCGCGGCCAGGTGGGCCACCACCGCCACCGCCTCGTCCATTACCACCCGATGGAGGACCACCACTCGCGCCGCCTGCACCCTCTGGTTTCTCCTCATTACATCTGTTGCATGCTTTTCTCCAAGAAAAGTTTGTATTTCCACAGCTTGGATTAGGACATCTCCAATCACCGGCTCTGTTGCCAGAAGGCAAGCCACCACCGCCGCCTGAACTGCCGCCACCCCTTGGGCCGCCACCGCCGCCGCCGCCTCCGCGACCACCACCGCCCCCACGTCCTCCGCGGAATCCACCGCCACCACCTCCTTTGTTACCACCCCATGTATTTTGGCGTTGCGCTAGAGATACTTTGATTGTAGCTCCATTGAAATCTTTTCCATCAAACCACTGAATAGCAGAGGATGCGGCATTAGAGTCTTCATAAGTCACAGTAGCTTCTCCTTTTGGCTGTCCAGATACTTTATCTTTATACATCCAAACTTTTGGTCTTTGAGTTTTCTTGTCGGTCTGCAAAAAGTATAATAAACATGACCGATCATAAAAATAATTTTTTTTCGACTTTATAAACTTTTTTGCATTAAAACATATAAGGTGTCTGTATCACCACCTGCAAGTAAGTCTTTTTATGACATAGGTCGCCAAAAGAGCAGACTGTTTATCTGATGGTAAGCAGTCGTCGCTGGCCATGGCAAAACCAAAGGAGTTACGAATACGTCGCCGGCCGGTTTGGGAGGCGGGTGTCGGACATTCTCGTTATTAGGCTTACCGATACTCACGTGTTATATTAAAATTTATAGGTATAGCAGCTGTTAAGACAACCTATCTGTGTTATAGTTAAAATTATTACAGACCTTAATAATACCAATAGAACCAAAGTGCTGGCAAAGCTCATCTTCAGTTGTAGATGGATTCATCCCTTGGATGAAAATGGTGTCTTCTTGTGTTACCATATCGCCTCCACCTCGGTCACTGCCATATCCACTGCCGCCACCTGCAGGTAAGCACTAAATTAATCACCATTATCATACCAAACATAATTTTAAAGATGTACCTATTTACTGTTTTCCCGCTTGTCCAATGAATATGAGGAGTTACTCTAATAAAAATTACCCAGACGTCTTACACACTTTACCATGGTAGGACATTTATTATATAAATGTTTTAAAAATTGCTGTTACAATTTAACGAACCATATCTTCTATTAAACCAAATAAGCACCCTGTAGTTGTAAAAATTACCCTTTTATGTGACCAATTCAATTGAATTGGTCACTTTTTATTACTACTGATCGGTAATTAGTTACTACCGATGTCCAGGAATAAAAAAACACGATAGCATACACAGTACTAGCCACTAATATGACACATTATTAACAAAATAAATTGATAAGGTGGGTCATAGCAGGTGGTGGAGGATGTGCTGCATGAAAATGTGGTCATTGTACTTTGATTGGATACATATTATTAAAAATGATAATATTATGAAGGGTAATAATCTATTTTATAAACAAATTGAATTATGTCAATCAAAAAATATTTACTGACCATCTATAACTTTATTGCATTCTATTGTATCCTATGTTCCATATTAGGGGATAAGTACTGTGCTATCATAAGTACCCACTAAAGATTTTGACGGATTTACCAATTTCCAATAACACATTCACTTAGATTTCAGACAGGGCTGCCAAAATGATATGCATGTATCTGGTATAACCATAAACTTACACTAATATAAGTAACGCAATTCTTATCATGATACAACTGTGATTTGGACTAAACTAAAACCAAGTCCAGTCAACACACCCTTCGCGGAAAGCGTGATAGGCACCAGTAATATAATAAGATAAAACCCGTGACCTCAAAAATAACGACAGATGACTTTTTCGTATTCGTGTAGGACAATGCGTGCAATATCTTGCGTTATACCACTTACTCTTTTACACCTTTGCCAACCAGAAAATGTTGTTTCCTGACAGTTTACGTTATAAAGTTGATGTGTTTTTTTTTCGTATTAGTTGGCAACAGTTGTTTTTATACCTTTAAATTATGCGCTATAAATACGCATGTCAAATACACTTCTTGAAACCGTGCTTCGTATAAAAATTCACTTCATGACGGAAGACACACTTAAGGCATTGGATACCGATACCCCATTGAATACACCGAGTAAGACCTTAAATCACAACCAGATATTTTATCAACCAACCAGCATAATACCAGGTTTGGCAGCCCTTAGATAATTACAAATTAATAAAATGTTAACAGCACCGCTCGCTCATCGCGAGGAGCTTTACCTTTATTATAACCACCCCCCCTGCCGCCGCCACTAAAACAATAAGAACTGCGTTTAGTACACTGGGCAGGCTGGGGACACACTGTACAGCCGCGACGATTGATTGACACCTAGGTACACTTTTATAAGTGACCCGAGTCCGTGTTGCATCCTTTTCTTTACCATAACGTTTTATACCTTGATACCTTGAAAATCTTAGAACATTTTTGGTTGGTGTTAATATAACAATGTTTTGACGTATGCATGCTAGCAACAGCAATAAAAATAATTTCAAGAATACATTAAATTCAAACTTTAATCTTGAAATTATTTGCACGCATTCATGAAGTTTTTTAAATTCAGCATAAATGTATATCATAATAGGATTGAAACTAAAAAAATAGCTGCATGAAAACAATATTTTCATTGGACGCGCCACGAAATTGTGGCACTTCGTTCTCCATATATACCCACTTCCAAAACATACTGACATTTTTAAAAATAATATAAATTAAACTACATTTTATAATTAATCGCAATTTGACATTTTGGCAACGTTTTTAACTTAAGTGACCTAAATAAAAATTGGTGACCTATAAGTATGTCTAAATCACCACAGGAACAAAACTTCTGCTGCTTGAAGCACAACACAACTTGAGCGTAACATTTTTCTACACAAATACATTTTCATTGGCGTTAAATTGTATGGTAATCGATATAATAAGTAGTTTCTTTTAATTTTAGTGTGTGAAAAGATGTCTTAATGTAATATCGAACTTTCTAAACTAAAAACTCAGCAACACATCTACATAAAACTTTAAAAAAATATCATGACCAAAAATGTTTTCACACAGGACTACCACATCATTTTTCTGCAATTGAAGAATAAATATTTCATAACAAGGTATGTAATATTTTGATTATTATAGCTAAATTTTTTAACCGACTTCAAAAAAAGGAGGAGGTTCTCAATTCGACGAGTATTTTTTTTTTTGTAAACTATTTTACTTTTCAAAAAAAGCCCAATTTTGTTTGTAATTTTATTATGTCAAACCCTAAAATAGGTTTTAGGAATGAACAAAATTATAATTTTAAGTTCCCTGTAAACTGGTGTAGCACACAATTCATACAAATTTCATTCTATATAATCCAATTTATCTGGGACGTAGCAGCTATTTAAACTATGTACTATGTAAATAAGACCTTAACTGAGTATTAACATGGTAATACAAATCATGCATTTTAAATTCACTCTCTAACAACAAGATCTTCTGAAATTATGGACAGATTTCTTTTGTAGAAAACATTAAGAATTGGACGACACCCAATGTTAATTTTAATAAAAATTATTTTAAAAAAGAAACATTTTGCAGACCTGGGTATGTTATCGTTCGAATGTGTAAGAATTTATGAACAATAATAACTTACCAACCTATTCAAATTGTGATTTATGCTATAATGTTATACAGCATAAGTACTATAGGAGGGCCTTGCCTTCCTTTATTGCCTTCTCTTAAACAAAATCAATACACCTAAATAATCAATATACAACAGTCACTAATACTACTAAATACAGGGATTTTATTAGCTACATTTTTGGATCCTCTAACCCTCTTTGTTTATGATCAATTTTGCTGTGGGACCACAAAACCTTATCAAAGGTAACCAAGTTGCTTGGCTCTTATTTTAAAATATTTTTATCTATTATAAATGTTCTATATTCGTAGTTGATTAATTAATATTCACCAAAAATATGGGATAAGAAGCATGAAAATACCTTAAATAACAAAAGCAATAATAATTACTTTAAAAATCACTGAAAATAATTTTAAATGCTTGTTTTGAAAGAGGATCCTGCAGTTCCTATTTAAAGAATCTAGGTTGCTATAACCATGCACAAGAAACGATGTATGTTTCTGATATCATTCAATATATAGGTTTTACTAAATAATATATATATATATATATATATTTGAGTAACTTGTACTTTAGTACATATGTATATAGTATAGACTCAAGTACTATGTTTGTTGAGCAGGGTTACCGCGGCCTTTCTAATAAAAAGGGTTAAAGGATAAGACAACCTAGATACTTTAAATGGGACCCTCATCAAAAATAAGTGTTTAAAATTATATGTATATATATACACAGGTTTCATAGTAAGGGATTTGAAGTTGTAAAATAATTAATGTTTTTCCTCATGATGGATTCAATTACAACTAAAATAAAAACACTTACTCATGTGTGTTGCTGCAACCTAATTACAGAACATACATTGAAAATAACATATGGATGTAAATATTTATACATTATTTGCGGATGAGTTGAAAAAGAAAGGTATCTTCCAAGCCCCTAGATAAACTAAAATTATGCTTTTTCAGTAGCAAAAATATAACAAGTACCTTATAACTTTTCAGTAACAATAATAATGTCTAAATGTGACAAACAATCACACTATTATTTAGAGAAAAGAAAACAGGATAAACCATTTAAACTTGTACAGTTTCTGTAATCTTATTAATACAACCTTGTTTGTAGAATAAAATTAAATAATTTATCTAGCTCACCATTCAAGCCAACCAAGGGTTGTAGAAATACTTCAGATGACATACATCCAGAAATAAGCTGACCTAAGCTGATGATGACAACAACATTTTAGAACAATTAATAATCTAAACAATGCTGGATAGCTTGATTCTGCAAATTTGCTACTCAAAGTTTAGTAATAAATGAACCCAAGCATGTGTCTTCCAATTATTGATTACTCAGACTCAGAAATACTGTTTGTACTTCAACATTTGATTGAAGCATTTCAGATATAAAGGAAAAATTTAGCAATTATATATTTATGATAAGGTTTTATTTGAAGATTCAACTTGGGTTTGAAATATGGGATTTTTCCTGCTTTGAGAACACATTGACCCAAGATGTAGCTAGTATTTGAAATAATTGAATTTTGTGCCGAATAAAATATAGATTAATGAAACTTACCCATATCCACCATCTCTATTCCCCCCATCTCTATTGTAGCTTCGATCACCTCCTCCAAAACCACCGCGATCACCATTGCCTCCACCCCCAGAGTATCCTTGTCTGTCACGATCTCTGTCTCCACCATAATTAGATCCCCCACGGTCACCTCCGCCATAATAATTGCTGCTGCCACGGTCTCCTCCACTTACATTGTAGCCACTACTATTGTTTCTATCATAACCACCTCCACCGCCACTGCTGTAGTTTGAAGAATCATAGCTTTGGCTATAATTATTTCCTTGTTGGCCACTTCCATAAGCATTACCTCCTGAAATGGTTCATAATGTTACGTTAGTAAACACCAGAGGTAAATATAGGATTTTAATCTAATGTAATCATGATGGGAATTTAACGATAATTGCAGTTTTCGGTGTACAGGTACCAAGAAGCATAAAATTACCACAAACTTGATCAGTATGTATGTCAAATTGCAAGAGAATTGCTGTAAACAAAGGTTCAACCCTTCAAATTAAACATGGTCAATTTAATGATTTTAAAGTAATGTCACGATATACGCAGAAAATTTTGATTTCTTACCGGTGTTTTGTTGGTTCCAATCTTGATTTTGCCCTGAACCATAATTGCTTTGATAGCCTTGTCCAGAGCCAGAATAATTATTATCGCCAGAAGCCATGGCTGGTGGAGGAACAGAATATTGGGCAGAGTAACCACCACTATAATCACCCGCTATAAAAACAAATTAACAAAGTTAAGAGTTAAAATAACACCATGTGAATACCTCAGAAAAGTGGAAACAATGTAATAAAAAAATGCTTACGGTCACCCATGTCAAAAAAACTAAATTCTAGATTTAATCCTAGTACGTTGATGAAGAAAGCGTGGGTAAGTCAATGTAATATACGAATCGATCACTAATCAACCACGAACCACGCCACGCTACGCTTACGCTACAATGGCGCCCGCCATTAGTTTTTTTTATTACTTTACTCTTTGGTTTTTAGTGTAGGTAATCGTTTCTCATCCTCGATTTTTTATTGTCTATGGATTTCGAAGCTTATGGTTTTAAATTTCGACACAGACAAGTAAAGAGTGGCAGATAAAAACCAAGGAAAAATTTTAAAAAGAGGAAGATGATGAGGAACATGATGTTGTTGATTTTTGTCACTAGTTAAGCATAAAGAAGTAATTGCTGGTGGATGTCCCATTTCACTAATATTAAGTTGTTCAAAGGTCTGAGCTTCGGACTCTCGTACTTACAAAGGTTACAAGGGGTTTGTGGCGGGGATAGTTCTCACGGTACGTTTTAGCGTCTGTTTCTTAATATGATAAATATAATGTGAGTTTACGAAGAGGGACATCATGATTAACTAGATTAAACGCCTTGTTGAAGTCCAGATAAGATACGACCTCTTGATGCCTAGCGTCAACTATAGTCAGAATTTTAATTCGATTCCTGATTTGACATTGACCACTGTCATTTTGTGAAAGAATGATACCACATATAACAGTGTAGTGATGAACACAAAAATCGATAAACAATGAGTGAATCAGTTTCAGGAAGGAATTCAAAAAATTACAGCTACCGAATGGTCTAAATGTGTATCCCATGTTTTCAAAGAAGAGGAAAAAAATTGTAAGCTAGATATCTTAATTGACAATAAATATCACAGACACAATTCATAATACATGATACATAAAGTAACAGCGATAGCAATAGCAATGACGGCAACAATTTATAAAATGTCTGTTTTATTTGTCACATTCCTTCATGATCACATTTTTTATTAATTTCACACAATCACAAAAGAAAAGTCTCAGATCGTTAAATAATTGTCAAAACTAAATTATCGGTTCAGAAATATTTTATTTCCTGATAAACTTAGTTTACGAGAGTAAATTTATAAACGAGAGGAATCGATTCAGAAATTCACTAAAAGTCACTATTTATTACGTGTCACTATTCATAACGTTGCAACACTTAAATTGTCAAATCTGGAATGGAATTAAAATTCCGAGTATAGGTACAGGCTGTTGGAGAACAACGTACTATGACGCAATATGAAAGTACGTTGTTCTCCAACAAGAACGGAACCCATGCTAGGCTCCGATCAAGTAAGCGCTTACCTGATCATACAAATGTTATAGATTACTTCTTCGAGAACCTTAGCTTGCGCAGGCTGATTTAAAATATAGCTGAGGTTCACACATTTTTTTGCCTCACAGAAAACCGGCGTGTAACAACCAGTGTTGTGTTACGCCGTGTGAGTGGGCTTACCAGCGGATCAATACTTCCCTCTACCCAATCTCTAAACCGTAACCTCCAAAAGGTCGGCAACGCACTCGCTGTCGCGGGTGTCATCAAGTAATCTGTACGAGATTTGCCGTCCTACAAAATAAAAATATAGTAATAAAATGTTTTTAATATAACGTTATTGACGCTGCAAAGTGTTGTTGTAGGTAAAAAGCTAGTCAATACTGATTTAACAAAAACAAGCCTCAACATGAAATTTTGTATATTTTGTGCGTTAATGTGGCGACACCTAAAATAAAGCGACTCCATTATTTATGTTGTTTCATTATTATTCTACCTTATAATATATATGTTTATGTGTGTAACTAGGAATGTTTGTATGAATGTTTAGTCTGCTGCTTCTTTTAAGCCTGTAGCTTAAATTTATAATTAGCTTGTGGTTCAAATTCTATATAGAAACTTTATTTCCGAGTACGGGTTTGCTTAACGTAGTGGTTACATACTCTTTGGTTTGCTTGATCATCAGATTCATCATTATCTTTTTCGTCCGATGTATGACGATCAACAATAAGGTTTGGGAAATTGGACCATGGACATAAGTTATTGTATAAATCGGTCAACTTTTACAAGCCAAACTAAAACGCCGTATTTTTATGCTTTAGTTCTCATTAAATATTATTTTCTGCTTTTTATTACTTAACATTTTCACATGATGATCCTCATATCCTCGTCCTCGCGCTCCTGGCTCCTCACAATCTCGGTCAGTTCCAAAGAGTATGTAACCACTACGTTTAGTCAGTTCTATAGTGTCAGGTTCCTGTCCGCGTCACAGACCTACAATAATATGGACCAGAAATACCTACGAAATCCACGTGTATACCTACTATAATCCTGGCCCGTAATATGGCTGCTATTGCTAGGGAAGTACTGTAGTCAAAACCAAAAAGTATCGATATCGATAGCCGAGTTTCATACATTTCTTCTGGCAGGTACTTCGGATTTTTTTTGAAGGTAGAAATCATTGCAGGCAGTTGCTCGTTGCGTTTCTTTTAGAAACGCGTGGATCACATGTTGACGAATCAGCTCAGTCCGGTTAGTTACCAGATGGCGAGCAACCCATATTGCACCCGTGTTGCTCTATGGTTACAAGTTTATTAAAACGACAAATTATTTTGGAAAAAAGTACCTTTATTCACCATAACAAAATAATCAACAATTAGGTCAAAACAAATTTCTTCATTTCAAAGTGATAATAAGACACTATGATATTTTTGAGTTTGGTTTGGTTGGTTGAGTTACCATGAAGGAAGACAGTTCTTCGACATTTTTGATTTCAAGCAGAACAAGCCCTTGTGTTTTTTTTTTGAACGCTGAAAACATTTTTTATGATTCTTAAATAATATCGTATTTTTTATCACTACAGTTAAAAACAAAAATGTGTATAGGTATTGTAGTCGGGGTGGGTCGGTTACAGTGAAAAGTCCTGTTACGCGGCATAAACTTTAATAAAACTGTATAAAAATTACAAGAGACACACGCACAAAACTGTAAAGTCCGCCATAACTCTTCTAATACCGTGACGCCCAATCAGCGGCTAGTAAGTAACATAACGCCACTTGGCGCGTATTTTAAAATGCTATCGCGCTGGCGAATAGCGGTCGGGTGGCTTGCCCCTATTGGACCGCTTATGACCAGGGCTAAGGAGGCGTTCGGAAACGTTATCCGCTATAGTATTTAATAATATTAAACTTGACAAACAATGATATTAAAGTACTGGATGAATCGACATTCGACAAGCTGATCGGGAAATTACTTCACGTACAACAAGGTCGATTGATGGTACTGCATCATCACGCAGCCTTATAACATCAAGGGTTTTTGACGGATAATTCTGCAAAGTGTAATGAACAAATACGTGGCGCTTTAAGTCCAGGTTTGATATTTTCCGTCCCAATGACTTCAAGCCAGTTCTGACGCAGACTTCATTTTAAGGGAATCTGTGCAAATAAACAACATACAAATTATTTCAGTTTAGTGCATTTAGTGGAATAAATCATAGGTTGAACTAAATGACAGCATCTACTTTATGAAGAATTGATATTGTTATGTTTTGCTACTATGCCTATTTTTAACCCTATTCTGTATGATTTATTTTCAAAATCGTCTCTTTAGACCCTTTATTTTGATACCCTATTCTACACCACATTGGACACCACAATTATTAAACTAAAACAATGTTAGTTTCATATCGATACGTTTTTAAATAAAATACATCACTATTGTAAATCTTCCTTTGTATTGTAAACAAAACATAAAATAATTTTAGCAAATAGAGATAGATATCAGAAACAAATTGAATGTACAATTGGGGGCTTTTATTCTATATTTTAAACAAGGCTAGATATACAAAAAACTAATAGTATGACAAAGTTTTTCTTAAAATACGGCTACTAACCTATGTATGGTCAAATGAGGTTGATTGGGGTTTTTCCTTACCCCACACTGAATTATTGAGCAAGTAGGCACATTGAATATGAACCACTATACACTCACAGCACAAAACAATTTAGTTGGGAGCGTTTTTAATCTCTTTTTAACCAGGTATGGTTTTAGCCAGTAAAAATCTAACATGCTCCCTACTCCCTTGCTCTGCCCAGAGCGTGAGAAGTCATTCGATGATTTCTATCTTAAAAAAAAAATCCGAAAGAAATGTATGAAACTCGGCTATCGATATCGATACTTTTTGGTTTTGACTACGGTACTTCCCTAGCAATGGCAGCCATATTACGGGCCAGGTTTATAGTAGGTATACACGCGGATTTCGTAGGTATTTCTGGTCCATATTATTATAGGTCTGTAGTTCAAAAACAGTCTATGGTCTAGGGTGACAGATATTGAACTATTTCTGAACTGTCACTGACGTTCGGCCGACTTGCGAAAGTAAAAACCAACAAAAACATTGAGATAGAAAATATATAGAGGCGCCGTGTTACTATAGAAGTATACATGCTTATACAAATATGAGGGAACTATGAAACAAACTATGAAATATCATTTTTTCTCACTCTTTCTAAGGTAATAATTGTATTAGACAAAAGAGACAACAATATTTAAGTTGTTGCTTAATATGGAAACAAATCATTTTGACATTAGCAAAGTTGTAGGTAAGTGCCATGTCCGCCATCTTAAGCGCTCAGAGTACCTGAGTTTCATGGTAGTTGTCCTGTCAAACGGTTGTTTATGTTTTAAATTATTGCGGTTTTTGAGTAAATTACAAAGAACCATTTTTTTAAACTTCAAATATATATAGTGAAACAAAAAAACAATATGCCTGTGTGTTGTATTGTGCAGTGTGGTGCAAAAAAGAACGAAAATCAACCTCAATTGTCTTTGTATAGGTTAGTAAACAGTTTTCATCAAATATTACTTAGAATAATCCACATAGATAGAAAAAAATGTCACGGATACTTTAATCTATTGCCAAAGTATATATATTTACTTTTATTTCTGTCTGTGAGACAGTTTTAGTAAAAAAATGTTGTTTACAATAATATGTCAATATGGCATAGTTACGTACCATTTCAGAAAAGTATCGATATAATCTCCCATTTAAAATTCAACATATACTAAATAATCTATTTTAACAATGGATGTTTCCGCAGTTTTGTGTAACGCTAAAGTAAGACGTCAGTATTTTGGTATTGGTTTTAGTTACATAAGTAGAAGTTCAAGTTATCATGTTTTATAATTATACGGGCGCGATTGACAGAGCGGCGTTGGCGACGATCCCAGTGCGACCACCAAGCGTAATAATAAAAAGTGAAATACATACAATAAGATTGACTTCACTACATATCTATTTTGTGCTAACGTAGTTTCTAAGATATCATCGTTTAATCAGACGCGCCGAAATTGTGCGCGAGCACTTCACAAATACCTACCCACAGGTTTTCCACATATATAAAGATAAACATTTAACAAACACTATCTTTTTCTATTTCACCATTCCATTAAACGCTGTTCATAAACACAGTCCTATTTTTTTAAAAGACGCTTTACGTAGAATTATATGAATACAAATTCGACTTGAGAAAATCATTAGCCAATCAAGAGACCAAGTTAACCCCGGGTTCCGGGCTCTAGCTAGGCCGACGGCAAAGTAGGAACAGGAGTTGATTTTAGTCAGTAACGGTCTGTCCCGAAAAAGGCCGGAGATGACATTAGATGATTTCCCATAAAAAATACCGTTAATCAGCTGGCTAATCCCTAAAACTATACCTACGTTTAACTTTTACTCAAATTGTATCGATACTCGTTAAATACTTAGTCGGCACAACCCTAGCAACGGCAGCCATCTTATGCGACATTTTGGATTGTAGGTAGGCACCTTTTTTTCGTAGGTATTTCAAGTCCATATATTTCCTATGTCAATGAACAAAAAGCTAAAATAACGAACAAATACGAGAAATTTTCTACTATCTTCTATTATTATCATTACATGTGGGCTATTTGTTAAATACACTGGTATCGTTTGAAATTTGCGGTTTATTGTGAGAGGAGAAACGTTTTCAAATATTCTGATTGATTTAATCGTGCACTCGGTTGTGCATTTTTGTGGAATTTATTATGTCTTCTTATGTGGATATGAGTTTAGAAGATATAATTAAAAAGAAAAGACAAAACACCAGGTATTTATTCTCAATTACTCAATAATTCTTCTTTACCATTTAAACTATATTGCATTCATATATGTTTTTTTTATTTTGTATTAGGGTAAATAAAGCTAAAGTAAAAGGACAACCTCCACCCAAAAAAATTCCTATCACTGACGCAAGAAATAAAATAATATCAAAGAAACGAACACAAATAACGGATGCTAGAGAAAAATTAGCAGAACTTGCTAAACAGAAAGATGCCAGATTAAAATTAGAGAAGTTACGTCTGGAAAGGGTAAGTTACTAACCTATTGAAAAGTTTAACATTCAAACTATACTTTAGCTAAATAATTAAATTAGTTGTTGACCCATGATTAACCTCAAATTCTTATAGGCTAAAATTGCTGGACCCGTAAGGAATGCTTTTCCAAATAGAAATAAATTTACTAGAGCAAATCCACCAACGAGAGAAAGAGGTAATTATTATAATTATATATTACTTAAATTAATGAACTTGTTTTATAATGCCTGTTCAAAACATTAAGCAAATATTGCTAAAACTAATGCTAAACATAACCAAATCTTGTAAAACATGCTAATTAGGGCCTTTTTTAGCATTCTTAATTTAGATTTTGAATAAAGGAAGTAACAACTTCTCAATCTTCAAAAACTAATAAATCAATGATTTGTCGAAAATTTTTAATTTCTAACTGAATGAGATGGGTAATGTAAAAATGTTATGTTCCTTCATTAGTAAAATTAAGATACAATAGTTTGGTCTTCCTAAACATATTTCTATCAAAGAACATCAGTTTACCTTTTAAAATTGAATAATGTTGTTATAGTTTTTCTTGACACAGTATTTACAGATTCTTCAAGGCAAGTGGTTTCACAGCCATTTGGTGTGTCTAACATTGGTGTCAAGCGTCAAATTAGTTCTGGAAGGTTCAATGAGCGCCGTCCGGTTGAAAAGTCAAGATTTTTTGGTAAGACTTGCCTTAGTCTCAAAATTTTGTAACACACATTATTTATTTTATTGAGTTGTTATAAATTTATTATTTTAAATAATAAAAAATCTGGAAATTAATATTTTTGATGTTTTAGAACAAATTCAACAAAAACCAAAGCCAATACTTCGGACTGTTGAAAATGATTTGGAAATAATTGATGACCCAATGGGAGAAGAATATGTGCCCAAGTCAACATCATTAAACCGCAAAGCAAGTTTGCAGCTAAAAATCATTGCTCATAATAATGACATTCGTGATAGCAGGATTGCTACTATCCACAGGTAATTTCTTATTGGTATAAAATATTGTTATAACTACTTGGTTTTCAACATGATGCTGATAATTTCGTGTGAATGTTGTTTGTTAATGAGAGTTATTGAAAAATACTGGTTTTTCAGAAACACAATTGTAGAAAAAGAGAAAAGTCCACCAAGGCCACCATCTATCTTGAAAAAACGCCCTATGGCAGCTATGAGAAGTGACAAGGTTCAAAAAACAGAAAAGCCACATTTGGAGTACAGAATTATTGTAAGCAATTTACGAAACACGGTTACAGGTGGAGATATTGAGGTAGGTCTCTCTATAAGTGTATAGGCATTTGCTTAAATTGTTCAATACATTTTTTGTCTCTCTTGTAGATATTTATGATGTTAGCGACTGAAAATCGCGTTATTTTTCGGATATACACCCACGCCACAATATGAAATACTATTGGTCTAATATTCGTTTCTATAAAAACATAAAAAATAAAAATTATTCATGGTGCTTACTATTTCTTTAAGGAATTGTTTGGAGATGTTGGTGGTATGGTGGAGTCAAGACTGGTGCGACCTGGGACAGCTGAAGTAATTTACAAAACCCAAGAAGATGCACAGAAAGCAGTTGATTTGTACCACAATAGACAATTAGATGGACAACCAATGAATTGTTTACTTGTTACACCAAGATCGCCATCCGCAGCACCCAGGTATAATTGTTAAAAGGATCATTCACAGACTGAACATGAAACTCATAAAGCTTTAATGATATATAAAATAAATCAATATCTTTATTTTTTCAGGGGCAGTAACAAGCCTGAGCTGTATAGCACAAATTCAAATGTTGAGCCTGATATTTCAACTTTCCATAAGGTATTGTTCAGCAATTTGTAATACACCAATAAGTATACATATTTTATGTACCTATGCTCGCAAAAGTCACTTGCAATATCAAACAGAATTGTTAACTTTAAAATGTGTACTTATATTATATCCAAATGATGTTTGTGAAAAATTTACCCTAGTATGTTATCTTGTATGTAATTACATGACCACTTCTATAGTAGTAGTTCTATATAAGTGTTGGAGCCAACAACCATTTTACGAGATTCATCTTTGTAAAAATACTTATCTCAAAAAAACTAATTCTTGCAACTTATAGCACTGTGAGATGGATTTTATCGATATTTGATGTGTCCTTTTTGTGTTTGACTGATAATGAGGACATAAAAGAGTATTAAAAATTCTACTCTTAGTCCCAATAGACCTTAGTATATGATTAGATAACATTGTACTACATTGTACTTTGTTTTTGTAATATTTAGTGGCCTCATTTGTATTGTAAAGTATAATGAAATGGTGTTGTATTATGTGTCAAGAGAATACTGTAATTATTGTTTCTTTTCCAACTAAAGCAGTTTAATTGTTTGAAATTGATGTTTATAGCTTGGTATAATACAATAACTACCTACCTATATCGTGCTTTAGGTATCTCATATAATAGTTTTTTTTTGTTATAATTAAGAATATATCAGAAGGTACGCCTTATGTTGTCATCTTTAATAGACATGTTTAATACTTTTGTAAATGTGTATGTACTTTTTACCTAGATTGCGGTGCTTAGATTTTGAATGTGTGTAAGTGTTAAGTATGATACACGTTATACACATTTTCGAATGTATTGTGTTTATAATTGAAGCAAGAACATGGAAAAGCACTACTTTCTGTACATGTTATTTCATGGAGGGTCGTAAAAATGACTTAATATGCATGATAAGTGTTGAGATTTCAATTCTTCATAAAATCATGCTGTGTCTTTTGGATTGCCTGGTTTCATACGAGTGTAATTGCTTGAACGTAAATCTTTGTAGCATTTTAAGTACTAGTAACTAGTGAATTTATTAATTTGATGTCGATTTGTTATAAGAAGTAAAATTATCATACATAAAAGTAGATTTTTCTTTTTGTTTTATTTTATTTAAATACCTACCTTTTAACTGTTCCATTGATTTATAAGAGTAAGTAGGTTTTATTGCCCTACAATATAAAAAAAAAACCTACAATTTTCTTTATGCTGAATTTTTTTAATAGAATAACAAACAGATAAGTAGGTACATTATACCAAAATGTCAATCAAATTAAAAACAGCAAAACCAATAATTCAAAACAGATTCCACAATATAATTATATTTACCGTACGCCGAATTCGAACATAATAAAATGCTTTGAATAAGTAGGTACCTAAGTATTAATAAAGTAGCAAATATTTGACATTTGAATAAGACATAACACGCAATAATAAAATCAAACAATTGGTTCAGGGACCGATTAATCGCTAATTCTCTTTTTGAATTTATGAAAGGGCATCTCAAATACATCCAACGGACATCACTATTTGAACTTAAAGTGATAACCGGATGACTGATGTACGGGCGGCAAGAACTTTTAATAAGTTAGTTCTGTTTGTACAAACAGAGCCCTATTAGGCGAAGAAATACGTGTACATCGCAGATCTATTCAGGTTGATTCAGGACTAATTTACTTTATATTATAAAGACGTATTTGTAAGTTTGAATGCGGAGGGTAGTCTATTGGGACCGCTGCCTGGTTGGAAATCCTTTTACTGATTGATAGCTAGTATGTACAGGAGTGCCATCGGCTATAAATTAAACTGAATTTACGTATTTTTACTCGAGCTTCCGGTTTAAACGCTATTTTTAAACTGCCGGGGTAAATTACTTTTATACGCGTGCAAAGCCCCGGTAAGAAGCTAGTTATTTTATATACCTAAGAAAAAAAAATCCCGCTGATCACGTCGAATCTAAACAGATAGCAAGTAAGGTAGTTCATTTAATTTGCGATTTTTGTTGCTCAACTACAAAACGTACTTACTTACTTACCTATTTTAACTTATCTTGGGTGCTATGTAGGTATTTGATCAATATAGTTTCCACAATCATAGGTAGGTACAATGATGTATAAATCTATAGATACGTTGTCCGCGCTCTAAAATGACAACATGAAATGAAGGCAATTGACAACATCGCGCTTAGTTACGCACCAACCTGCCGCGCGACGCTACGTTTGTTTTTAATTTATATCGTGTGTGTAAACCTGTGCGAAACATAAGTAAAGCATGCCGTCGTGTGTGTTCAGACGATGTACAAATTATACTCCAAAAGTTAAAGACAAAAATGTGTCATTTCATGCGTAAGTTCACCAAACAACCTATTTTTATATTATTTTTTTCGACGCCGGCGCCCGCCATCTTATGGCGGCCATCTTATGAAAATGTAGTTACTATTACTTATCCTGTGATGTAACTGAAGATGTATATTTATCTCCCTCTAGCAAAGGCATTCCACTATACGATGTCATATTTTCTTTCCCTTTCTTTACTAGTAGAAGTAGTTATCTAGTATTTTCGCCGTTTTTAAGCGCCGCGATGTTGGTTCATGACGTGTCTATTTAAAATACGTCATTGGGTAGGTATGCATACCAGAGTTGTTGTAAATATCAGCATCAGCGGAATATCAGCATTATTGACTTGTCCACCTCAGCATCAGCATTTATTGTTGCTGATGTTCAAACTGTCAATCATTGCAAGCAAAGTGTATGCAGAGCGCATTGTTTTTGTGCGTGTTTATGAACCGGATGGATTGGTGGAAATTAAATAAAAATATCTTCAACAATCTTTCTGCACTGGCTCGAAGATTCCTGTCACCTCCGCCTGCAAGCGACCCTAGCGAACAGTTATTCAGCAGTGCCGGCATTATATACAAACTACCCGCTACAGACTGCAAGCTGAAAATGCAGCTCAGTTGTTGTTTTTAAAATAAGTACAACTTGCGCTTAATAGAATTCCAGTATTAATAATATTTTTTTACTTAACTAGTTTTTACTTATTTGTTGATTTTTTCTTCATTAAAACGTTACAGAATTATTAAAATATATCTTATTAAAAGTAGATCGATGCAAATATAATATTTATGTAAAAAAAATATAAAATTAAGTATTAAAAAAACTTAAAATAGGTATGCAGCAGCTGATGTATACGCTTTTACAATAAAATTCCTAGGGATATTCAAAATTTGAGCCTCAATAATTTTAAAAGTGTAATAAAGGCTAAAACTTTACTGTAAAGCATTTTATAAAATAAAAGACTACTTAGAAGATAGTCAGGCTTGGGAATGAGCCGCTGTAACTTCTGCACAGGTCATGTTGACATGTTTGTAACATAGGTTAATTTTATCCTAAGTTACGCTTTTTATATACAATTTGACATTACGTTTATTTTTTTAACAATGACATTATCACCTATTGTGACATTTTTATTTTTATTTGACATTTTTTATTTTATTTATTATTTTTATAATTATTTATTGACATTATTATTATTTTCTATTATTGTTAGTGTAAGGACCGTGTGAGACTTGCCGCGCTTTTGGACTACCAGTTATCTGCGTTCTGACAGTTTGAGTACTTGCGTGACCCAACCAAATGTTCTTTAGATCGGTATTGTTCGTCGGACAACTCAGCAGCACTTGCTATGCTGGTTGCAAACCGACACTTGCGTGCCTGTCTTCAGAACGGGTCCACTTAAACTGGTGTGGTTCTTTCATCAAAAGACCACTACAGAATGAACTTGCACGGTTCTCTCACATTATGTTATTTTTACATTGTCTGGACTTGAAAAGAGACTGACCTCTGAGTTTGTTTCGGCATTTCTTCTCAGAGTAGTCAGATAGGAAATGCCGGCTTCATCTAGTTTTTTACATATAAATTGACGTGTAAAAGTGCCGTTTTATGGCCTATTTGCAAAAATAAATTCATTGTTTCATTGTTTCATTGATGTAAATTACAATAAATCAGCTTCAGCATCCGCTGATGTGACAAAATCCTGCATTAGCAACAACCCTGATGCAGACTGCAATAAAGGTCTAATAATAGTTTTATAGAGCAGAATACGCGTTTGAAATCCTTTATGATTCTCAGTATGAAACCCAACAAACGATAAGCTCTTAGTCACTGACGTTACTTGGCAGTCAAAAAGCAGTTTACTATCCAACAAAGCTTTCATTATTTGTTTTGTAGTCATATTTGATAGTGTGAATAATCACATAATTATTTCTATAATACTTAGTTGCTTAAATTATCAATGCCAATTTAAAGTCTGTGGCAGTCTTCCGTATTTCTTTCTTTATAGATTTTCTTATCATCTTCGTTTAACAAAAAGTTAGAATGATTCAAATTTAAGTCTGATCTAATCTGGAAGCGAAGGCGCTCGCGCGCGTCTACAGTTTGCGCGCAGACGCACGTCGCCGGGGCGAGTGCGTGGCGGAATGAGTGATTTCAAATCAGTGAGTGGAAGCAGCGACTGTCGCAACCGAGGGTAAGACCCCTCTTTGAGGAGTGGCTTGAGAGACGCCACGGCGTCCTCACCTTCCGCCTGACGCAGGTCCTTACCGGGCACGGCAGCTTCGGTAGGTTCCTCACGCCCCATGCAGCCGCAACATGGGGCGTGACATGTTTGTCTCCACTTCTAAAATAGGTACATCATAAGAATCGCAAATGCTAATGCTTCCAAATCTTCGGTAATTAATCCAATCGTAGTGACACGTTACCTACATAGTTCGTCGTTATTCATAGTTCGTTCCTCTACATAGGCCTTATCAGTTCATAACACCTAAGTATGCATAAATAAAGGTGGTAAGTATGCCTTTTTAAACGACTTAAAAAAAGGAGGAGGTTCATCGTTTTTTTTTTACTTTTTTTATGTATATTCACGGATTACTCGAAGACGCACCGATACTGAAAAATTTTTTTTTTATTTAGTTAGGTATACTTTCCATATGATCACATTCACCAGGTGGAATAAATTCTGATGATGGAAACTCAGGAAAATCGAGGGGAACTTCAAATTTTATAGGGACAGTCGGCATGACTAAAATATTTTCTGAAGTTATACAGGTATTTACGTCAACTGGCCGATGGTTGCACTCGACCTGATGATAAAGACGTAAGACAGTCGAGGGATCTCCTTGACTATTTGGAGTAAGTAATTGCCTTGTGATGGGCTTGATTAATTCGTTTTGGTGAGCACCAAGACTGGTAGTGACTGTCATTAGGGGTCTGATGATGAGACCGAAGGACAGCTCAGGGAACTCCTGAACGGTTTATAGTAACTACCTCGTGTTTGGATTTAATTCATTTATATTTTATTTATATGAAAACTTCGCACCTAATTATGGGTTACAATGAAGTTATGCAGTAAATCTGATGATCGAGCCGGGAAGCCGTCGTGAGATCTCTTTGACTATTTGGAGTACTTAATTATGTTCTTTTTTAACTTAATTCATTTATATTGATGAGAACTTTGCACCTATATGGATTATGTATAATGAAGGTCTGCAGTTTACCTGCTCCTCAACGATTTACAGCACTAAGCACTGACTAAATCAGGACTACCTACCATTACCGTGATTTTCGGTCTTAAGTAGGTAGCCGTCGTCTTCTCATTCGAAAAGCATTATCCTTGCTTGCTCTGCCTATCAATTAAAATGGTTAAATAAAATAATTTTCAACATAAAAAAACCGACTTCAAAAAGTAAACTTAAAAGTAAAAAATAAATTTTCTTTTTACAAAGTAGTATTATTTAATAACTATTTTTATTATCTTGAAGTCGGTGCCAAGTAAGTGCCAGGTGCTAAGTAAAACAATGATGATTAGTAGGTACCGATCAATATGTACACGTTTCTAATACTGTTGTTGTTTGGTATGTAACATTCTTGAAGTCGGTGCCAAGTAGGCAATCAGGTAGGTTAACGTGGTGAATATTTGCTCAGTGGTTCCCATTGTCTCCTCACAGATAACTTGGTACTACTGTACATCAATTTTGGTTTATTATCCATGTGTGAGCCGTATGGCCATGCCCCTTTAGGTTGGAAAGGAACTGCGCCTAAGCAGCTCCTGCCGTTATAATTACATTATAAATAGTGTAACACTATTTATGTAACTGTTTGTTGTCTCTAGACAATAAAATAAAATACCTAAGTCTCGTCCTTAACAGTCAGTGAAGCATTTCCGACATTTGGGTCCCAAGTTGGAATTATAACGGCAGGAGCTGCTTAGGCGCAGTTCCTTTCCAACCTAAAGGGGCATGGCCACACGGCTCATTCATGGATATGGCAATATCCTATGGGCGGCGACGAACCTTCTTGCCGAATAACTGGCAAGTGATCTGTATGTATACATGGTCCACGGCGCACTCACCTTCCATCTTTCGTAGGTGCTTACCGGGCACGCAACATTTGGCACTGATGTTTCGATTCAGCGGGAGGAAATGCCCGTAAACTTCGGAAATAATATAGATAATCGTTATCCTCGCTCACGCCCCCATTAGCTGCTTCCGTCATTGAGGATCGCGCAGCGGTCTCCGATCACCGTAAGTGCGGGTCTACCAGACCACACCGCACGTGAGTCCATTACGGCCAATATCCAGCCATGGCTGCGGGAGGTTACCACGCTTGCACAAGGCAGACAGACGATTTCAAACTTATTATTAGGTTAGTATTAAGTCCAGGTTTTATGGTGTTGATGTTTCAATATTTAGTGTTTATTTAAAATCCAATAAAAAAGTTTGAGTAATTTTTTTAATCATCTATTTTTACTTTAAAAGTAAGGCTAAGTGCGAGTCGGGTGGAAAAAAATAATTTCATCGGTCAAACAGGCCCAATATTCCCAACATGTTTATTAAGAGCAAAATTCTATTTATCACGGTGTGGTTAAATAATTATAATTATATCGCAGCTTGTTTCTGGTATTCCTGCTTAATTTTGATGTGTTTCAAACAGTAAAATAAAACTATTCGTATAAACATAAAAAGGGGTAGGTATTTCACAGTATGGTATTGGTTGTACATTGTACACAAAGTTTGGGCATTACCACAGAATAGACATAGATTTCTGGACTTTAAAGTTCTAATTCTAGAGAACCTAGAGTCTAGACCATAGAAAATTCCTCCATGTTCCTCCACGGCATAGAGTTTTAGTATACTTCATAGACTAACTTTCATCTCAATGGCATACTCTAACTCTATAGTTTATGCTCATTTAGGTGCTTGCTTGTGTGTGCTTGGTTCCTTTTCATTATCATTGACTATGTTATGTTGATAACAGTTGTTCAACATTATTTGTGCCGTTTATCCTCGTTACTTATTAAAAGGAATTAAATAATTTATAGTTACTTAGAAGTTATATAATAATAAACCTCCAAAATGGATAGAGAAGACGGTGAAATGAGTGATGATAACGCAATGGTGGTTGATGATGTAAAAGAACCAATTTCATACACTGATGATTGTACACTGGTATGTAAATGAATTACTATTACTTTAATTTAAGTAAATCGGTTGCTTAATTAATATCTCGAAGTAAATATTTTAATTTTCATATAAATCACGTGAACTTGCGAAATCCATTACATTCATGTGGTGTTTTTGTTGTGATTCCCAGGTGTACAAAGCTGACAAAGCAGGATTAATCGTTGAAAAACTTGAAAAAGTGGATGCTTCTAAGATAGAAGAACGAGCAAAACGATTTGGTTTGAATCTTACAGGAAATAGAGTAATAACACAAAGGCAGATAGATGAACTTTATTCAAATTTTGGCATAGAAAGTGGAAATGAGAGACATTTCCGTTTTGATGCAATCAACTTGCATGGAGTTGATGGACTATCTACAAAAGAAATATTTCAATATTTAGAAGACTACAAACCTGTGTCCCTGGAATGGATAGATGAAGTATCATGTAAGTGTCTTATTTAATGTTTAATTATTTCTATTTAAATCCATGCACTAATATATAATAATATCCCAACTAACTATTTTCGATTCTATTTTCAGGTAATATTGTCTGCCAAGATCATATATCAGCAGCCCTGGCATTATTAGTTCATTCTAGAGAAATTAAAGATGCAAATTTAAAGGAAATGCTTGCTGCTAATCCAAATCACCATTGGCGTGAAGGAATGCCACATCCTAAAAAGGATCTTATTTTAATGAGATTTGCTACTAATGGAGACAAGAAAATGAGCAAGAAGAAGCCTCAAAGTAAATGTACAGATGACTATGCTGATCAAAATATGGATGCAGTAAATAAGAATCCCTGGGGTGATTTATGTAAATCTTGGGGAGTTTATGATCATCAAGAAGTATTTCAGCGAAAGCCTAGATATAATAATTATGAAGATGAAGATGATGATTTAGAAGAGCCTGATAAAATTGTTAAAATTAAAAATAAAAGCTTAGCAAGCCGTCTTGGTAAAAGGCAAGCTATTAGGGATGACTATAACATTGAAGAAGCTGAAGAAAGTGATTCAGATTCTGAATGGAAAACTAAATCAAAGGCACCTCGAATGAGAATGCATGCAGATGATGAAGAGTCAAAGCGAAAGAAGAAGCAAGCTTCCCTACTATCCAGGGATTCAGATGGATATTCTGCATTGTCAATTGAAGTAGAAAATTCCCACAGCAACTATAAACCGAGAGACCACACAGTCATATCTGACAAGTTTAGAAGGAATAATGTACATAGAAAAAAGCATGGTATTCAGTCAAGGTTAGGTAATAAGGTGATAACTGTGGAAGATAATGATAGTTTTTCCAGTGAGGAAGCATCAGATAACTCTGATAGTTATGTTATGAGTAGAGTGCATAAAGTAAATTCTAGTAGTAATAGTGTATGGTCCAGGTTAGATAGGAAACCCACCAGTACCAGAAATACAAGTGATCACAGTGATTTACGTCAAATTTTGAAATCCAGGAAACATGGGAAGTCTGATGACCTACGAGAAAAACTAGGAAAATCCAAACAAAGTAATTTACGTATTGAAATTGACAATAATTATGCACATGATGATGATGATGATGATGATGATGATGATGATTTATAGTGTTTAATGTACCATCATTTCATATTAGAAAAAGTGTTCATCTTTTATTTTCTTTGTAAGATTTTAGATTCAGTGTACTACAAAGTAAATGTTTTTTTTACATATTATAGTAGATAGATATAACAATAATACTTTGTAAATGTTAATACTGAATATTAACATGAATTCTCTTCAGTTTATAAATATAAGGATTATGAATGCATGCATGTTTGTGACCCTGATCAGTGCAATTAAAGGAAATATTACACTAACACCCGGTTTCTGAAAGGGATGTCAATACTAAAATTAACTAATCTCCTGTTAAATATCTTGTCAAGTCATCTGATTGGTTATTGATGATTCAGTCAACCAATCAGATGACTTGACAAAAGATTACATTGATTTTAACATTGATTTCTGTGTATATGTATAATAAATGCCTCAAAAACATTTTGTACTTGGGATTTATATTAGGCTCACATTAGTTAATTAATTAATATTTTCATTCAAGTACAGCTTAACCTTATTTCCGTTATATAAATGAAATGTAGCAGAATAAAATGAAATAAATGATTTACTTTAAATTAAGTGAATTATAATATAGTCTAGATTTAAATTCTAGTTAAATGAGTTTGACCAAGTTTTTACTGTACTTATGTTATTATAGGACTGCATAATCAATGGAATCATATAATTCAGATAAGGTATTGGAAATATTTATGTTGTTGGATTTATTTTCTACACAGAATGGTACATGATGTTGTGATATCAGATGCAGTATTCAGTTTCAGTGCCCATATTTACTACCACAATGTCAAAAGGGTATCAGTTGACCATAATACATAATATAAGATTTCTTTACTGATTATACTAAATGGGGCTTATTTTAGTGTAGCAGTAATGTGGGGTTATGGAATACTGCACCTTGATATTATGCGGTTGTGTACATGTGTTACTGACAATACACTTAAGTGTTAGTTGACAATAAGAAACAACCTACAATAAAAGATTTTAAGGAAATAAATTGGTTTGTTGCTTTTAAACATCTAACTCCTTTAGTGTAATTAATGACTAATAAATCTATGGCAGGTGTACCCATACTAAATAGCACATTAAGATGATTACAATTTTCAGAAGTTTAATAATATCGGAATATATGGACTTGGAAGTTGAACTCCGCATACCACCTTTTTATGTGACAGGACGGCAAACGAGCAGGCGAATAAACTGATGGTAAGCAATCAACGCCGCCCGTGGACAGCCGCAACAACGGAAGCGTTACGATTGCGTTGCCGGCCTTTCGTGGATTAGGGCAATCTTTTAAAATTTATCGTTCTAGCTACAAATGTGTATGTCAGATTGATAACGTAGCAGAAGTAGGTTTTAATAAAAATAAAATTCATTTCAACTGGAAATCAATTTTTATTGTTATTTGTTGTGCATTAGAATAAAATCAATTTTGTGCTATGTCGCAAAACAAAAATCGTGATGTTAGTTAGCTGAATTAAAAAGTGTACTGTCCATAATATCTCTATTAAAATGAATTAATCATACTACAAACTAAAAACAAAATTATAAAATAAAATGTATCAAAATAAACGATCAAGAAATGTGGGCGCAAAAGACTAGTTATTAGTAAATCTATTATAAAATATGTATATTAATAGAATTAAATTAAAAATATAATTATAACATTTGATGCGTCAGCAACAAATATAATATGTATTTCGATAATTCGGAAGACGAGTATTAGATTTGACTATAATATAACAAAAGTATTTATGAACTTATGGGTGGAATATGAATAATGATTGTCTTACTGATTTTGGGTAAGTATATGTATCGTGTTAGGATAACTCCTGTATTTGTAAAGCCTCTAGTTATATTGACGATTTACTAATATGAATGACACAATAAATAAACTAAAATAAGGCCATTAAGCGAGCTAATAAAAATGTACTAATGGCTGATGATGTACTATTACGAAAATTCAAACATTGTTTGGATTCTAAAATTATTGTAACTAAATGAACTGTGTCCAAATTTTCCGTCTATATTTATTTAAAATTATATGTAATAGATAGTAAATATATTATTTTATTGAAAGAACTTTTAATTTGTTTTAATCTTTAAAAAATAACACTTATGCAAGCTGATATTGAGTAATACTGATGATTTTTATTTTATCCGTTCCAAATTTCCATTGCTAATTGAAAAATAATTATAAGTACACAGTTTTCGTACTACTTAATTTGAAATTATACATCGCAAAACTTAACAGTAATAAAATAAAAAATATAATATCATATTGCCTGTATCAAAAAATATAATAATAATTTTAATACTTAAAGCGTTTCTAATAATACAAATAATTTAGGCACTTGTTAGTAATTATGCAATCAATTCGAATGTAACTTAAAATAATTTGGTGCAAATTGTTATCATTATTGCAATGTGCACTTGCTACTTTGACTTCTAATTATATTTTCTATCATTATGCATATTCCAGAACATGGCTGGCGCAACTAAAGATAGTCAACAGATCAATTCCTAAGATAACTTTCTACACATCTAAATTCTGGCACGTAATTTCCACATTTCAATATTTGAAATGATAACTTGTTCTTATAAATCAACTTTGAGTTGGATATAAATAGCTTTCCCAATGATTTAATGTGTATAAATAAAATGTATAATTAGTGGAATGTTTCAGTCTTACTTATAAGTACGTGCTACATGCTTATAACGAAACACAAATTGGTTTCATACCAAAATGATTTAATTTGGATGAAAAAAATAACTGAGTAATGTGTCCAGAACTAGTAATTACTATCATTTTACTCGTTTTTCTTTGTCTTTCTCTTCTTTGCGTTCACTTGAATCTTCTTTCTTCTTAGATATTAAAGTGTGTTTTGCTTTCTTTAGTTGTTTCTTAACTTTGTCTTTTACCTTATTTTTTTTTGGTGTTGGAATTACTTCAACTGATTTCATAGATGAACTATTTGATTCACTATTTCTTTGGGCTGAAAAGATAAAAGTAACCGTGATTAACGTCGTTATTAACACGTGTTTTGAACTGTGTCTTAGTCTCGTCACTAGAATTCTCGAAAACCTGTGTTTGTTTTTCTCTAAAGTTAAACATGTGGCAAACACTACTTTTATTTTATAATTGTTAAAAGTGTACTTATAATATGTTTATGCATTTGTAAACCTTTCATTTTAAATGCACCCAATTTGAGCTCATCCGGTATTACAAATGCAAGCACAATAATGTCACGGAGCAGTGACGGTGTGGTTTTTAGTTAGTAAGATTGACGCCACCCAGGTTTAGGGAACGGTCATTAAATGATTCCCCTTTTTATAAAAACCTATATTAACTACGCCAATGGTAAATAACAAATCATGATATTAATTAAAATTGCATACCTCTCTTATTGGCGATGGAAGCCGCAATAGCTAAATCTTCTTGACGTTCGCGACGACGCTCTGCGTCAATTTGCTGTACTAATTCATCACGCATGCGAACTATTTCCACAAGTCGTAAAACCAATTTTTCTTCTCGGGCCTGTAATGTCAATGTAGATAATTATAGATTACAATTAATAAGCGTCTATCAAGACATAATAAATGTAAAATGCCATAACGAACCTATGTTTCAAATCACCCTTATGTTGCATTTACATGGGACTCATGATTGAAGATGATCAAACATGTGTGATCTTGGCAACTCCTTATGGAATAAAAAGGCAAGTTTTTTTTTGAAATAGGTCGGCTAACGAGCAGGCGGATTACAACACCAAAGGAGTTCGAGTGCAATGCCAGCCTTTTGGGGATAAGGGTTTCGGATAATTAAAGTTTGGGAAGGGGGAGGGATTGGTCCTCACTCTCATGGCGAAACACAACACTGTGGTTGTGTCATACTGTTTTTTTGTGAGAGAAGCTTGGCTCTCCCATACTCAAAACTTGTTAGTAAGTACTTGTATAATATAGTTTGTCGAGTATTAGCTTTGATACGCAGTAAGAATGTGAACAATACAATTTATGGCTTACCTTATCCGCATCGATGCGGTTAACGGCCGGTCGTGATTGAATTATTCGTATTTCATGTTCAATGTCAGCTTGTTCTTGTTCCAACCGTTGTTGTCGTCGTCTGTAATGTATTATCGGTTAATAGGTATATCTGATTATAAAAAAATAATTTGGTTATCAGTCTAACTAACAATTTGGTTAAAATCAACTATTTTTGAATAGTAACTATCGTGAGATATACTACGTTAATTAAAAATAACGACTTACGAGAATTAACTGTGAAAAACTCAACTACTTTTAAGACACAACGGGACTCTTAATCATGAGTAGCGTGCTCATAAGGCGCATACGTTATGACGACACACACACGACACGTAGTGCTTTTCTTAGTTAATGTGACTTTGCTCCTTTGTTATTTGCAATATAAAATGTGATACACAATCTTCTATTTCGGAGAGTTTTTATTAATTTCCAAGTTACAGTTATGATATTTCTTACAAGCAAGGATCATAGACATTAAAAATTTGAATTGTTTATTGTCTTATGAACTGTGTATTGTCTCACGACTGTGAGAATTACTTAGCCAACTTTATAGACATCAATGTATGATGTTTGAAAACAAGACATTCAGACGAAATTAATAAAAATGTGTTTACGCCACATCATGAAATAAAATTTATTTCATTTGCAACATAATGCCGTTAGGGTCATTTTTTAAGTAAAAATGTCCTTAATTTGATCTTAGGGGCCTTAGATCACGTGTTACTTACATGTACATCAATTCAGTTTGCTTTCTGAACAAGTCGTTTTTCTCATTGACTAGTTCACACAGTTGAATGACTAAATCTTCCACTTCCTCTTGTGGCACGGTGTCAGCCTCGTCACCTGCAGGGACACGTGCATTGTTTATCAAGAGTATGCTTGTAGATAACATACAGCAAAGATGGATACTTAAAAGATAATGATCGACAGAAATAACAATTAAATAAAGTACTACAAAAAGGGGAAAATACTTATAATTAGAAAGCACATTTTTAAAAACTGAATATTAAACATTCGGCTGTAATTAATAACCAATTCGATCGAAAATCTTTGGATGGAGATATTTTTTGAAGCTTTCAAGCATGGAGCTAGTTTCAAAATCCAAAAAGATCGGTTATTTGGTTATTAAATGCGGCCGTTGAAGGACTATAGATTATAATATTTACAGAGACAGAGTGAGAGTGGGTGCCCAAATAGAAATAAATGTGCTTGACCATGTTTACCCTCACACTTGTCGCGAATCATGCGTTCTATTAGCACGCCCTGCCGCTCGAGCCCCAGTTGCTGAGTTTCCAACAGATCCAATTGCACTTGCAGTTCTTCTGGCGACATTTGCATCTTCACCTCGCGACGCTCAGGCAGTGGTAAGCCTGGTGCAGGGCCCTTAGTCTTTCGTCCACCTAAAACAAATGGATGACAATATAATATTCATGAATGAATGGTAAGCGCAGTGGCTAGGTGCCAAAAATTTTCTGTCTGGAATCCCCAAATTATTGTCCAGGATCTTATGATCTTATTAAGTATGAACAATTATTGTGCATACTAGACTTGCCTAAACTTACAACTTATGTGTAATAGTATAACGGAGGGGTTCCATACCTTCAGAATTGATGCTTCTCATGCCTGAAGTGTTGATGCCTTTCTCTAAGGAGCCACAACCACCCGACAGTGTCGACAAACTATCGGGTGGGGTCGGCGCTGGCCGCCGCTTCTTAAGCGTTGGTGTAGACTTGCCAATCGATTTCTGTAAGAAAAGAAGCAAATACTAATCAGTAACCTATGAATATTATTCTAAAATTATTTAGTTTCTTGCTTCTACCAAGGCGTAACTAACTTACTAACTAACTGCCTCGCACATGTGACTGCCGAGCTAGTTGTTGGAAATTCACACGTTCGGGAAATTAATTTTAAGTCTGGGATTGTGCCCAATTGCAATGCTCATCCTCTTGGACTATTTGGACCTCATAATACTATAACTGGTGAGAATAGACAAAACAATTGTAAGGCAACGTTAGTATGTAAAAAAAATGTTGCCCCACACTTGGATTTTATTTTCGGAAAAACAATTATTGTTTCACAAAAACAGTTGTTCCGTACGATTGGACTGTGACCCGCAACAAGTAGAGCGGCAGTGGCCCATCCACCGCGCTAACCGTGCAGTCAAAGCATTAGGTACATATGCATGTTACGTATAACTTTGCCTATTCCTAAAAGGATAAAAAACATGACGGCATAAATAATAAAGAGTTAAACAATAAAATATTGTAATATTGCAGTTTATTTTGCACGCATTTATCACAATAAGCATTGTTTCGCAAATATCCGTGTCGTTACACTGGTAATAATGATATCGGTAAAAGTAAATTGATCACGTAGACGACAAGATATTTATTATATTTAATAAGTGAAGCTATTGACTTATGCACAGCAACACCCGTTGGCTGAACTGACAATTGCGTGCCTGTCTTCAAAGGGTATTAACTATTAACTTAAACTGATGTGGGCCTTTCCTCAAAAGACTACTACAGAATTTACTTGCTCAGTTCTCATACATTATATTTTTTAATATTTGTTGGCTTGTCGAAGTTTGTTTCGAGTTTTCTTCCCAGAGTCATCCGATAGGAAATGCTGGCTTCATTCATCTAGTTCTATGTAGGACTTTGACGTGTAAAAGTGCTGCTTTATGGCCCACTCACAAAAATAAATTAATTGTTCCGCTATACTCTAATGACTTTATTGACAATCCGTGATTAACAAGCAAGGGTCTCGGGTTCGATACCCGGATCGAGTACAGTGTGCTTGAAATTTTGCGTAGTCTCAGTAATGGTCCGAATTTGTGCGTAAAATCTCGCGAAGGCTCACCCCTATTAAAATGTGTTGGGCGGATGTAGCCCTAAACGTGTACCTCTACATACTCATTGGGAGATTCAAAGATGTTTTGTTTCTGAAAATTACATGAAAAACATCAAATAAACACTCACTTGGTCAGAATGAATGGTGGAGTTGTATGAACTCAAGGAAGATATGCTTGCGACATCGTCCAAAGAGGTGGCAAGCGCAGGGTTTTGAAGTCGCGGCACCTCCGTGATGGATATGGCTGGGGGTGGCGGCGGCGCCTTCCCCTTTTTCCGTCGAGGCGTACTTCCAGGGAGATTCGGAGTGCTTGTTGCCATTGAAGATCTATACATTGAACTGGAAAAATTAAAATTCCTTATATGTAGTTAGCGCCTGATTCACTTCTGCTTATTTAGTTTCTCTTACATTCAAATTATGTGTCAGTTAATTATTTCTAATCTATTGGTAATTATTTATTGTGATAGTAATTTTTAATCCCACTATTATTTTAAATATAAGTACCTAAATGTTTGTGAGTATGTACGGATGTATGCCAGTTATTGTGTATGCAAAAACGGCTGCATCGATTTGGTATGTAAATAGGTGGTACCCTGGACTATCTCATACGCTACTTTTTTTAACATGCAGGCGGGAACTAGCGACTCATAGTAGTGTGTGAATCGAAGGATAGCAACAAGTTGTTATAATTTTGCTTTTACCTCTTGTTGTGTGTTTCCTCTTCATCTGACGAAGGTTCCTCTCCATCGGACCAGAATGGATTGACTGCGATAAGTCTTTTACTGCAATAAAAGTTTACTTATTAGACTAAGTATTCTTTTTTTCTTTTTTTATGAGATTTGTCGGCAAAGTAGCAGGCAGTTTTTACGGCAATTGGCGCCGCTCTTGGATACTCGCAATAAAGAGTTACTAAAAGCGCGTTGTGATAGTGAGTAATTAGACATTTAAGGATAGCAGATTTGGGGAAGAGCCCAAGGATTGGTCCTCCGGTAACCTTACTCACACGGCAAAACACAATGATACCGCTGTTTCACGCCGGTATTCTGTGAGGCCGTGGTGTAACTCCGGTCGAACCGACCCATTCGCACCGAAGCATGGCTCTCCCACACTTACATTAATACATTACAATACTCAGGTATATCTTTGTATTATACTTATTACTTAACTGTTGAATGTTTATGCAGTTGATTAGGCAACAAATACATTACAAATAGCTGGTTACAAAATTAATTAGGTTGAATGTTCCGAGTTCCGACATACTATGAAATAATCTAAGTTCGTAATAAATTTCCGTTTATCACGGGCGAATGCAACATGCGCTGTGTAACGAACAACCTTTTGATATAATGTAAAGACCTTCATATTGTTCTTTTGTTGTATTGGGAACAACATAGGCTACGTAGCTCTACAGTATTGTAACTATCTACTGTTACGACGTTCACGTATCTATCTACGTTTTTGCGAAATAACAATGAAATGTATTATCAAAAAGCAGCCTAACAGACTTTTATAATAAATTGGATCATATTTTTGGCAATCTTTAAGCAGGATAGGATAAGGAAATTGTAAGTACCTACGTACTTAAAGGCTAAGGAATGTTAAATACATTTTTTTAAAGTATTTTGCTTGAAAATGGTAATCTCTGATTTGATAACTGTGAGATTTGATAGGCTATTTCCGGTCAAAATGTTATCTTTCTAACATCGCGGTTTGACTAATGGAAATGGTATAAAGTGGTAATATCGCAGGCTGGTTTTAAATATTTATAAGTAGTATCAAATTACTTACACTGGTGTTGTCTCAGGTTTAGGAGCTTGTGGAATGGGTGGCACATCGTCGTCTTCCTCGTCGCTACTACCAAAAGGATTTGTACTGACTTTTTTAGGAGGGGCAACTTCCTTTAAACACGAAAAAAAGCAATTAATATTCTTGAAAAAATCTAACATAGAGTTAAAGTTACTTTAATATATAAATATATATTAAATACCTCATCTTCATCATCCGAGAAAGGATTTAAATGGTCCGGATACTCCTTGCTGTCCAGCTTAGTTTCCTCCTCCTTTTTCATAGCAGTTGCTAAAGCTTTCTCCAAAGCATTCTGTTTCTTTCTTCTTGGAGGAACACTTATACTTATTTCTTGGTCTGGTTGAGTTTCTGGCGATTTTTCTATTGGAGAAGGTTGCTCCATTACTGTGGATGAGCTATTGGCTATTCTGTTATCATCTGTTACATTGCTTGTCTCTTCATGCACACTACTGCTTGCATCATTAATATCCTCTACACTAATTGTATTATGTTCAATTGTATTAACGCAGTCTTTGTCTTTGTTACTCGTTTTGATTACATCTACAGTTTCTTTAGTATAATAATCATTTCTAATGTCTTCCGCTAGTTGTGTTTGAAGAAAATTAAACTTTTCCATGTTACTTTTATACACTTTTTCTGGAGTATTGTTGCTTGATATTTTTTCATCTTCCATTTTCGTAGTCGTACTTATTAGTGTCGGTTGCGTGTCTGCTTCACAATGAGATCTACTAGTGGTGCTAAGTTCTTCAGATTTACTAATACTATTGTCTTTTAACGAAATATTTGAGATTTTGTTTTCAATGTTAGTATCTTTTTCTATATTTTTTTCAAACATGTTAATTTTGTCTAGAAAATGACACACAGTTTTAATAAATAACTAGTTATAATGATATTATAAATGATAGCAGGAACAATTAATAAGGAAATGGACACACACATAACAACATAACAAAAGCATAGATTTTCATCCAATGATTAAAAATATTTGAATATAAGAACTGTATTGCATAGATTAGACAAGTTGTCTGTTTGCACAAAATGCACAATAAGAAAACATTCAAGATTTTGAAAGGAGCATTCAGTTTGTAGTCAACAAAGAGAGAACATGATGCAGAACAGAAATTAGCAAATGTTCCAGAAATGTTATCAATTTCGTAACTCCAAACTAATCCTATTAACTATTGGACCATATCGATCATGTTGTATAACAACACAATTAGCAACAGTAGCTTATTACATGTATTTGATAAGATTATTATTTATTTATGACTTTGTTTATGGATATGGTTATTGATGTTTATACAGAAAATGGTTTAATAAATGTATTTAGCATAATTAAAATGAAGCACTCACCCAAAATAGACTGTGGTCTTGGTTTGTTTTTAGGAATAACTGGCTCCTCATTCGAGACAGATTTGGTCTCATTCACAGTATCCGTGAATGCCAGCATTCCCATTTGATCATGATCATTATTATTAAGATATTTTGATAAAGTCTTTTCATTTTTACAACTATCACAGGTAAATTCAGATCCTTCAACTATCTCGAAATTCTTAGGGTTTAGATGTCCAGAGCACTTAGAACAACGGAAACATCTTCTGTGGTACAGTTTGTGAGATACGAGTAGACGCTGAGCAAGGTACACAGGCAGGCCACATGCTGCACATTTGTCTAGACCAGTCTTGCCAAACCTTATTGGTGCCTACAAAGTAGTATAAAGATAGGTGTTAAGGTAGAAAGTATTAGGGAAAATAGAAAACAGAATTATTGCAAACATTGCACACATATAGAAAGTTAAAGTTGAGTAAGTATACATTTACTATTGTCATACTAACAGAAGTTTCTGCGCTGGCTGGCTGCGGTGATACCTTGGACTCGCTTTCATTAACCTTAGTATTCACTGAAAACAAAAAAATAATTTGAAGTGGTAACTCTCCCCATAACTTGTAAATTTATAAATTTTATTATAATTAAAGTACTAAGGTTAGATTTAGATTAATTTTTTAGCTTCATATTTTAGAACTTACCTGTGTGTCCTAGACGTTGATAAAACTGGGACAAATAAGTTAATATTGACAACCTATCCGGTACATCATTTTCAACCATGTCCTCAGGGTCTAAAAGAGCAGGAATACCTAAGTGCTTCTCAGCGACACTATAAGCCAGTTTATTATTTTCATAAATATTTTCAGGATTCAATTTAGACATGTCACTGAAAATAATATATAAAAACTTTTAAATTCATATTATCATATTCATATTAGTAAAGTATTATTTCTATTTAGAACTTTAATAAAACTGAGATTTGTTTATATATTTGATTAGAGGTAAATGTACTCACATTAAATCGGGTCTAAAATGATGAACCAATGCACAAAATGCTATGCCATTTCTCCAGGATGTTGTCATATTATCTATGTGCACCTCAGGGCAATCTTTAACTAACCGCTTACACCATAACTCCAGAGCTTTAGTGCCTCTTCGTTCAGACATTTTTCAAAACTTTTTAGCAACTTTACAAGGAGTTCAAACTGTTCATCATCTATGACTCATTTATGAAACCTTTTCATTGAAAATAATAATGAGCCATTATTTTTGCATTTGCAACGTACGACGTAGTGCAAATTTTGCCAGATACTAATCATTGAACCATATTCAAATATAAATTTCTAATAAAATATTCATCACAAGTTAGTGGTTAGTTGGCAATTTGGCATTGGCTAGGGATGTCCCCAAAACATTGCTCGCATACTAAAACTAATGTCAATTTCTACACTATAGCTTTCACTTCAGTCAATAGTCGATTCCATTCGATTACAATTTATTTATAAAAATAATAACTGCCTTTTAACGGTAAATATAAAATACTAATCCTAAGACCCGGGTCCCGAATAATAGCAGGAGGACGTCGATTTGACAACGAAGTAAGGTTTTGTTTCTCATCTTTGACAACTGAAACATCTGTGAAACATCGCTGAGTTCTCTGAGTCTCCCGACGTTTGGCTTCCAAGTTATAATGGAGCAGGGCTGCGCTCAAATGACTCCTTCCTAACCTAGGTGGGCTATGTGGATCTTGTGATGACCTCTCCAGGGCGCCTGTGTGGGCATAAAATTTGAGGTAGCGACCAGTTCGCTGGCTGGTCGCGTCCTAGAGAGTCAAGGCCATACGCATCATCCGTGTCTATCAAAGGTTCTACGGGTAGGAGGAGAACTTGTTTGCCGGATGTGAAGGTGAACGTTTTCAATTTGCGCACTGAGAAACTCTGCTGGTGGGATGAGTTTCAGCGCGATCGCTTGGCGGTGTGGACTGTAGAAACAATGACTGTTTCAAAGAGGGCCTCACTTTTATAGCTGCGGAAACACGAGGAGTGACGCCACAACGTCATCACCTTTCGCTTGACGCAGGTGCTTACGGAGGTTTCGGGAAGTAACTTCCTGTTTCGGATCCAGCCGCTGGAAACGACTGGGTGTTGTCATTATTAGGACCTGCCGAAGCACACGGTGGAGCTTAGAGTAGAGGTGTGCCCTGCTTGGGCTGAGTACCACCGTGTTGAGATATGATTAAAAGGAACTGGAAATCTTTCTCCTCTTTCTGAGAAGAAGTGACACTTAAGGAAATAAGCGGAACGGAAGGGAACTATCCTCCTCTTGCTTCAGCCGCCGCATGAGATACTCTGGGTGTCCAGGATCGCGCGACGATCTCCTGCTACCGGAGCACCGCACAGAAGCGCACGGAACGGAATGCGCCTTACGCTCATAACCTTAGGTACATTTAGTATTTATTATTAATTTATTTATCCAGTTCCCTTTAAAATCGCCTGAATATTGGTCCTGTGAAGCCATTAATTGTGGTGGAATCTTTGAGGCTGAACACACGGAAAGCAATGCACCTCACGTGCGTAAGGCATATTGCGTTCCGTGTGTTCAGTGAATTACCATATTTTTTTTGTTTTCTAGTGGTTTGTTTTTTTACTACACTTGTATGTCTTGATGCAATAACAAATACGTATAGCGTTCTAATTACCTTTTTTCAGGAGGGAAAATGATCAATGACTTCACTCGCCTAGGATATAGAGAGGGCGTATCAGACTTACTGACTAAAAACCCCTGCGTTTCTTGTCCTGCTCCAGGCTAATCTAATTAGGCTATGCTATGTTCCTTCGACCGACGCGACATGTTGGGTTGGGCCATAGACTTATACTGCCCTATTCTACATTTGCGGGTTATCCTATATCTAGCTATATCAGATCATGACCATTCTCAGCCCCTAAAAAGATTGTACGATGTGTTTGATCGTGCGATCAAGTAATCAAAACAATAGATTTCTATTGAGTGTCGTCAGCGGTTGCCTACGCGATGCGTCGACGCGCGAGGTGCGCGGTACGTATCTATTAAAATTCACCGCGCAGATTCCTGGATCTACTTATAAAGTATTTTATGCTGTCTACGTTTCCCTTTTTTAATGTCATTTGCAATTTTTAAATCAATAATATCTAGGTACTTATCGCCCAACAGCAAAAACTGTCCATCTCTTTAAAGAGCCGTTCTCGTTAAAGTGGCGCTAGCCAGGCTAGCTAGGCATCGCATCGTGCGATCTATTATGACACAATACATGTTAGGTCATCGTACGACCAATTTGATCGTGCGATGAAAAATGCATCGCGTCATCGGACGATCGCTCCCAAGTAGGACGCCGCCGCCGTCTATGTCTAAATTAAATCAGACGTAAAGAAAACACGAGAAATAAATGAAAAACAAAATTAAGGGTTTATTTGGTAATTTCATATATATAAGTATAGGCAGGTTATTTAAAAAATATTTTTAAATTTAATCCATAATTAAAATTGGGCGACAATTTCCAAGAGCGTCAGGTCTGTAGCCACTGGGGCACTGGTTTGGTACGGTAATGACGTTTCTGTTCACAGAATTTAGGCCTTCAACTTCTTCAACCTGTAGTTGATCTCCAATATTGTTCAAATTCAGCAAACTGCAATACAAAGTAGATACTTAATAGGTAGATAAGCTGGTCACATTAAATTATGATTTACTCAGACTCGGGGGAACGTAGTCAAAGTTTATGTAAAATAAGAGTCACAAAAGGGTTCTAAGCCTAAAAGGAAAATATTCAGAAGAAGTTTCTTTGATGACGTCTTGTTTCAGCGTTTTATTGTCTAGCAACCTAACTAACTATTAACGACCTTAATTTGCAGCAGGGCAAGTAGGTACTTGTAGAAATGTGGGTATGATTATTGGGGCTTGGTTTTATTAATGAGAAAATTACATCAGTGCTTCTTAATCAGTAAATACAAAAGGTTGGTTCATTGAACTTTAAGCCTATCGCAATGATAGTCTTTGACATCTAGGTTAATTGAAACAGATGTAATTAAGATTTTAATGATATACTTTAATTATGTAGTGGTTTAGAAGAATAATTTACTTATAATGCGTCATATGTATTTGAAGCACGTAGGTACCCACGTACCAAGATAAGGTAATGATGTATGTAAATGTCAGATTAAAATCTTTTCCTAAATGTGTAGGTACCTTTAGAAGTCTCATTTTACGTTATCGCTGTATAATTTCAAATACATTTTTTTAGGTAATGCAAAAACCAGTAGGTACATGTACCTATTCATTAAATAATAATAGCTCGTAATGGCATCGATTTGAATTAAGAGTATTGACTCATGACACCCAGACCCGCGACAACAATTTGTGGATAACACAAATAATATTTCCCTATGGGAAAGGATACGCGACACACTGCACAGTCTCCGAATTTGCAGGCTGTGTCAAGGATCTTTAGGCGAAGGTATAAACAACTAAGTAAATATTTTACAAAAGGTACTTTACCTTCTCCACACGTCACGGCATTGCCCATTGATGAATTCTTGTCCAGAAGGGCAATTAGTAGGAACCGTGATTACGTTTTTATTGTCTGTTCCACTTCTCCAAACGTCGCGACAGGAACCATTAATCCACTGCTGGCCGGGACGGCAGTTTGGTGGCACAGTCACCACATTTTGCGGTGCGTAATCCCTGAACAAAAACAACCAACAATAAATATACAATCCATTTACATTTTAACAGATTCCTAGGATTGTCAGTCGATAGGGTTGGATGTCCATCAGCACACCATCAGCCCATCTATCGAACGCGCGCGGTGCAGGATTCGACATTGTCCAGGTTTGACTTTATGACGTCATAAAGGTTATTAGGTGGGTACTTATTTATTACATACTCATCATGCACAAACGTGTATTTAACCCGGTATTAGATGATTTTCACGTGACAAATTGACCACAACTCAATGATCAGCTGGTTGTAGGGTTGCTTGCCAGTTGCAGGAAATGTTCGGGTTATTTATTTGTACGGTTAGATAGGGATGAAATCATGGAAGATAATCAGACCGCACGATTGGCGCCGTGACTGGGCAACTGGCTGCCGCACAACGTGTACCGGATTCGATTCCCGCATGGAACAACTATGCGTGTGATCCACAAATAGTTGTTCTGGTTCTGGGTATGATGGGTAGATAGGTACGTGAAATTGTATATTTGTAAACGCACCGGAGAAAATATAAGTGTGGAGTAACGTTTGTTGAAAAAAAGATGATGTACGCAAAATAAAATGTATGTCGTATGTATGTATGTGTAATAGTATTTAAGTCTACACATTTGCTGCCATAGCAACCAACAACTACTAATATGAAACGTTTACGTTTGAGCTTATAGTGTAGGTAGGTAAGCGGTTTAAAATGATAATAAGCTCACAAAGAAATTTGGAAATTCCCCTAAGTAGGAAATAGTAATAATATAAATTTTCCTTATTAGTTTTAGTCTTATCGTTTAATTGTAAATATTGATTTCCTTTGATAATAGATAGTTATACAATTTATCGCTTAAGATTGTAGGTATTATTTTCAGAAGCTTTAGTAGGTACCTAGGTATACTTATGAGACGTCTAGGGCAGATAATTTGCCAAAGGGCATTCCTATAAAAGGATTTTACTTAGGTAGCAACCTTGGTAAGTGAAATCTTTATAAGTCATCATAATATCTTTATATTATGATGATGACTATTTGATTTGTTCATCATCATCATCATTATCGTCGATCAAGAAGAATTGAACATTAGCATAAATTTTATCACTACGCTCGCTCAAGTGTTCAAACTAATAATTAGAAATTATTAGTCCAGGTTTGAACTTGCCAGGTTTCGACCCACTCCCTCAAGAAAGCTGAAAAGCGGGCGCCCTTACCTCTGACCTCCAAAATATGTAGACATTAAAATGCTTCTATACCAAACGTCTTTCATTATAGAAGAAAGAACTTGTGAAGATGTTTGCAGCTACGAAACCCCTAGCTAGGAAACCCCGACTCGTCTACAGGTATTAAAATGGCGCCCAACGGCACGAAAGCTACAGGTATTATGTACAAAGTACATAATATGAATATGTAACGCAATTAACTCTAGAATGCACCACGCAATAAGTAAACAACCTTTCTTCTTTCGGTCTTTAACACTTACGAAAACACAGTGCGGGTATTATTCAAAGCATGACAAAACAAAAAGATCCATAAAGCAGAAGGCAAAATGAAAAGACCAGAGTTATGATCGCAATTCGGTTATTGCGCAATTCAGTCACGAGTTTCGAAACCAAACTTATACGTTTAAATCTGCACGCTGAATATCATGGATGGGCACTCAAATTTGAATGCACCACATAGATAGAACAAAACTGGCTTCCTTTGCAATTTTTAGTTTTGTTTGCATATCTACTACGTCCATATGCACTCTTAATACAGGTGTTTAAAGTATCTTGCCCAAAAAGCGCCAGAATATCCTAGCGTACCTAATATATTACCTATTATGGTATTCCACTTTTCTACTTCTTAAGATTGGCCCATCAATTGAAACATAAAATTTAAATTTAAATTTTAAAAATAAAATTCCATTCAAATCCAATACCCATATTGGGTTTGAATGGAATTTTATTTTATCTACAAAATACCATAGGCATACGCAGGAAGTATAAAGAAAACAATGTCAAATCGATAAAAGTACCGAAAACACCTCCATCTACTGTATATTTGTACGATAAGTTAGCCTTATCTTAGTCATGTGGTACCAATTTATAAATACCGTATAAGATTTTTGTCTCGTGTTCAAAATTTACAGTAAAACAGTTAGTGAAAAATTAAAAATAAATCGAAACGTATAGTTTACCTGTAATAGCTGCCTAACAGTGTTTTGATCCAAACATCACGACATTGGCCATTGACTAATGATTGTCCAGGAGGGCAGTTCGCTGGCACCGTGATCAGGTTCGAAGGTGCAGCTGTAACTCTCCAGACATCTCGACATTGCCCATTAACCCACTGTTGTCCTTCAGGACAGTTTGGCGGGACGGTCACCACATTCTGTGGCACAGTTTCGATATTAGGCCTGGCGATACAAGAACTGGCGAGAAAACATAGAAACGTAATGAATAAAATCATTATAAGTATTCGTTTCTTCCAGTAAAACAGAACTTTTTGGTCTAGCGATGGTCTGCTGTTTACTTCAAGATGAGAACTACTGGACAAGAATCTTAATTGATTTCTGATTATATTTATCACTTCAACCGTTGTTTATAGAGTAGATAATCGAATGACGTGGCAGATACGATATCTCTGCAATCTTTGTTTTAATAAAGAGCGTTTTATTGAGTTCCATTTGTATTGTTTGTGTATGTAAAATGTTCCAAATAGATGCATACCTACTAAACTAGGTAAAAAGACAAATAAGAAGGTCCCTTTAAATTCAACAGAATCAATTTATCAATTGAGCAGCAAGTAAATACGCACGTAGGTAGGTACTCCTGGGTAAGCATTCCCAGGGTTTCTTGGTACCCATGTCAATTTATCCTATAAATAAAAAGCAGTAAATGCGATTTTATTATCAAAGGAAAATGTACCGTGTGCTGAGCATAAGAGAAGTGAAACTTGTACAATATCTCACATGTGACACTGACTTCGGACTCTAGTCCCTGTCGGCTGGTGTGTATAAGACATTTCCGGTTATTAACCAATTACAGTCTGTTTGTGTCTCACCATTTTCTTTCTAGAAACACGACTAAAGCGGCTGCAGTTTTATTTCTAGAAGGAAAATAGCTATGCAGCTATTTTGTAGCAAAAAAACTTCGCATAAGTGTTAATGCAAAGAAAAAAAATGAAATAGAGTTAATAATTTGTCCTTGTCTATTTATCATTTGGTTTTCCATAGTAACTATACAATAACGGATGCACTTTGATTAGAGGCTCAAGATAAATAGCTTTGATTTTACTAAATATTGTGAAACTAATAAACAAAAGCCTTCTTATTATAAGTCGGTAGGTGGCAACATAATTACTTTGAAATCATAAAATCGACGTTAACAAATGTGACTGTCAACTTGTTTTAATTGTAAACAATAGAATCAACATGTTTTAAAATTGAAATTATTGATTTAGTACCTACCAGCTACATATAACGAAAAATTGTAATGGGTGACTTATACTTACGTTTGTTTGTACCCCGTTGTTTGGGTTTCCATGCTGAAATATTGATTCTACGAAAGAGTCCATGAGAATGTTAGTGTGCGGTCCATTTATAGCGCTTACCTAGGTTCTACGTAGGTCCCAGCTCGTATGTGTGGTTGTAAGCCCCTGTATTATGCGCAGTAGGGTGGGCGGGTCAACATTCGCCCATGTTCTTATTACGATTCATTTAGTGTTCGAGAAACAGAGTGCCATACGCGACAGTGTAGTGTTGACGTCTGTTGTTATAGCTCACCAAGTGTCCTGTTTGAAACAGTCTTAGTGAGTGTTGAAGTAAACATGAATCGTAAATGTATTTTAACGATATTTACCATCATATTGATCGTTTGTGCCGAAGCGAGAAAAACTTCGGGTCGAAGCCGTGGTTCTGGATCGGGTCGCGGGACCAGCAGAAGAACAAATTACAACCCTCAACCTGCGCCAACTTCCTTTAGTCAAACCCAAGCACAAAAACCTACCTTGTTTGGATGGCAGGAGCGACCCGGTCAATCTTCGTGGCAAACAAAATCATCTAGTGGACAAAGTCATTCATATCCTTCGAGTGGTACTGGAAGCCATACATATCCTTCGAGTGGCAGTGGAAGCCAAAAATATCCTAGTGGTAGTGGCGGCAGTGGGAGCCATACATATCCTAGCGGTACTGGATTATCTGGTGATAACAAGCCAAAACAACCATCTTCCCCTAATCAGCAGGCAGGGCATTCCTACCCGGCTTCACCTGGGTTATCAGGAAGCGCTAACGGTGGCTATCCGCAGCAAACAGGAAGCAAGTATCCACAACAAGGAACTGGTCAGTCGGGGTACCCGCAATCAGCACATAGCTATCCACAACAACACGGAGTGGCAGGTTCAGCAGGTGCGCCACCACCGTACACACCACACCAAAACAACTATGGAAATCAATATCATCCTCAAGGTCCACCGCCTCCTTATTCAAACTATGGCGGATCTAACTATGGCGGAGTTGGTGGATACGGATACAATCCCGGACTTGGCCCCCAAGCTCCGGGCTACTTTGGAAATTATGGTAAACCAAGTGGAGGAATGAGTCGCGGTGGAAGCGCCTTGGCTGGAGTGGGTATTGCTGGTGCTGGTATCGGAACAGTATTAACTGGGTTAGCTCTTTGGAATTTGGCTCGTTCCACGGGTCATCATCATCACACTGTTATTTACGATAATAGAGGACAACCTGTAGCTGTAGCGCCGGTTAATGATACGTCAGCTCCTACGGATTCCATTTTGGCTGACTTAGTAAATTGCAGTTTGACAATTAGTAATGATGATAAAACCGAAGTGTTGGCGATACCATGTTCTATTGCTACTTCATTCACTCCAGACGCAAACGTAAAGGACTCCGATGTCAACAAAGACCCTAATGATAACACTAAGTGCACCATTGCGGTTCTCACTAAGGCTGGTAAAGAGTACATGACCACTATACCGTGCTCGATTCTTTTAAATACAGCTGCAGAGAATAATGTAACAGAACCTCCCTTAGTAATCGATCAACCCATTAACAACAACAACTTTACTAGCGAGCCAGATATGATTCAAAATGGCACCATGATTGAAAATATTCCAAAAGGGGAACCAACCGCCCTTAGGCTTTCCGGTGAAGATGTAAATGGCGATGATAAAACACTTGCACAACTTAATTGCACTGTGCAACCGGAAGAAATAAGGGATCCAATAAATCCGTGTTTTTCTATCAACCATAATTTGACTGTTATACCTTTACCAACTACGGAGGCACCAAAATGATTTATTTGTTCGTATTAGAAAATTATTTTGTCTTGTATATTTTTTTTAACTAGTATTATACCAAACTCTTCCAAATATCAATAGTTTACAATTTAGGAATAGTATAATTTTGCTCACTGATTTGTTACCTAAGTGGACTACTAGATCTATTTAATTTCTGTCTTAAGTGGCAATGTTGTATTATGATAACCAAAGAAAAAACTTATCATAAGTTAAACATTAATGTTGAACTTTTTGTGTGTGTATCGATCACCGCTTGAGTTTGTGTTTTCACTAATACCTAAATATACTTCAGCGATTGTGTGAGTCGTTTAAATGGTTTATATTTCCTACGATGTGTGGCACACAGGCACCCGTAGTTTAACTTGATAAACAAAAAATAGGTTTTAAAATTTCAATAAAGTTGCGGGCAAAGCTCGTATCATGTAGGTATAGTCTATGTAATACACACCTGAAAAGATTCGTTCAGATTTATTTTATCTTATAAGTAATTAGATAAAAATCTACTTACAATAGTATTTATGTTGTACCTAATTTGTTTAACGTTACTCATAACTCATATGCACGAAAATTTGTTGGTAAATGAAAAATAAAAGCATTGTGTTGTTGTAAGCACCTGTGTCAATTTTATTTTACTCAGTAACCAAAAAAAACTGATGAGATCTCTTATGTGCCTCGTTTGGTCCTTATTCCATAAAAAACATGTCTAGTTCCTTTTCGTAATTAGATTAGGGTTGTAGTGTTAGGGCTTTTCGATTTCCGCACGGAACATTTGTCTGCGTAGCCTTCAAGTTGGGATGCATGCATACTTAATCTACATTTTTGAGTAGTATCTATAGAAACTAGTACTTTTCTCAGTTAATATACATGGCTGAGACGTTATTCTTAATAATTTAAGAATGCTTAATTTATTTACATTTTTTTGGGATAACTTAATGGACCTTATTAGCCTACACGCAATACCTACATATTGCCGAAGACGTAGGTATACCTAACAGGCGTTAGCTGACTAAGTAGATACTACTTTTTGATTGTATACCAATTTAGTTATAAACATAATATGGTGCTCGTGTACCGACAGACAAAGAAGTAAGTACCTACGTATTAACTAGCGTCATCCACTTTACCCTGATACGGGAAGTACTTTTATGCGTACCTATCTATGTGTCTACTTACCTACATGGTAACGTTTACCGAAAGTGATTATCTATTCTCTATTCAGATACCGTAGTTTTTTGTAATCACAAAGATTCGGGGAGTATCCTTCATTCATTACACCTTCATTCATTGTATTTCACGAAAAAGTATTAAAATTTGACTTTTTGGAAACAAGGTAACTGTGGTAATAGCCAATTTTTGCATTATGGTAATCGGACTACTGTACTTTGTCAAGTGGCCAGATTGTTTATTTGGTAGTCAATTGCTCAGTCATTGCGCCCACCCTATATTGAACCTACCCTACATTGAACCTACCTACTTCAGTATCAGCCTATCAGCGTATTGCTTTTGAAAATTGAAACTAATATCATCAGTAGCTAGCTACACGTGTTGTGAATTAACCCCAATTTGCGTTTTGTCGATAGTTACGGATTATTACTTAATTCCTATATTTGTAATATGTGTAATAGGAAGCAGGGCCGAACCGCCTATGTTTGCGAAGTGTGCGTCATACACGGGCGCCAAGACCAGAGGGGCGCCAGCGACGCCAAGGGTAATTTTTTGCTCTGTATTGTAATGGCGTCGGCATTTCACCATTATCTCGCCTGGTAGTAAGTGAAGATGCAGCCTACGATGGAACACGCCTACCTCCAGGATATACTGACTCTGGCATAAGCCTCCTTTGCAGTTTTAATATAAAAAACTTCGGGGTTTTAGTATTGTGGGTGGGATATCCATCTTAAATATTTTGTAAATAAGTAGAACTTTGCTATTGTTGCTGATGGTGCAATGATGGTAGTTGCAGAAATCTTTATGGAATTGTGTTGTTCCCATAGACACACAGGGACAGAAATATATTCGATAAAAGCTAAAAAGCTCAAGTATATCGCCCTTAAAATACTAAACCTTAAATCCCTAATAACCAACTAGAGGCCGGCAACGCTCTTGTAGTAGTAACTCCTTTGGTATTACAAGTGTCCATGGGCAGCTCTGCTTGCTTATTATCAGGTAATCCATATGCTCTATTATCGACCTATGACATAAAAAAAAATAACCCACGTGTTAATACCGAATTGATCAGACCAGTTGCCATCAATGACTACCTACTCGAATCTATCCATTTTTCTCCTGCTATTTCTCGAGCTCAGCTTATATCATCGTGCCTGCCGAAGAAATGATTATGCGTTCTTTCTTTCTTTCCCTGGTATAATATGTGAGGTGTTATAGAAGCTTGATTCAACCAGTCAACCGCATTGGCCAGGGATCTATAGGTACTATGTTAGTACTACACACTGGGAAAGAAGCTAGTTTGTTTCCTATTCCGCTAATTAAGTTGAAAGGAGCTTTTCGCAAAGCCTTTTGATAATGACCTAGCCTTACGGTTCCTGGCACCTTGTATTCAACATATACACAAAATAAATATGTAGTAAAAATTAAATCGAGGGCGCATCCGGCCGAAACATGTTAGGTACGTCCGAAAATGGTAACGCTGACGGGGCAGTGGAAATCTGAAAAGTCGAAGAAAACCATAGATCACGACTGATACAATGCAAAAAGACTATCCCATCACAATCTGCTGACATGCATTGTCATATTCGCGAAAATTAATAAGTCTCACCTCCATAAAATACATTAACGCATGTCATTGGTGCAGGCGCTGTAGACAGTCGATACGGCCCTGTTAGGATGTATTTACCTACATAATATACAATACTTATAGATGGCTATCGAGCATAATTATTGTGTATTTGTGTGCTTAAAGCAACCTCTATATCTACCTAATGATTTAAGTAGCCTACCTACTTCGATAACGTAATTTCATAAATTAATTCAATTTTATAATGAGTCATTGATATTCGCTGTTATCGGTCTACGTTTGGATAATTACATTACCCAAAATATTTTGTTTGAAGTTAGGTACCTATATACCTACCGTCTTAGTTAGCGCCTTAACAAGTGCCAAAAATAGCCTTTATTTGGCAGGCAAAATAACAAAAAAAGATAATGTAGGTAATAATAATAAACTCTAGTCACTGATGAGGAACAAGCCCTCCTACCTCATTCTTGCCTTAATTGGCTGGCTTGAGTGGAGATTCGCAAGAGTAGGAGTTGAAGGAGACTCGGGGGAAGGATGTATCCCAGTAAGGTGCTGGTAGGGGTCTTGACCGTACTTCCGGGATTGCTCTGATAGCCGTGGGATGCCATTCCTTCCCCAAGCAGCTCAACGTATGTTGCCCCCTTGTCTGTCTTGGCCTATTAATTGAGTATGCCAGTCACCCCCTGCCTGTTTATCCGTATGTATCAATATTGGTCAGGGGCAGGGGTCATAGTATTTCCATAGTTATCATATCCACCAGTCCATAGCAACCCATACCTATAACCCTTATGAATTTTTACCACATTTTGCAATAGTCCTGCGTCAACCGGGGATTGTCCTTGGGTGCACTTATATAGTGCATACAGGGATAATTGTCGGCTGATGTCCCATCACATTTAGATTACAACTGTTCAACGGGCCTCTGCGAGTTGGCTTCGGCTCCTCGTACGCCTTCCAAAGGTCCGGGACCCTGTGGTCCCGTGAAAGGAAAGAACTACTAGTCAAAATGTTTTTTTTACAATAAACACTAGGTACTTACTCAACCAGAAAAAAATCCCATAATATACCTACTGAAGCTTCTGGAGTCGTGGTGAAAGCACTGCCGGCGCAGCAGCCGGGCCGGGGTGTTGTAAGACCTCTCTTTGAAGAGTGAGCTGAGAGAGGCCATAGCGTCCTTATCTTCAATTTTTAGTCAGTAAGAGTTTGACACTAAGGGCGGCAGAAGTCATTTGATGATTTTCCCCTCACAAAAACGAAATCTACCGCCTGCCGCTGGTGCTTACCAGGCACGGCAGTTGCGCTATGTTCCTGTTTTGGATCCGGCGGGAGGACACGGTGGAGCCTCGAATCACCTTAGGCGAGGAGCGCGAGGAGTGCGTAGTCATACTCGCAAAAGAGGAGGCTGAGCGAGTGAGGGAACTATCCTCCTCACGCCTCAGCCGCCGACACCGATTTCCGGCCACCTTACCTAAGCGCGGCTCTGGCGAGCGTACAACGCGCGCCTCAACGAGCCAATAGACCACCACGGACGGTCCCCTACTAGGGCTGACATGTCCAGCTGGGGTTGCGGGGCAGCCGCAGTAAGGCACCGCAGCCTCGGCCTAGGAGAAGGAAGGACATATTTTAGTCAATAAGAGTGTGATCCCTCCCTCTCTCCTCACCTTGGGCAAGAGCAGTCATTTGATTTAACTTAAAAAAATGGTTGAGCAACAGGCTGACGGCCAACCCCGAGTTTGATCTACAGGACAACTCTTCGTATGATCTTCAATTGATTTTTCCAGTCTGGATATGATGAGTATGTTTCAGCCGTATGTTTGTTAATGCACCCAAGATACATAAGAAAAAAGGAAATAACGGTATCTCTCACCCTCTCTCACCATCGTATCGAATCGTATACCTACCTACACACATAGATAAAGTAATTTTTTTCTCTAATGTCAGTTTTTTTCTCCATTTATCGCTGGAGAAGTCAGTCTTTGTCATTATCGGACGTTCGCTCAAACGTTCTCCGTGTGAGAAGAGGCCTTTGCTCAGCAGTGGGGACTTATAGGCTGATGATGATGATGATGAAAAACAAGAAATATAAATCAAACCCTAGAAATATCAATTGTATCTATTAGATGGTTCTAGGTTCTATCTCATAGGTGACGACGTAGATATATTTTGTTGTATTCTGAGTGAATTCACAAAGATAACACTTTTTTAAGTTTGTTATGGATCAAATTTGTAATTTAAAATTAAGTAATAAGAAACCTGAATATCGTTTTGGACTAGTCTGTAGTAGTATTGTTGATAATAAATTAAATAAATAAAATCTTTTGATAATCAGCTGAATAACCTGAGTGTCAATTCCAAAACAAGCTAAACTAAAAAATATGTCTATGTCCCAATGCGCTGTCAGTGTCAAATAGAACAACATTTTGATATGATAATAGTTGACAGTTGTTATCAATACAAACACAAGTTCAGTGATAAGTTGTGAAGATTGGTCAAAGTTATTTTAAATGAAAAAGTATATTTATTAAATACCTACATAAGGGCCAGCTAGTGACGATAAAGATGTCGGACCCTACTATACAGACATTTTGCTGTCACCATACCGGTAATAAAGAAGACTTTGCAGTTAGAATTATGGATGAATTTAATACAGACTCGTACAATATTGTATGTTTGGTTTCGTCTTCAGTTGGGATTTTAGGTTCTGTGTATCAGGTAAGTAATAAAATATTTAGTTAAAGTTATCAATTTCAACTTTAGTGTTAAGCTTAAGCTGAACTTTAGAAAGCGACATTTTCGTGTTTCTTATATGGCTTCTCACGTTACCGTCTTGCCACAGTTCACCCGGCTTTGGTATTCGGGTCATTTGATATCAAGTTGCATTTTCCCTATAATATCTGTTTTTATTTATATATTTCTAGATTTTCCCAGACATTATAAATCGAATAAAGAGAGGAGTCGGATCAACGCGGGGTCGGCGTATTATTATTTGGTTAGCTGTTGCAGATTTACTGGCATCCTTTGGTAACTAATTTTTATGGTTTGCTTTAACACCTAACTTAAACTAGAAAATAGTAGTTCATAAAATATGACAATAAACAACTACCTACATAACTATGTTTCTATAAAAAAGTCTTGTCTATTATGTTTTTTTATTCCAGGCGTTCTACTTCGTTCTGCCTTATGGCTGAGGTATAAGAATATTATGCCTTTGCCAGATGATGATGTCAGTGTTCTATTTTGCAGCATAGTCTCAGTGAGCATCTTTGTAATATTTTCTTATCTTCACTCTTTCTTTCAGTGGTTATCAAAATCTCTCTTTCTTATTCCAGGCTTGGACTCAATACTTTTACACTGTTACTTGGTTTTGGACCTTGTTTTATGCCATAGACACTTGGCTCACAATAAAGGGCAGAGATTCTCATACCTTGCTCTATCACTCTATAGCTTGGGGAGTACCTGCTGCAACTACTGGTGTTGGCTTGTCTATTCTTTACATTCCTAATGCAAAGTAAGTACTAAGATCTTGTGCTGAAATTCAAAGGTTAAAATTTTAAAATACATTTCATGATGAATACAACCTAGCTTCAAATATAAAGTATTTAATAATATTAATAATGCCTGTTATTTATATAAAAAATCATATTTTCTTAAAAACAAGTTTCTAAAAGTATACATGCAGATATTGTAGAAAGATAATAATTCAAATTAGATATATGTAAAGTAGATAAAAAACCTTGAATGTTGCATGGCCTTAATGCTATAAATAATCGAAATCTAATACTTTGCTAATATCATTGCAGATGCCACAATCTACCAAGTGTAACAAGTGCCTTATACAAGATATTGCCTAATTACTGTGCTACATACTTACCTATAGCCATGGTTATGATAGTAAACCCAATTATGTATGTATTGTCAAGTAAAGATGTTGAAATGGCAGTAGCAGTCCCTCTTGCACAGGTATAGTATTATGTTTAGTGTGTTTACAAACATACAATTTTACACACGCATCACACCCAGACCCGGAATAACAATTTGTGGATCACAGAAAGGGTTGTTACGTGCGGGAATCGAACCCGTGACATGTCGCGCGTCAGCCAGTTACACAGTCACCGCGCCAACTGTACAGTCTAATATCACAGTATACTTTTATACTGTGCTAATATATTGTATTTCCTGTTTGTTTTTAAAACGCAAAAAAACATGAGAAATCAACTACCTATCTAAACTTTTTAATGTAATTGAAAATGTAAAAGTACCTAAGTACTTTAAATACAAATCATTCAACCCCTTCGAAAATTTAAGACCTACTGTTATGTTAGATGGTATCTAGTAGTAAAATGAAATACTATTTGGATAAGCGAATATTTCTGATGAACTTTTAAAAACAAACAAAAAACTACTTTGCTTAGACTATTTTATTTAGCAGCTAAGGTCGAGTAGTTTCCGTGATGTCACGCTTGTATCGAGAAGCGTAGCGAATGGACTTCCGTATTATTAAATTCCATTAGTTTGCGTTCGGGCTTATATTGTATGCATTACGGTACTTAATTCAATTTCATAAAAGCTTGACAAATAAGCATTGCTTCTTATAAATAAATAGCACATACTAGTTTTCGTAAGTCACTTTCGGAAAGCATCTAATTCGCTTTTGCATTAATCAAAATATTATCTATGTCATTCATAAAAAAAACATTTTATTTTTCGCTAATTTTGTACCTTTTGGGAGACAATACAATCGCCATTGAACTTTAAAACCCTATATTATGTGAATCTCTTTTTAAGTAAGTAACCATTTTGTCTGAATTAATATGCTAGAGCGTGTAGATGCGGCGCTATCTCCAGCGTGCGACAGCTTCGCGTATTTCAATGCTTAACTTGCCTTTGTAATACACTGCGTGACTATTATTGGGTTACACGTTACGTTAGCACACATTTGCGTCATTAACATTGAATGCATTATTAAACTCTTAATGTGATATGCAAAGGTAAACTTGTTTCTTATAGTTATCACATTGTATATCTTTAACTTTATCCTGATAAAATCTGATGAGTAACCTTGGTAAATAAGAAAATCAGCTAAACTATACTTTAAAAAAAATATTTTATTATGACAAAGCAATCTATTAATTTAAATATTGTAGGTATTGTTTTGACTATAATGTTATAATTACTTTTTAAATCAAATTAGTATTTTAACCTCGCATTGATTTAAAATATATTTCTGATGTGTGTAGATAATACCCACATATAGTATCTTCTATGCTTATAATAAATCTGTAGAGAGGTCAATTCTGTACATTAAATATATTTTCAAAAAAAAAAAAAATCCATCAGGCGGTGGTGAGTGATCGATACTGATGCCAAAAATGAATTCTGTAAAATTTTTGTTTGTCTGTCTGTATGTTCCTTACAGAAACAAAAACTACTCGACAGATTTTAACGAAACTTGGTATAATTATTCTTTATATTCTTGGGCAGGTTATATAATACTTTTCATCACGCTATTATTAATAGGAGCAGAGCAGCGAAGGGAAATGTTGGGAAAACGGGAGAAGTTACTCCATTTTTTTAGCTTCCGTCGCGTGTGCTTTCTTAATCGTTAAAGTTACATAGAAGTCATGTATAACGGAAATGTTCAAAATTAAAATATCTGCAAAATATCCCACAACAGTACATGTCTATCTTTTATGGTTTTGCTTACAATCATAACACGTGTAACTCCTGATAGATCAGCAGTTCGGAGCATTCTAATTATATTTGTTTACTCTTGCGTTTATAACGCTCTCACTTATCCCTAATTAAAAAAGGTTACATTATTATTTATTCAATAAAAAAAAATGACAGAAATCAGTATACTTGCGAGCATCTTTTCGACGCCATGCTTCAAGATAATAATCAATATCAATACATATAATAAACAGTAAAAGGCCGGTGTCTGGATCCGGAACTTTATATACGCAGATTTGACCTGTCTACAGATTTATTATGAGTAATAGAATGAGATTGCCGGGATCTTATAGTTTTTGAGTTGTTTCAATGTGTTGCTGTAAGTTCCCCTCTAAATTATGTGTTTACTTTATTATTTCTGTCTCTCCTACTGAACCGATTTAGATAAAATTTAGTACAGACATAGTTTGAAACTCGAGAAAGGACATAAGATGGTATTTATCGCGGAAATTCATAAGGAGAACTTCCCGAAAATCCTAAGAGATCGGGAGATATGTAGGTAAACAGGGGTAAACCAAAAATCATCCAAAACTCACTATTCCACGCGGACGAAGTCGCTGGCAGAAGCTAGTTACTTAATATAATTCTTCGTTTTTTTCAAAGGAGATAATCTGGCATTTCTCATCAAATTGAGCTATTGTCATTTACCCAGTTATTCCCAGGAAAACGAATGGGAATAACCGCATTAACTATTTAGGTCAATTTGGCGCCTTGTTATTCCTGAGAAATTAGAAAAATTGGCAGGACCAGTCCTAAACTTACAGCTTGGCAGTTGAAGTTGACTTACTAACGACTGCTGGGCAAGAGGCAGTCCACAATAAATTATTTATTTAACTTTTTTTCTCTTTCAGTTCACAAGCAAAGAGAGACGTGTGGTGGACACACTGAGACTTAAGTTTTTCTTGATCAATGTCGTGTTCTACTTATGTTGGCTACCCAACCTTATAAATGGGCTCCTGCTCTGGACAATGTGGTTTAATATACCAGTGAAAGTTATTATAACTATATGGTACATAATGGTCAGTATAATTTTTATGAAAATATGGACACAAATACCACAGCTACACAGCACCTACAATGGTTTATTTATCATAATAATTAAAATCTTGTTTCAGGCATTAACAAACCCCATGCAAGCTTTATTAAATGCACTTGTCTATAGAAAATGGAACACAAACAAATGGAGACAAATGCCTTCATTCAGTAACGAATCGCGAAAAGAATTTCGCTTTTATGATGAACAGTCTCCTCTGTTAGGCTCTGAACCGCCGAGGTTACAGCTATCACCAATACCGCCGGGTATTAACAATTACGCTACTTTGTGATGATATTATTTCCAGTATTGTTGATATTGTGTTATTTATACTTTTTTTACTAATATACTTTTGTATATCCTATCGTGACTAATTTATTGTATCGAATTATTCTGGGATGTACAGCTAGGTAGCACAAAAACGTACACATGGTTACAATATTAAATGAAATAGATGATTTATTAGTTACAAGTACATATACATATATTATATACATTATTGATTTACAAAATACAATAACTATCACATATCATCATGCTCATTATCAGGTGGGGCCATGGTTAGATCTGTTATATCTTTAACAATCATATGTGCTATCTGCCATGCCATTTCTTCTTCCACTTTAGAAGTATTACTAGGAACAAACCGGCTCACCATTTTCTTTAAAACTGATTTATCCTTTTTGTCTGGGTCAGGTTCAAATTTAGATTCGAATCTGCCTAAACTATTCACTCTTCCAAGATTTAAACCATCCGGTCTGTTTCGCTGCCACAAAGAATCGGCATTATATAGTTGATTAGAGTCTATAGTCATGTCAGGTACAGAGAGATTGCGTTTCTTCTTCCGGAAGACTGGGTCTCCCATCGCAAGGAGAGTATTTTGAGTACTAATACTAAATTCACTGCTGCAATCAGAATGTGATTTATGGTGAGAGGACCACATGTTGTCGACTGAATGAATCATCTCTGAGAGGTATTTGAAATACAACTCTGATTCTAGGAATGTTTTAACATAATGAGTCAATGTTTTAAATACAATTTGGTAAGGAAAATCAAAACACGTTGGAAGTGGACCCCCTTCACTGCATATATCACTTTCAATTCTTAGTCTAGTCTCAGTGGGAAATCCAATAGGATGTGTAGCTTGGAGTGAAAAATATTTCTCATAAATAGATATAGCATCTGCCTGAGCTTGGTCAGAGCTTGTTGTGCTACCATTTAACAAATTATCTCGGAAGTGCATGACAGCCATTAAAAATTCTAATAATACCCTGCAGGACTCTTGTTCTAAAAATTCTGTGAAGTAAAACAAAATTGTTTCATTATGTAAAATGTCTTTCAGATTTAGAGAGCCACTGGTCAAAATGTCAATTTGTGCTTTGATGTAAAATGGACTGTTAATGAAATCATTGTAGTGTTCATTTTCTATTTGGCTAATGAGAACTTCTTGCACTGGTTTAAAGCAGTTTTCTTGTATTTGTCCCTCTGGTTGACAGATATTTGAGATTACAGATTTTCTAAAACTATCTGGTACATCCAATTGGTATGGAGCTTCTAAAGCAATATATTTCTTAAATATTGCCACAGCTTCCTCGGTGTAGTCCCACTGGAGTTGTTTACTTTCACTGGATGCCTTTGAGTTCTCAGATTGTTCATGTCCAGATAAGTTACTACATGAACTTGTTGAACATTCATTAAAGTGTGTATTACTCTTACTTGTGAACACATCATTATTTTCTCCCCAGTTGCATTTTTGTGACTTAATATCCTTATATTGTTTGCATTCATGCTTGTATGGAAGATCTAAACTTTGTGTACGATTAATTTTTGATAAATTCCCACTTTCAGTGGCATTGGTTGAGCTCAGTACATGTTTCCGGAATTCTTCTATTTCCAACAAACATTTAATGAGTGCAGCTTTTCCTATTGATTCCATATATTGTATAAAATATTTAAGTGCCTTCTTTTCATATATAATATCATTTACACTTAGAGACAACTTAGAGCTCTTTTCAAACATTTGTTTGGGATCTGGAATTATCAAGTATCACTTAACTAACAATACGTTCCAACGTCGATTAATTTATTTTATTTACGTTTTGTACTTACCTTCATTTTCTTCTAGTAGTATTTGTGTATTAATTAAACTTTTAATATCTGGCGTACTAACGGATTTTACTTCTGGTGGACGTACTGGACACCCGGTTTTACCTTTCGCTAAAATGAATTAAAATTATTTAACGTATACACCACGTAGTAACATACATGATGTAAAAGGGCAACTACTAAAAAAGTGAAGATTACTTTGATCATTACAGAACACTTTACCTGCGCTTTTCCAGAACTTAATCATTTTCGTATGAATTCTTCGTTATACGTGTCTATTGGTGCTATGTAAAACTGCAGAAGTAACCTACGTAAGCTCCTCATAAGTGCGTTTTATGAGCATAAGCGTAAACAATAATAAGAAAAATGAAAACAATTTGTTTATGTACGAGTACTGGATTACGTTTACATTACAAATGTCAAGACAGTCAGTTCAGAAACGTCAAAAGAAAATCACCATTGTTGATGTTTTCTTTTTTATAGACGTGAAACCTTGTCTTTTACGCATTCCAATGTAAGAGTAACGCTGTTTGATTAAATTAAATAACAATACAAATTGTTCTGACAAAATTCTAGAATGGTTTGTATCAATATAATATAAAATTATACCTCAATATTTTTAAATGGTTAAAACCTAATTTCATATCAGTTATAATGTAGACATGTTTGTAAAAAGTTAAATTGCGTACAGTACAGGGGAGCACGGCGTATAGAATTAAAATTATGAATAAATCAACAAATAAAACAGAATCAATATTAGACTGTATTCAATACATTAGCATTGGCTATTGACCACAATAATCATTATTCCAACCTAAGTCTTAAGTACCTACCGGAATTCTAATCTTTAAACATTTTGGTGTTTTAAAACTTACATTTTATGTACCTACCTAATTTAAAGAATGAAAAATGCTATCACAAGTGGATAAGAAACATGACGACAATTATTGCATTTCGAAAAAGGCATCGACCCGAACTTCACGCTAATTCGATATGCAAATAATATTACAATATTTTATGTCTGTTTGCCTTTTGTCTGTCGTTGTAAGTACCAATGGGTATGAAATTGCGATAGCTGAACGTACCGTAAGAAAACAGTATTCGGTTATAAAGTTTATATACGTCAAATTCTTCCCTTCCCCCAATCCCTTATCCCCAAACGCACTCGTAATTCCTCTGTAGTTGCATAACATCAGGTAATCAGTCTGCTCGATTCCCAAAAAATACGTACATATTTGCATTTGTAAGATGTGTAAACGTAACACCACACATCACTACGTAGGTACTTCTCATATACTCAGTGCTCATTTCGGTTAAGGAAAACCAAAATCCCGATTTAGTATTCGCTACATATCTTTGCTGTTTCATATAACATACCTACATTTTGTCTTATCCGTTTCATTAGGTACCTACTACAATGTAAGAACCTACCTATTTAAATAGTTTATTGATAAACGAAACGCTAACCATCTGCATTCAAAGATTATCGTGCACTTTGTTTACCTACTTAAATTTCTTATAAGAGATGTAACTTACGGACCTTGTTATATAGATTGAAATTATTTTGCCTAGGTACACGGTCCTATTTATTTTTAGTATCTTTCTCCTGTTTTAAATTTATTACACACAGCACACATTGTCTTGTGTCTCTTACATTTTTCCTTTGACAGGGCTGCAGGAGAGATTCCTAAGAGGAATATGCATTACCTGTGTATCTCTGTTTCTGTATTTGATTTCCTATTTAGGTAGATACTGTGTGTGCTGTACGTGAATATTAAATAAATAAACCAATTTAAACGTCATTGCCCCCTCTGTGTTTGAATGTGCATATTCGTATATTTTGCCGGGATTTATTGTACTCCACTCGCTTAGTTATACTTAGGTAAGTACCTACCTATTGACAATTGAGAGCCTAAGGAATACTAATGTTGGTGGGTAGGCTCTAATTATTTATTAGGTATATGTCATTTTATGCAACAGGAAAACATACAGGACAAACTTAAAATACCTATAATGGGAACAATGGGCGGTGTTATCGCTAAATGCGATTTCTTACAGGCAACCTTTTGGATGGATCCACCTGGGTGATTCTTTACATCAATTAAAAAAAAAATTAATAATGTCATTATCCTCAACCGAAAATTAACGAGTCTGCTGATTAAAACACAAATAATTATTTTATTAAATTAAATCTCACCACTGCTTACAAGCAACCGATTAAAAATATTGTATAAAATAAATTACTAAGATGCTTAAAAACCTGGGAGGATAATGACTTGTTAAATAAAAGTTAAGGTTTTTTGGAGAATCACCCACCTATGGGAGTTCGGGAAACGAGGTTGTCTGGTGTGGGTATCTAGCCATAGTTCTGTAGTACCTAGGAACTTATCCACGGAGTTTGACATTATATTTCGTGGGTCGACATTCCGAATTGTAGGTACTAGTTTGATCGTTACATATTTTATGGCAATTAGCCTCTCTTTAATACTGATTTGATCAAACGTTATCTACTCATTGGGTACCTACGTACCTAAGTATAACTATTATTAGATTATAATTGTTTTACGCTTCAGCAGATATGTATTATACCTAAGTACCTAATCTGTGGATTCTGCCATGTTTGTTACAGTTGTAGCCGGCTGCCATAAAAAAACAATCCTAAAAAGAAAATTATGCGTGGTAAGGTACCTACTTCATACCTAACAGTTAAACATGTTGCAAAAATTACATTTATAAAAATAACGTAAGTAAGTGTTATTTACTTAGCCAAGGTAAGAAATTAGGGTTGAGTTAATCGCCTTCCTCTAAGCCCATATTATCAAACCTCGTTCATCTTAAAATCGAATCTGAGACTTTTCTAATGCGATCACATTGCCAACGAGTGTAACTAACTAGCTATGAACCAATAATTTTTTCCTTCCTGTTCCAAAACATCCAAAATGCAGAGGAAATTAAGAATGAATAGTTGCTCTAAAATTTAGGTAGGTATATCCAACGATTTACCTAAGTAGGTACTTACGTATTTTTTTTTATAGAATAAATAAACGTTGGTTGTTACCTGGGGCAAAAATAGAATAAAATAAGCATTGAATATTTACCCTAGAACAATCTTATTACATACATAATAAGCAGGTAGGTATCTAATGGTAGTGCGTAAATACTAGTTGCTCACTCGTTGAAATTCCTTTGCCTATCACCTAGAACTTGACCGTGTTCGTAGAATTAATTATTAAGTAAACGCTTCAAATCTGCTATCCTTACGCAATCTGAAGACGCAATGCACCGTCTGAGGCTATCGACCTTCCCACAGTTACTTGGAATAACTGTTAAGCTGTTGGAAATAACTTTATGTTAAGCTGTGAACAGGGCAACCGGTGGCTCAGACCAGTCGCGCATGACCACGGGACTCGATCGCAATTCCTATCTCATCGCCTATACGCGTTTTAAAATTTATCAATAGAAATGTGTAAATTGTTGGCTCTCGCCTTGACGTTGTGCTCGGTTTTAGTGGGAACAACAGATTGCACCTCCAGTTTCGATCAGAGACAAACGGGAGATTTAAATGTGCAAATTGGTTTGAAAAACATAAACATAATAGCATTACTTAAAGGAGGAAAAGAAGAATATGTGGTACGTACAAATCCATTGGTAAACATTTTTAATGGTGATAGTTAAGAGTAGGTACCGACTATAAAATCATTAGCTACGAGATAAAGCGTTGTATGCTGCTCAAATATTGTGCATAGTATAGTTAAGAGTATATTTTATCAGTTACATTTTTATATCAGTGACTTTCATGGCGCTTATCAATTAATTTTGCAGGACTACGATTACGCTTACGATTACTCGGAAATGACGATAAAACCACAGAACGGTACTACAACACCAAAACCGTTAAATGCTAACACAACGATTTCTACAACAGTATTACTAGAGCAGACTACGGAAGGTATAAGGAATAGCACTGGTGTTGCTGTAGAAGTAACGGAGGCATCTCTCAACCAGCCTGCAAACAATAATGTTGTCACTACACCTCAGGCGACAGCGGATATCCTCACGACAATAGCTCCAGATTCTTCAAATAAGGCGAATATCACCACTGCTTTACCAATACCAAATAAATGTAGACGGGGTTTTGTTCAGAATAATGAAGGAAAATGTGAATACAAAGTGCATGGCACATCGAATGCGTAAGTGATTTTTCCGTGTTTTATATTTAAACCCTATAAGTACCTAGTAACTCCGACGAGCTATTAATATTCTGATTGTGTGGTTTATAAAATATCACAGTAACAATTGCATTTTATTGTAACTACTTAGTATTTATATACCTATAATTGTATCTATTTAACGTTAAAAAGTATGTAGATATGAAATAAAATGAATATACTTAGTCGGGTCATAAGTTCTGTCACAAACTTTTGATGTAATAACTTATACGCCTTTTGACAATTATTTAAAAATTATATATGAAATGAAAGGTCATTAAATGTACAATATAATTTTATTTACATTATTCGAAATGCCCTCCCCCATTTTGAACACATGCCCTTAATCTACGCGGCCAGTCATCGATCGCTGCACGCACCACATTCATATCTATGTCTGCCGCTGCTTTAACCAGAGATGCTCGGAGAGACTCCAAATTCGGGTGAGGTTTAGCACAGACTTTTTCCTCCAAATATTGCCATATCTTGTAGTCCAGTGGGTTTAAATCTGGACTAGAAGAGGGCCAGTCTTCATGCCGGATGAAGTCAATTCCACGAGCGATCAACCAGTCTTGCGTACTTCGTGCCTTATGAGCCGGTGCAGAGTCCTGTTGGAATATCCAATGCCTGTTCCTGAACATTGTCTGAGAAAGAGGTTCCACTATGTTTGTTAGGACAGTATTTTGATAAACTTCGGCACTAGTTCTCACACCTTTTTCACAGAAAAACACCTCAGTTACGCCTGAATATGAGACTCCAAGCCAAACCATGAATGAGGAAGGGTAATGCCCACGCTGGACCCTCGCAATACGCGCGCTTGCTTCTTCACTGCTGTGGGCATACACCTTATCATTTTGTTTGTTAAAACTTTCTTCAATAGTAAAAATTTTTTCATCCGAAAAAAGAATTTCGCGGTATTTTTTTCCCGCGTACCGTCGTAGCAAAGCGCGGGATCTGTCTAGCCTAATTTTTTTTAAACGCTCGTTCAAAAAATGTCCTGTCTTTTTACGATAAGCTCGTAGTCCCAGGTCTTCATTTAGTACTCTTTTAACAGTGGTTCTGCTTAGCCCCATCTGCAGAGCTAGGATTTTTTGTTTACGTACGGGATTTCGTTCGATTCGCGCCTTCACTGCTTTGATGACCTTATGTGTCCGAACTGTGCGAGGTCGGCCGCTTCTCTTACGATCTTCGAAGCTTGACTCTTCGGTGTATCGTTTGATAGTACGATAAACAAACCGTAACGTTATTTTCAAATTTTGAAGAATATTGAAAATGTCTTTTGGCGCGTAACCACAGCGGTGCAACGCGATAACCGCGATTCTGTCTTCTTTATTCGACCACTCCATATTTAAAAATGAATAAAAAATAATTTCTTTTTTATTTTCTACAAGCGCGAAAGTTCTATTTTTAAAATAAGTCGAAGAATTTCTGGCCAGTAATCGAAAATTAAAAATATAAGGTTTTGACAGAACTTATGACCCGACTAAGTATAAAATAAATGTAGATAGATATAAAAAGTATGTCTTCCCTACATATAAAATGACAAGTAAATAAACAATTAGCACGGCTACTTTGTTAAAAAATAAGATTATATTTGACTTTCTATAAATAAAGTAGTAATCTCAGGTGCATATGTCGTATTTGTTGCCTTTTTGTCACAAAACTGCATCTGTATTGGTAATACTTATACATTGTATATACTTATGACACAATTTATAATCAGAGCACGTTATTGTTTTCGGCAAAACACAGAATTTAATCCGGTATTCGTGCACTATAATTACGAGGCCAGATTCCCCTTATTCCTTTTTATGAATAGGTCGTCAAACGAGGATCACTTGATGGTAAGCAATCGCCGCCGCTCATGGACACTAGCAATATAAGTTACGATTATGTTGCTGACTTTTTGAGTGACGTGCAAAAAGTTTTGAGGAATCTGGGATTAGGGGACTTATTCCTATTCCCCCCGCTTTTACATAATCCATAATCAAAAGTATCTTTCGCTCTTAGCCAGAGAGTTGGAATTAAAACATTTTAAATACGTACCTATCCCTGAAATCACTTTTGTTAAATGCATTGAATGTCTGTCTATAGCGGAAGATGCGGCAAAAAAATCTTTGCCCCCAGTGATGGCGAACAGACGAATGAACCTCAGTTGGAGTTAAGAAAGCGAATAGGAAAAACCCGATTTGAAATTGTATTATAGTCAGGGGCAGTATCGTAGGAACAGGGTTGTTTTTAGTCAATAAAAGACTGACATCCATGGCGGGAGGTATTATGACGATTTTTGACCCTTCGAAAAAAGGGGCAGCGGCTTGAACAAGTTTCACGTTTTTATATTTATCTACTATCTTGAAGGAGATTGAGAGGCTGGGGGCATTTTGCCGTTATGTAACTACTACATACCTGACCACTTTTGTCACAAAATTTTTATTAACAAATTAAAACTTTTTTTTTCAGGTTACGAAGAATTGTTAAACTAGCTCAAAAAATCAAAATAGGCAGACAGTATGAAGAATCTCAAGACTGATTGAAAATCTAATAATTACAAAGAAAAAATATTGAGAAGACTATGAGGCATCTCTAGTCTCTAAGGTCTTATGTACCTTAATTGGGTATTTTAATATAAAAATATGATGTAGAAAATAACACTACCATTATGTGAGACTGTCATCAATAAAAATATTTTCTTTTTTTATTTCTGTTTGTAATTTATTTTTTCTATTCAGCAAGAACAAGATATTATTTTATTATCATTTTCAGCCAAGTCAACAATAATTTATATTTAAAGAAGTGTAACTATAAAGTTGTGACTTAAGAACATGGTACATAATGTTGAAGTGAATCTTTTTAATACAGATATAATATTATCATAAAATAGGGAATGTAAACAATACATAAGGTTGATGAAGGAAGAAAACATGTGTTGCAAAATAAACTCAAGTTATTTATTTACATAAAGTGCATATGATCAGCACATAATGTGTGCGCATAGTGTAGAATTTTAATTAATATTTCAACATGGGACGGGTACTAGTAATTTTGCATTTATTGGCTTTGTACTATCACCGTTGAGCTTTGATATCAAGTGCTTGAAAATAATGTCAATATGATTTATTGAAAAGAAATATACCCACAATAAATAAACATATACTAAACAGCATACAATCACACCAGAATTATATATTAAGTATAATCACACAGATTATAGTTTACAGAGGCAGAACAAAAGTGGAATGAAAGCACCTATAGTTATAAAAACTGGGATCAGCACCGAACTCTCATCCATAGAGTATGGGTCAGGTTGTTTAGGGCCACTGGCACGCCGCGATTTAGTGCTCTTTTCTTCTATTTCATCTCTTGGCTCTTCAGTTTCATTTTCAGGCCACACTAATGGGGGCAGTTTAGGCACTTCATCAATTGTACCTCTCATCACATACAATGCGTTGATTTTGGGATTATCTCTGTATCCCTTAATGAATTCTACCTTTATCTTTCCACCTCTTATGTCAGATTCTTCCTCATTGTAATACAATTTACCATTTTTAATTGAGTAAGGGATATACTCGTCATGCGCGACACCACGACCTACTTTATCAAAAATGTCTAAGTCAGCTACAATAGTATGATCTCCGTTTAAAACTACGTCAAACACTTTCATGTTAGGGGCATTGAAGTACACTTCACTGAACTTAAGTACAAGCACATAGTCGCCGTCTCTGTTCGCAGGAATATCGTAGCCGAACGTGCTGTGGTGATATCGCTCAGTTTGATACAATATTTCGTCTTTTGTGTTGACTCTACCGATCATCACCAGTTGTTTACCATAATCAGAAGCGGTGCCTATTCTTCCTTGTAGAGGGTCCTTTTCGTAGTGTATGCCATAGATGTCCGTATGAGACGGACCACCAGCGTTGATCGCGTAAATGATCTCACCTAAGCCAGTAGCACTTTTTAAAACAGAAAATATGGAAACAACGATGTAAAACATCAACTGACACATTTTGTATGACAACTATAATCGTCAGAATTTAAATAATAATAAACCAATTTTCAATAGCTAAATAAACTGACTTTAATTATTGAATTGTTAGAAACATTATTAATTTATTATAAACTTTCTTTTTATCGTTGAAAATTGACACAGTAACTTACAGCCGGCAATCGGCAAACCATGCCATGCATGCCAAATTCTTGAATCGATTTTTTTATTCTGCTCGTAACAAAAGGAAGCCAAGTCATTTGAGCCATACAGATTTCATTTTATGTTAGCAATATCATCAAATAATACATTTTGTGGTAAATGTAAGAATGGATTATACAATATGTATTTTTCATAATTCGTGAATTTAAGATTCAGCGATGATAAATATTCTAAAAGGAATAAAAATAAAATCTGTGAACTTATGTTATTCACTATGCGGTTAATTTTTACATTTTTTTTTTGTATTCTCTGGGGCACTTGATATTAATGCTTATTCCATAAGTACTAGAACTGGATGTAAATAAAAAGAAATGCGTATGAAAACTGCCCATTTATAACACTAGTTGTCGCTACTGTTGTGCTTTCTTCGGCAACTATGTGGACGTTTGTAATAATGATAGTTTCTATTGATAATTTTTGTAATGTAGCCTAAATAGCCTTTGATAATAACTTTATAAAGGCGGAAATACATGTTGCCATCGTCGGAACGCCAACGCCATCTCCTGACGCTCGTTGGAATCAATGGTTCACTGGATGTGGACTTCTGGAGGGGCAGCCGTATCAGTACTTATACTTAACTCATCTACGCACAGCCGGTCAGTGTGGTCGAATGTTGAAACTGTCGCGTGTTCGTATAGCAACGTAACACATTCGTCATCTAAAAAACTATTCCTCGAAATAATTAATTGGACAATATAATCGAGTTGAACTGGCTGTTTCGTTGTTCCAACATTACCCACCGAGGCCCTCAGCCTTAGATAAGGAAGTATGGACCCCTTTACCTGTGTCCCATAGGCCGGGAGCTGACGTCTCAGTGCCACCATTGTGGTAATTGCCGCGACGATACGGCGCTGCATACGTTGGCGGAATGTCCAGCTTGGGCCGAGCAGCGCCGTGACCTGGTCGCGGCCGTAGGTGCTGCGGGAAATCTCTCGCTTCCGGCTGTAGTGTCTACTATGGTCGGGAGCGAGTCAGGGTGGAGTGCCGTCGCTATCTTTTGCGAGGCCGTGATGCTCGCAAAGGAGGCGGCGGAAAGGGAGAGAGAGGCTGCCTCCTCTCTTCCCTCCCGCAGCAGACGCACTAGACGTCGTAGAGTGGCCGACCTGCGGCCACCGTAGGGCGCGGCCTGCGGACGACAGACTCGGGGCGTCTAGTCGTCCGACCAGCAGCAGGCCTCGAGGCGGCGGTGCCGTGTTCAGCGCGCGCCTCATAGTGGAGTCCTGCGGTCGGGGTGACGGCCGCAGTGGGTGACGGGGCCCGCCTTACCATCTGGCGGGCCAATACCCGTCGGGGGGTTGCGACGAATGCTTCGGCGATACCCGCCCCTCCGACACATGGGTTATTGGAGGAACACCGGGTTGGTTTTTAGTCAGTAAGAGTCTGACAGTAGGTACCCTTCGCCCTTACCCCGAAGGCGGTGGGTCTCCATGAGGATTTTCCAACCCGACACAAAAAAAAAAAAAAAAAATTTTGGACCCCTTTTGATGAGCTTGATGTCTCTCCTTCTCTGTCATATATAGGTACCTATTACTGTGTCGTATCGTAGCTCACCGGATCGCATCGCATCACATCAGTAACTGACGCATCTGTAATGGGTCTTGCTTGCAGGCGTTGCGGGGTAAGCGCAATGTGGCATGCAATATATAATGACAAAGATTAGGAACAGTTTAATGACAAGGTTTTTCCACAATTGTCGTTATGGATTTACGCCATGTTGCCGGAGATTAGAATAATTTATTAGGGGAATAATTAATGATTTCGACTTTTCCCCTTGAATGAGCTCGTAGTCAGCAAAATTTTCAATAACGCACTCTCGACAGGGCTTGATAAATGTTTTGTGGATTAAACAGGTGACTTTGCTAAACGATAAGCTATATACATAATTATAGGTAGTAGATTTGGTTCACTTAAACATACTTTTATGAAATCAACCTAGGAACGATACAATTGAAAAATAGTCAGAGTTAGTTTTCGAGAACGCACACTTAAATAACCAATTGGTACCTATTTACCTAAATCTATTCACTTAAAGTACTTAGTACTATTTTAAATATCTGTTATACTTAGTTTACTTTTGTTATGCTATTTTAGTATTAATCTAATTTAAAAATAAGTATATCAGCTTATTTTGCAGTTTAGGTAATCTTTTTTTTTTTTTTTTTTTGGTGTCGGGTTGGAAAATCCTCATGGAGACCCATCGCCCTCGGGGAAGGGCGAAGGGTACTGTCAGACTCTTACTGACTAAATAACCCATGTGTCGGAGGGGCGGGTATCGCCGAAGCATTCGTCGCATCCCCCCGACGGGCAGTTTAGGTAATCTCTTCTAACCGATTGGATACGTATTTAAGTACCTAGTTAGAGTGTTCTACAGCAACTAGCTAGCGGCACATGTGTGAGGTGTTTTGTGAGGTGGGAATCATTTTAATAAAAAAAAAAACAAAAACATAATCATAATATGAATAAAATAACAGCCCAAATCATGGATTTATACATATAACTAGCAGCAAAGGTTGTTGTAAGTCCACAGCCTTTAGATGGGGTGTAATAAAAAATGTATTTTTATAGTTTGGCTTGAAATGTGAACTTATGTTACACTTACCTATAACCTTATACACCTTCCTACTTACAAGTTTCCCTACTGTCAGAAGGTAGGTACGGCGAGTTCTAACTAACTTACTTCCTTTGTCAAAATCGAATTTCGAAAGCAGTGTTCGGGTTATCAGCGACATTTGGAAGTTTGCTTTAGTTTGGTCTAGATTGTGAGCCTTATCCGATTTCGAAATTCCGTTACGTGACAAAATGTATCTTAATGCCTTTTCGCGGAAGAAAATACTACTTATCTAAATTTATCGCTGAAAATGATTTAAATTTAAAATGTATTTAATAGATAATTGAACATCTCTATTTTTATGTAGTAAGTAGAATATACTTTGCAGACTTTTGACAGATCGAAAGAGTGAGAACCAAGCTTCTTAGGTAAAGTATTTTTTCTAAGTTTTATAATATATGTCGATACGACATATACACTACATATAAAGGAGGGACGTTTTAATAACATATTGCCTAGGTAGGTAAGTCCTAAAATTAGATACATACATAAACATTAAAATCGATTATCGAACAGCAAATAACGTTGATTGCCCATGCAAATTACGAGTTTCAATTATGAAAAAAGGTGTGACATGGCGGTTTTCATTGCTTCCACTAGTGATGGGGTTTTATTGTTATCGAATATCGACATTTCATTGTCAGCCCCTGTCTACATATATATAACCCCTATTGATGTTTTCGGGACAATACGTAGCGTAATACGGCTTAATGTATGT